GGTCATTAATGGGGTGGGTCATTTAATGGGTGCCTGACTTACTAACTGAGAACACAAAAGCTCTGATATCGGGGTGCCAAGCCATTGTAATTACGCCAACGTTCTGGTATTGATAATACCCGTTAGACGCTGATCGACACGTGCCAACGCGCCTAGCGACGTTTGTATCGATACCCCTTATGGTTTGACTGGCACCTATAGATTTAGATATGACAATTCCCCGACTATAGTGCACAGCCGCTATAGAAGGTAGCGTCACTTTCATTTTCTCGGGCACAGGGGTCTTCCTGAGTAGAATCGCTGGCCGCGATTGCCAATTTGAGGCTAACCATCACATGCTGTTGCTGCCCACATATCTTAGACATACAATGCCTTCCCCCACCATCTGGTTCTGTTGTTGTCCGTTGGGTCCGTCTCGATAGTGACGCCCGTCACATTCAGTCCATTCATGCTCCCGTTAGTGCCATGGGCAGGGAAGAATGGTACGTTACCATTACCATTTGGATCACCTGAGGTGACGAAGTTTGCGATGTACGACTGAAGCATCAACGCGACGTTGTCAACCAACGGCGTCGTGTTCCTGCCATCTGTGCCGTCATAAAAAGTGTACAGCACGTCTGAACCGTGTAGTCCGGGCTCAACCTGGAACATGTAGCTGTAATACTTATCACTGTAAGCTTGTGCCAGGAAGTTCTTATTGGAGTGGAAGATGTACTCGGCAGAAACAAGGACGGCGCGGTCGAGGCCATTGGTATATGGGAGGCTTCCATCGTACTTGGCCGGGTACACGTTGGCATAGAGATCTGCCAATGTCTCGTCGGTAATGGTATGAAACAAAGTCTTCAGCCAGGCACCGAGATCGTCGTCAGTCTCGATGGTGGGAATGGTGAAATAGACGCCTTCTCTGGTATTGTGACCCGCTAGAACAGTCACATTCTTGTTGTATGCACCTATGGCGAATGCTCTCGCAGGCAGGTTTGGCGCGAAGATCCCGTCCACGACCGGGTTATAGGTATATTTTGACCAACCGGAGTCTGCCACTTGTGCTTCATTAGCAGCGATGATGGCCTCAGAAGACGCGGCTCGGGCTTCCTCAAAGGTGCCCACGTTCAAATAGGACAAGAAGGATTCCCAGACGCCTTCCTGAGTAGAGAAAGAAGGCACTGCATGATAACCCGGCGATTGGGCAATAGCACGCTTGATAGGAGCGGGATTCTGACCACCAAAGGCGGCCAACTGGTGAGCAACCGAGCCCCCTCCCGCAGACTCTCCTAGGATTGTGATTTGATTCTTGTCACCACCGAAAAGGTGAATGTTCTCAGCCACCCATTCAATGGCTCGTCGTTGATCGTAAAGCCCCGCGTTAGCAACACCTCCTGCAGCCTGGAACGTTGGTCCTGAAGAGAATCCGAAAGCACCTAGGCGATAGTTGATGGGAACGAAGATCAGTCGACGTCCATCAGACCGGGCAGCACGAAGAAGGCCGGCGCCCGTCCCAGAAGAATCTTTGTAGCCGAAGACATATCCTCCTCCATGGATCCTGTACGGGTCAGAGTGTGATGGAGTAAACATGCGCTTACTGGACTTACCATAGGACCACAGGAACACCGGCACTTTTGCCGCTCGTCACGTTGGCCGCATTCTCAAACACGTCCCGGTCCACCATGACGTCGAGAACAAGACAATCCTCAGATGCAACGGTGTTATTGGCAACCACACCGCCTCGGGCAGCAACAATGGCCTGTGAGGTGATCTCTGCTTGGGTGAAATTGAACAAGGATGCATTCCCAGCGAGGTACCATGAAAGCCATTGTGTCTGGACTAGATTCCATGCCGGGACGCCTTGGGGGCATATCACCGGTTTGGCCCCAGTCTGCACATCGGTATTGCGCCCTCTAGGAGGCACAGGGGCTGCAAACCGGAGATCGCCAACAGGTGCTTGAGCATATCTCACATTCTTGAACAGATAAGTCTCGTCGACGTCCTATTGGGTTCAGCATAACGGACGGGATCATTGGGTCAGGCACAACCGCGTACGTCATACTCTAGAGCCCGGTGTATCTCATAACCAAGATCTACCTCTGGCAGAGATTGCGCAAACAATCTGGTGAGAAGGCAGAGGCCGACTAGAAGCTTTGAGGATTGCATGGTTGAAATCGTGGCAAACGCCTGAAAAGCATCTTGACAAAGTCGTTATCCCAGTCCATAATATATGATACGACCATTGCCATGTGGGGAAAGTGTGGGATCCCCGCAAATAATTCGAGGCCACCCAGATCATGAAAGTAAGATGGCTGGCATGTTGTTTCCACCGGAGGTCTATACAATTGCTGTAGAAAGCAATGAGTATAGAAAAGTGCTGCTTGAATTCGTACTTGACCTGATTGGAGGGTTTCCTCCACCGGATCATAGAAGCGTACTTTCGCAAAAAGAGCCGCACTACCGCAAACGTGGTGTGCACTCCAATTTCGATGCTCAGGTGCTCTGAATTTGCAGGCTATCACTTGTGAAGTAAGCGAGCCTGGGAGCCAATGCTCCAAGTGCGGAGTAGGAGAAGTATGATGTACCTTGCTACTGCGGCATGGTATCGAGTCCAGTTGGCCGTCAAAATCATTTGAATATACTCCCGGGGTTAAACACCATTTGGTGCTTTAGCTTCATTTAGGGCAGCGCGAGCTTCGGCTATGTCTATCACAACCAGGTACTGGGTAGACATGGAGGCAATTCTTGACATTGCTTTGTCTTCAAAAGATCACTCTCAATCGCCATTATCGACCTCGAGGTCCAGCTAGACATTGTTGCTGGCACCATAGTCTTGCACTGTGAGCTGGTCTTTAAAGCGTGAATTTCTCGCGATTGACGGTCAATCGTCGAAGCCACAGTAACTGTAAAACCCTGCGCATCTCGTTAGCTACGCTGCCTCCCAAAAGGTGATGTGCTACTAACTGATTTGGTTCGTGGGAAATATGATACTGCCTTCTTTGTGCCCAGGCGATCATTGATGTAGACAATACTCATGGATTGAATTAGTGCAGCCAGCGCAAACTATTTCCCCGGCTTTTCGCTTTTGCCGTTCTGATATGTCCTGGCCTATAAGTCGCGATGCATGACTTATTTCTTTTCATCCGCTCGGTTGCGACCGCCATCTTTGCTTTTTTGGCGACGGATGCCGTGGATGTGGCGACCGCGATCTAGATCTCAACCTTAGGCCATAGCGATACCTGGTGCCTCTCTGCAAACCAGCACCACAGCTTTAACGGTGTTTCCATCCCCGATGCGACCACGAGTTCTATCTTTATACTTCAAACCTGCGTCCTTTCGACGTGGCTGATCACGGCTTCTGTCTCTGTCGTACCGGAGTGATCTGCTGCGGTGGCTGTGGTCGTATGGTTTGGGAAATCCTTACTCGCTCCTGTCCGTACTTTTTTTGTGAGACGATATGAGCTTTTTTTCTCGCTCACGGCCGGCCATTCTGAATGTTGATAACGGCTTCGAACCGAGAGTAACAACAAACTTGGGTATGACAGACATGTCTTGAATACAGAATATGGACCAGATACCGATCCCAACCAATCTGTGTACTTGAGCGCCAATATTCCCGTCCATGTGCTTGTGCTTCGCCTTTGAGCCGGCGAGTCAGCCACGCATCTTCGACGTTGTCCCAGGCTGAACCACGAGAAGGCATGAAGGGATTGAGACTGTCAGTCAAGTCTGAGAGATTATCTGTGCTTTAAGAGAGGGCAATATGGAAGGATCATGTTTTGGTTGAAGTCCCCCTTCCAAGGGTCTTACCGTCAGACAGATATCAGGTGTCAAGAGCTCCTTCCGAAAAACGAGGCACCAAGGCAGTCGCGACTGTAGGCATAATGACGTCATCTGTACGCGTCGCGTCCACCACTGACTCCCAATTTTCTCTTGCTTCAGGCAGCGTGCAACTACTTTAGGCATCGCCAACACCACCCATTCCCTCTTACAACCTGCTGCTGACGGTAAAATACATCGCAGACCCTGGCTTCTCGCTCATGGCTGTCACTGAGGCCGCACACCTTGACTTTATGTATCTCATTCTGCCGCCATCGCGTTGAACGCTCGTCTTTTAGTCGATCATTGAGCATGAAACGATCTGCACCTACCCCATCAGGCTCGGTGTCACCGCCTCTGGTCAGGAGGAAGATAGAGTCAACTACCACTAGTATGTCTTGATGCAATGTAGATCTGACATCGACTAAAACTCCTCTAGATAAAGCAGTAGCAAGTTTTTTCAAGCCCGCCTCACAGAAAGCTCCTGATAAGTTGATATGGAGGATAGTCAACAGCAGTCTGATCACTGGTCGGTATGATCCCTCAGAAGCCCCAAAACTACCGAGGACTGCTCCTGCGAAAGTGGCTGCTTTCGACCTGGACGACACTCTCATAATCGCTAATTCAGGGAGCAAATGGGCCCGTTCCGCAACAAGTTGGAAATGGTGGGATGCTTCTGTACCTGCGAGATTGAAACATCTCTACAAGGAGGGTTATCTCGTTGTCATCATCAGCAACCAAGGAAACATCAGTTTGAAAGATAACCCCAAAGCCTTGCAGAAAGACTCCCTAAGTTTAACCAACCTAAAGAATCAAGTCACTGCAGTCGTTCAACAGCTCGACTTCCCGATCCATTTCTACGCTGCAACTGGCCAAGACAGATACCGCAAGCCTAGAACGGGTATGTGGGACGAGCTTTTGGATAATTATGATCTACAAGTGGAAGGAATGGTTGACTTGGCAAACTCCTTTTACGTTGGCGATGCTGCGGGCAGAGAAAAGACCGATAAGAGGCAGAAGGACCATGCAAGCAGCGACAGGTACGCCATTCCGACCTATGGATCCCCTGATGGTCTCAAAGTTGAGAACACCCTCTGATACCTATATCTCGCAGAGATCTAGCAGCAAACATCGGCATACCGTTCCACACCCCAGAGGAGTTTTTCTTGAATGCACAAGTGGAGCCCTACGAGCATGTCTTCGAGCCTGCAGGCCACCTGGAATACCTACAATCCTCAAAGCTGGCCCTGGACGACACGACTGAGTCATTGGCTGCAGCCCCGTTCACAAAGACTAGCCCACAAGAACTTGTGATATTTTGTGGTTCTCCTGGTGCTGGGAAGAGCACCTTCTTCTGGGATGTGCTACAGCCGTTAGGATATGAGAGAGTCAATCAAGACATCCTCAAGACAGTATGTGACCCCTCTTCGAGAGCATTTTTACCACCCTTTCCCTTTAAATTGCCACGATGTCATCCTAGAGCAAATCCCCTCCACATATCATTTTCCACGAGGAAGGTTTCAAGCTGAGACATTCCTTCTCGATAGCGGGACAAGTGCATCCGAAAGGCAAGAGAATTGCTTGGTGCTGGCTCATCTGTGGCTGTTGGTATGTACTCCAAATATTTCTTTCCATCTGCGAGACAGTCCTCAACACGCTCAGTCCGGCCCGAAATTTTGTGTTTCTATACATGTCAGCAATGTTTCAGCTGTCATACTCATTTGCCAGCATGCTGTGCAACAAGCGAGTGCGTTTACATTGCCTGTCACTCTGCGTCTAGAGGAAGCAGCACAGGATTCTGCACCCCATGCTGCCATTCTTCATTTCCTCCTTTGATTCCACGGCTGGGATATCCTCTTCATAAGACACGCATGCACGTTATGCCATGCAACCCCCCTTTGCATTGACACCGAACACCTTGCCTCATGCATAGCATCCAGCTTCATGCCACGCTTGGCAAGAATTGCGGGTGTCCACAAATCCTGGCCTCAACTGCATGTCGTAGCCGTGCACACTCAGTCATGTTACACGGGAGCTGACCAAAGAATGCATACACGTGACAGATAACACCAACGCAGACATCGAAACCCGGGCACATTGGGTTAGGGTTGCCAAGGAGTTCAATGTACCCATCCGCTGTGTACGTTTCACCGCATCGACACGCCTGGCCGAGCACAATGACGCTGTGAGAGCTTTGAATCCAGACACAGTATGTACAACTGCCCCAACCTCCACACCCAACAATGCCTTCAGCCATATGGTATGATGGACCATCTTGTGCGCACCGCATCAAAGAAGTAGATATGCCTTTTCTGACGTATGTTGATTGAGCAGATGAATCCTGAAGCGCGCACAATGCTCCCAGGCATCGCATTCCGTAGCTTTGTGCAGCGATTCCAAGAGCCAGAGTTGAGGGAGGGCTTTGCAGATATTCACAAAGTCGATTTCGAGGTAATGTAGCACATAGGGACGTCAACTATTCGCATTGAGCCTATGCTAACATTCATGGATGGTTCATAGTTCAAAGGGACAGACGAACAAAAGAAGCTCTGGAGTCGATACTGGGTAAGCAAATTCTCGACATAGGGAAGAAATATCGACCACAAATAGTCACCGGCGTGCATGCCGAGTGCTATTTTGACATCCTGAACACAAACTTTCTATCTCAAGGTATTAAGATGCCCTGCCTCAATCAGCGGACCTAGATTTAATACAGATGAATTACCACGACTCCAAGTGATGATCTTCCTTGGTGTGGATGATGTTCAACAGCTTTCAAGTTGTCCGCACGTCCCTTGGGGCGCATTCCCGTGAAAATATTATCGGTCCGTGCTGCACTAAATCACTTTCCACGGGCTTAATTCATCATTGTAGAGACGATGATGATAGCGCTATCACAGCACAATTTCCAATATCATGGCTTATGGCTGTAGTGGGGGCTTGGGGTGGTCTCGTTTTACTCTTTTGAACAGCCTTGTTAATGTTCGGGCTGAAATAATTGATTTGCGTGGGTCTCTCACTGGCGACCCGTCTGTATCACGGCCTACCCTAATAGTAAAGATGTAATACATGCAAGAAGAAACCAAGGTGAGATAGCCGGGACAGTCGATGGAATAATATCGACCACCAGTCAGGCCACGTCCTGGTTCTGGTCGCGATACTGGGCCTTTGCGGCGCCAACGCGTGGCAAATGGCACTGGTATCTTGATCCTGGGTTGATCTGAGCGCCGAGCAGTTGCAATTCTTTTCTAACCTTGTAGGCTTCCGAATCCATTTCAGACGGTGTCTCTGGCCACTTCATTTTGCCCGACAGTATGGTTCAGGTGCAAGAACGTGCACCAACGAAGACTGACTGCAACCCAAGAGACTGGGTGGGCGGCGCGTGCGCGCGCTAGAACATGCAAGGGTGCAGTGCCGGCGACATGGTACAGGTTGTGGTAGGTGCTTCAGCTGAGCCGAAAATGATCCCATGTGTGGAAGCAAAGATGCTGGGTGGCGTTCTGAAGCTGGAGAGACCTAAGCACGCCCCTGCGATCCAAACTTGTGGGAGCCATGGCGAGATTTTGGCTTTTGGGCGACCACGTGAAAGCGAAAACCAGAGGCGCATTGGTTGTAGAGGTGTCTGAGCTGTTCGTATTGATACGCTTTGACTTGATTGTGACGACGTCGGGGGCGCGTCCCAGCTATTCATCAGAAGCGATATTGCATACAATGCACCGCCGAGCTGGCTTTACTACTTACTTCATCAGCTAGCTGAGCGGGCTCAATACTGATCCATATCCATATGGGAAGACTGCCAGGACGTGAGAGGATTCTGGTGGTGTGCACGTTCCTCTCTCTAATGACTCGGGATTTTCGAGCTCCCCACGGCCAAGGCAGACATGTCGATGCGATTGAAGGATTGGCATCGATTACGTTTACCGTTAGGAAACGTGCTCCTGAGATATGCGCGCACGAGCATCTCCCCAGGTCGGGAAAAATGGCAGATTGGCACGATAACGAGCCACGACTAGTCCACTGTCCCAACAGACGGTCGGCTCTGGTGGTCACGTTCTCGAAGGACCTTTGGTGTACTGTACCGTGTGCCGAGTACATTAGTTTTGTTCCGATTATCATCATCTCATTTTAAGGATCAGCGGCGACACCGGGCGGGCACATGCGGTTGATGACAGAGGCTGCTACAGTGGGTTGTGTCCAGGTTTTCCTAGATGCCCGAGTATGCACCTGTCACTTCTTGAAAGTCATGACGATATGGTGGGTATATGATTTATGAGCCCGAGGAAAATGTGTCCGAGAAAGATCGACAAGCACCAGGCATTCGTGTGTACACCCAGGCGTACCAGGGACCAGGGTGCGTCCCAACAAGTGGCGCAAACCAAGAATGACGAGCACGATTGACGATAAACGGCGGCCATTCTCTTACCGAGGACGGAGTAGTCAATAGAGCTCGCGAACATGAGGACTCAAGCTGCCCCGGCGCATGGCTACTAGGCGCTCCGTGGGGAGCATCTGCTCGTAGTTTCTCAGGGAAGGAGAGTTCAGTGAAGGGCATGCATGGCTTGCCCAAGAATTGTGGCCGATTGGAAGCGGTCGAAGCCACGGACAAATAATCCAGGATTGTCAATGAACGGGTGGCTGATGGGTCAAAACTCTAGTATGCACATCTGAACGCTCCGAAGGTCTACGAGTCGACGAGCCGAGGGATTGTCCAGCCACCCCAATTTGTGCTCTTGTGACGTTGAAGCAGGCCCTCCCATGGCATCGGCCGCGGTCGGTTTGACAGGTGAAAGCATCCGTATTCTCTACGGCAGAGGTCCTTGGAAGCGAATATTTGCTTCAACCTTGCGTCATTCATTTCTGGCATATAGCTAGTACATGTAGGAGGAAGTTTTGATGCGGAGTGGCTGAGTAGATTGCCCGAGTTATCCCATTGCTCCTTGTAGAGATGGAAGAAAAGAAGAAAATGGTCTGCACTGCCGTTAGCGCTTCCATTGACTAGAGAAAACAAGTGCTCGTAGGTTGTGTTGGTGGGTGAGAAACGCACGTTTTTTCCCGGCTAGGACTGTTCGAGGGCGAGCGTTGGAAGAGAACGAGAACCAGCGCCTGGGCTAAACTGTTATAGGCAAGGAGGCTGGCGGGGATGATGGAGGATAGACGGCTCAGGCAGGTCGGAAGCTGATAGTGACCGGGGGCCAGGGTATATCTGATACCGTTCCTGCATGCTGGCTTTGAGACTAGGACGGAGTATTGGCATCGGTGCAGGGCCAACGGATTGATTGAAGGGTTGAAGGGACAAAGGCCATGAAAAGCCGGGAGGAAGCAGTGAAAACGGCACGGAAGGCTGCACAAGCGCCATGCCATGCCACCAGAGAAGCCGACCTTGTGAAGCTTCTTCACACGAGTGAGAGGTGGACGATCGATTCTCTCTGGCAGCTGCAGTGACACAAGGTCCCCTTCCAACTAGTACCAAGTATATGCATTGCAGTTCCGCCACTAAGAGGGTTGTTCATCGAACGGGAAGCGCCGAGCAAGATGCAGTCAACCGCCCGTTAACCTGTTATAATTTACAACAAGAATAACAGCGAGGGTGTCCGGAATGGTACATGGAGGGTGTGCGTCCAGAGTCCAGAGTCGAGAGATTCACAGGGACAAGGCAGAATCGATTCTTACCTTGGCTTGCATCATCCAAATGGAAACCAACCGTCAGGCCTCGCATTATGATTGGAATAATAATCAACCACCATCTGAGAATGACAGACGGGTGGAAGCTGGAGCTGGAGCTGTCACAAAAGCCAGCCATTTCGCAGACTTGAAGAGACAGCGGATGCCTTTTCTTGACTCTTCTGACCCGTTATTGTTATTGTTATTGTTGTTGTTGTTATTACAATGCCTATTATTACCGCCTCCTCGAGCGATTGAGAAACTGCCGGACCCCAGTTCCAGGCAGCACTGCAGTCACTCACCTTATTCGCATCTGTCTAAGTCGACGAACCACCAGACTTTGTGGGCTTGGTGCGGTTCGAATTACTCGTTCCAGTACGGCTTCCCGGTACCGACTAGTTGTAACTTGCTCCCGAGCTGGGAGGTGGGAGAGGTGGGAGGGACAGAAACGGTAAGAGATAGCGTGTGTGTCTACAGTACGGAGTACACGTACAGAGCATGTGTATCTCTGCGTCCTGGGTACGGAGTCCCTATGTAGACTGTACATACGAGGACTGAACTCCGTCCTGATGCCCTCACCCAGACCCGAACCAAGACCCGCCTGCCCACCAAGCCCAAGCAACAAGCCAAAACAAGCCCCCTCGCGCCCTTCGTTGGTGGCGCTTGGAGGAAAAAGTCTTCTTACTGTACGGGTAGACTTTTCTCTCCAGACCCATGTCGCCGGACTCGGGCTCCAAAGCGGGCGGGAGTCTTGACTTCCTCACCCTTGGAAGTTGCAGGGGTCCAGAGAACCGCTGCTCCGGGCACCCAGGCACCCAAAGTCGCCCCCAAGACGCGCCCCCGATCCAGACACGAACCTCGCTTGCCCAGTAGCGATGGGGAAACTCTGATCCTACAGTACTCCGTACCTCGTACCCGGTCCCCACCTGAAAAAGCCGCCGACTCACAACTCAAGAGAAGAGTTGGGCCGTCCACTACGGAGTACGCATTACTACGAGGAGAGTCTAGAGTAGTGATGACGAAAGACTCCCGGGACTCAACCTGCGCAAGTGCTTGCCCCCTCAACTGTTCGGCAGAGGCTAGAAAGTGCCTGCGAATGATAGGGATGGGTCTCATCGAAAACTCCCTCTCCCTCTCCCACTGGCACGGTACGGAGTACTCGTATGGACAGCCTACCCCAGTACTCTGTACTCCGCACCCCTACGCTTTGACCCGCCCACCCTGGCCCTTACCAGCTCTTAACCGACAAACCCAGGCTACTGGCCACTGGCCAGAGCACCACCAAACACCGCCGACCCAGAGAACTCCCAGACCACGCACATTCCCCACCACCCAAGCACCCAAGCACCCAAGCACCGTCCAAGCACACACACTCACACAACTCTCTTTTCTCTCCCCAACCAGTCATCCTGCTTCTCTTCGCTCTTTGCCCCCCCACGTCCATCTTTGTTTTTTGACTTGTCAACAACATTCTATACATGCCCGACTGACTGAATTCCTGATTGCATCGCACCGCACCGTACCTGTCTTGCCCTCCAGACCTCTCTCTTCCTGTGACTTGTCCACATGGCGCTGAACTGATGGCCTTGTTTCCAGAACACCAACGACACACGGACGTCGTCTAGTCCTAGTCCAATCCTATCTGACTGGTCTGTTCCCTTCTTCTGGGATCAACTGTTGGTCTGCGGTAAACACCCGCTTGGACCTTCGCGCAAGACACGAGACATCACACATCACACATCACACATCAGACCTCAGACCTCAGCCATCAGACAACAGACAACAGACAACAGACAACAGATACACACTCGCCCTTCGCCACGCATCCTCCTACCTTCCATCCATCTACCTCGCCTGAGTAGATGACCTCGACCCTTCACATCATCAATCCAGCCGTTATGCATCCAACTGTCCTACTTTGATCCGCCTTCCCGAACCAGTCCTGTCTTCTATTCTCGACTTATCCTTCTTGGGTCCCCCCAGACATTCGTTCACCTTTAGTCATAATACTATTCACTATTGTCAAATCAGTCTCGATGGATTATTCAACTGGACATCAACCAGATCCTCCCACCCAGACCTCTTCCTCGACCACGCCTTCTGTTAATTTGTCCTCCCCCACAAACTCGGTCTTCTCTCGAGGCCATTCCTCAAAAGGTTCCAGCTCATCCACAGCCTCCTCGCCCATCGCTCGAGAGTCTATGGATATGTATGGCGCAGCGAAAAGGCTTGAGGATGTGACAGAAGAGCCCCAAGAGAGAGACGAGTTTTCAGGCTACACCTTGGTCAACAACAGCCCCTACGATCTCGTTGATTACAACAAGGCTTTTGCCGATAGTCACGACCACCCCTCCCCCTCAGGTTCACCTGTACTCGTGCAACCCGAGTGGACCTTACGCGATGCCAGTGACTGGTCCACGCCATCCCTTGAGCAACGTCATTTCAAACGGCCGAGATCCATGGATCAGACTCCCCAGACAGGCTCGCATCGTCTGAGTAGTCGACTAGGCTCGATATCCCGACGCTGGAGAAACAGGTCTGCTGCTGGCCCCCAGCTGTCCTTGATCACCCACCTCAACTCTCCTGCTTCTCGCTCCGGCTCACTTAATGGTTCCCAAATCCTCAGCCCAGCGCTAAGTGCGATCTCCAAGCACGAGAGTGTAATTGCATGCTCTCCTTCGCAAGCCACCGCTAGCCAGAGTTCCTTGGAAGTGGAGTCTCAGCCTATTGATATCGAGTGGAAGCCTTCCAACCAAGACGAGCCCAGCCAGGCCACCACGCCCCTCCTTCCACCCGTCCTCTCTGAGCTACTCTCAAAAGAACCTCCGGTGCATTCACCCCTTCAATCTCCGTCCATTGCTCCGACTTCCACTGTGATGAGTGCACGTACATCCCTAGACACTCCCTCGCTACCATGTCTTCCCTCCCCACCACTCTCCACCAAGCCATCCATGATCTCTTTGCATAACAGATCTCGGACCAGTACAGTCACAGGAGATATACCACTGTTGCAACTACTGGATGATACCCACGACCCATGGGCTGTGAAACTCGGACATGCCAACTTCTCCATCTACCCTGAGCCGTACGTCCCCGAGACCATAACTCTCGACTCCTACGCCGAGTTCAGGAACAATTGGGATCAAGCACGAACAAACTATGCCAAACAAATTGCGAGGACTGCTGAACATTATGGCCCAACCTCCAAGGTCTATAGACTCACCGAGGAGAAATGGACCACTATCGACAATCAGTGGAAGAGACAACATGCCATCATGAGGAAAGCTCTGGCCCCTGTCCTAACTCGTCTGAGCGATGGCGACTCCGAAATGCAAGATTCGACAGCGTCGAGTGCAATGCTTGAGAAGCCCCTCACAAAAGTGATTTTGCCCGTCATTGATGATAAGAGTGGTAAATTTCCCGAGCTTGGAGACATGGAAATCATTGGGCCCATGTCGGTAGCTCGACCGCGAGCCGCCACAAACCCCAATAAGCCGGTTGAGACACGAGGTTCACCTGCTTCGCCCCAAAAACGAAATCTCCTCAAATTCCTCTCTGAAATCTTTCGCACCTAAAGTGTACAGCCACCAACTGCGACTCCTGTAAAAAGATTCCTCGACATTGTACAAATTTCTTTCGGGTTTACGGTTCCCTTGACATGAACACTGTACTTTTTTGTCACCAGTGTCTCAGTGTCTCAGTGGAATAGATCATAAGGGCAACCTTCTGGGTTTTTGCAAAAGTGTTCTTTCACAGAACCTCGCCTCACCATGGCTCACTATTCCAATCACCTCTGGTCATGGTGTTATTTGGTAGTTGAGCTACGACGACTACACTCTTGACGAACTTGATGATGCACGACGCAGCATGACTTGCGCCTTCAGCACAATGAAGCACTTTCACTCCCTCAGCGAGCGGCTTTACGGGATTTTTCCGGAGCAAGATAACCTACTATGTTTTGTTTTGTCATGGCGGCTTTATTCATCGAGCATACCCGACTCAGAAGAATCGGAAGATGTATTTAGCGCAGTCGGTTGATAGAGATGTAGCTTGACATACATGGGTGCTAGTTTCAAGAAAATATTATCAGGCACACACAGGCTGGGTAAAACAAGCAGAAATCATAAACAAATCAAAAATACATGTTCAATCAGACCTGCTATCCTCTAAGCAGTCCTCTATCCAAATTCAGCCGCGGAATGACTCCTAGCCACAAGTCTCCCTCCCACACTCAGAGCAAGCTTTAGGTGTGGCTCAGTGGTTCCACAAGAGCCACTTAGCACTCGCAGACGGCGCGTCAGGCTGAAAAGATCGTCACTTTGATTTAGAGGACAAGACACAGAAAGCCTTGCGCGAATGCCGATCACTTCTCCACAGCTCATGCAAGGTAGCTCAAGAGGTAGGCGCTACATGCTACTAAATACCAAGGACTTGGTACGAGGTAGGCTTTCTCACTTGGCTGTTAGATTATACAACAATTATAGTAGTTGAAACGTCGCATGGATACTACGGAAGCCGGTGCGTGCAGAATTTCGGTACCTTAGTAATCATTACTATATATCTCTGTGGAGTAGGATTTACGTGTAATTACATGACCACACCTGCCTCTGCCTCTGCCCGGCGCTCCCTCCAGGCTGACGCCGGCGGGACTTTCTTCCGATTCCGAGTCTCTGGTTGCCAGTGATGTGGAATATCAGTCTATCTCACTTCTCTGGGAAACTACTGCTTTTCTATCTTAGCCTAATCTGGCGTTGGATCAAGAGTTGAGAATGTGCACTCAAACCTAACATAAGGTCTCACGGAAGCTGCTCGTTAACAATGAGGCTCTCCACTTGGAAGGCCTTCACAACACTGAACATATTCGCTTCCCTTCCACTCGCAACTAGCAAGATAACCCACAATGCGCAACCATTATCTCAACAGCAACCGCCAGCTGACCTCCGCGATGGCGAATCTCTCCCAAGTACCTCGTTACTGGTGACCGCAGTGCTCAACTCGCCCTCTCCGCCACACCACGCCATCATTGAATGCTGGGCATTTTCGACTCCATTCAAAACATATCCTACGGTCGGCAAAGCCCTGACTCTAGGCGATACCAGAAATGCCACTTACGTGGTGCTGCCTCCACAGAGTGCGGAAGGCTGGCATCGCCCTCCAGCCAATATGTGAGTCCCTCATCTGCAAATGCGTACGTTTCCTTCAGAAGCTTAGTGATATCCATGCTGCACGGGACCAATACATTGACGTTCAGGTTGGATTGACCCTGTCTCTTCTGCAGGTATTTCATACTCCTCTCAGGCGCCGCCCATGTTCATGCACCTTCCCCATCCACGGGCATCGGGGAAAATATGCAGCACGCGCACGAACACTTGTATATCAAGCCTGGCCAGAATCAGCTGATCATCGCCGTCGATGGGGATCGGAGTGCTCCTGGCCATCTGACCTACTACCCAGGCGATACGGAAACGGTGGCCCTCCAGGTTCCTTTCCGTGGTGGCATTGTTCCAGATCATAGCGTCGTCAAGGCTGGTGCATGTGAGGGGCCAACCGACGAGGTCATTGAACCATGGTAGAGGTAACTGGACGTATTCCAGCGGCATCCTAACTCAGGACCGAGGACACATACTCGAGCCGACTGATGTGTAGGCTCTTGATATGTTTCACGCCTGTGTAAAGCATGTCTGAGATTCGTAAGTTTTGGTTATAGTTTCGTCCAGGACGTTTCCATATTCAACCCTGAACAAACTGGTAATCACTTGGGTTGTTCAATACGGTGGCAAGCCAGTTGAGATGCGCCACATTCACCGCGTTGCACTCTGTGTCCTCTGAATTTAGAGTCCAGACTCTCTCACACTCCTACTAGTAAATAGCAAATTCTGAGCGGCACAGCGCATGAAACACCTAGTCGTCGTTTTGCCAACTGACGTTGTCGCCCGGAAGACAAGGTCTGATTACAGAAACTATAATGAGTGCTATAGAAGGCTTGCCAGGGAGCAGTTCGATGTATGCATCCCTCTCCGGCTTAGAGTGGCCAGGAGGGGACGTGTTTTAATGGACGTTCTCTCACACTGCGATCGAGATGGTATAGCCTCTCGACCCGGATGAACCAAATACGCTAGCAGGCGCTTCAGTGATATATCCTCCATGGGTACGGAAAACTGTTGTCAAAAACGGAACAAGATAACTCCCCAAAAAGTCGTGGGTTGAGTCTTCGTTCTATCCAACCATGACGCCAACCCTTTGGTTCTGGAGACTTTCTTGCCGGAAATCAATAAACACATTCGAAAGTACTCTTGGAAGCATGTATATACGAAGACACAAGGCTCGTAATCTGATGTGGCATCAAAACAACGCACTCTCTGTGAGGCCTTTGCGTGTAAAAGGATTGCGACCACCCAGAGATTCTTTGCTTCGGCAGTAGAGAATCCGACTGTCTTTCATGCTTTCATGGCGAAGACTCGGAGTGACTATGATGCGTCCAGCTGGCAGCGAGAAGCACATATACCACCTTCACAATTCCTTTACCACAGAGGGAAGGCATTAAAGTCACGGTCCAAAAAAGTTGACCAACAGCTCGGTGGGATATGGGTCCATCTCAGCAGCTACTTTGCTCACGGCAAGTGATATAGGTCTAAGCCCCAGACATGTTGGTTCTGGTACGGTAGTTAGTATGCTGCATGATACTAGAGTCAGTTGTACCGGTGATATTCTAATTGGTTCCCATCTCAGACAGCATATTGCGATTTCAAGTCGGTGATGGCTCACCGCTGAGGTCTCCACCATATTCTCGAGACATCAAGCTTGAGCAAGAACAAAATCTGCCTCCCACTGCTTCGAGGGTCTTATCTCAATGACGATGTGGCTGGTCTTCAAGACCCACTTTCAAGCACCCTTGAAGGTCAAGAATTTCACGATTATTTAGCATCCTTAGCTTCTATGTCAGTGCAGTTCAAGGAGTCCTAAAGCCAGGCCTCTGCTGACCTGTAAATCAAGCAATGTGCCTGCCTGGGCCTCAACCTCGAATGATGCGACGTCAGTCTCGGGGTGACCCATAATCTGGGCCTCACATGTGTATCCAAAATATCCGTTCTCCACTGCTGTCGTCGCCAGTCTTAGACCAAAGCCCCTTGCGATATCATCATGCCCAAGCCGGAACATCATGGACCATAAGGCCGAACGGTCCCTTGGGCTGGTTGGCGATTCAGCCCATGACCAACGCACCTGAGGGATGACTTTCATCAACAAGTTGCAACACCACGGTCCCACAAACAGGTCATCACGTCAGGCAACAGCTCTTGGTTTCCAATTGTCAGCCTCCACGGACTCGGTAATGAACATTCCCAAGAAGAAACCCCAACCAACCAATCGGAACTGGTCCCGTCGGACCAGGAACTCCGGTGACCGATCCTTGAGTGAATATGCTTCGACGCATCTCCTAGGATGAATTCACTTAAATGATACAGGGTGGCATGACAAGAAAAAGGTTCAGATTCTTATAACTTGCATCAGGTCTTAGATAGCAAGACCATAGCTCTGTAGACTGCGAGCATTCATCGTCGCAGCGAAGCAGATTCCATCCTAGTCAGCTCGCCTGTTAATTTCCATGGTCAACTCCCGATCTGAACTTGTTATTTAAAACAACTCCCCAAGCCAACATGGCTACAAACGCTCCCCTGTCCTCTATCATGTTGCAAATCGCAGGCGTTGGCGGAGCAGCCTGGCTATCAGGTAAGTCGCCCAGAATCTTGCATGCTCTCTCCTCGGTGTGGAGCAACTACAGTCCACTCGATGAAGATCTGATGCCGAGTTCTCTCACAATAATTCAACCCAAACATCTACTAACTCTACCTCCCTCCCAGGGAACATCGGAGGTTTGTCATTACTAGCAGTCCCAGCACTCGACCAATCACGGAGGGAGGACTACGTCCCCGCCAGGACCCTCGCCGTGCAATGGAAGCGTTTATACGACAAGGGCGCAGCTCAAAACCCCCCGATCGCGATAGGCATAGCAGCCATCCTCTCCTATCTTGCGTGGAGCGCAGACTCAACCGTCCGCCTGGGCCTTGCGAGCCAACGACAGCTCTACATCGCTTCAGTCGCGCTCACCATGGGCATCGTGCCTTGGACGTTGATCATCATGGCCAACACAAATGGGGCGTTGTATAAGAAGGCCAGGAAGGTTCTTTCGCTACAGAAAGGATCCTCGGAGTGGTCAGCGACAGATGATGAGGAAGTCTCTGACTTGTTGTCGACCTGGAATCTCCTCAATGGGCTGCGGAGTCTTTTGCCGCTGCTGGGTTTTGCCGCAGGTGCAATTGCTGCGCTGGCTTGATCGTCTTCGACGTTTCGGCTTGAGTGAGCGCATTTGGATAGTACTGTTTACCAAGCTGAACGTTAACAACATTCAGAAGCGTCAACGGGAAAGGTGGTTGTGAATATGGTGTCTAATTACATAAGTAGGACCTCTGCGTCGAACATATGTAGGACTGAGATTTATAGGGGGCCATTGGTTGAGTTTCTGCCTACGGTAGATCCGCTTCGACTTTCACATGGTCCGAGGCAAAATATCACCACTCGATTCCTCGTCAGAATCTTCCGAGAAGGACTGCATGAAAGCGCGTGCACAACAGAGGACTATAATTACTCAAATTTTCTAGAGGCTGGCTGCTCAGATCTTCGCAGGTTTTGAGATACCAAAATTGCCAGCTTCCTATGCTGCAGAAACATGTGGTACAGGTTAAAAAGTGGTGTATCGAAAGGCTTCAATACTGTAAGCTTTTTCGCTGACGGCGCCCACGAAACTCGCTTGCTTTCAACTGCCATGCCAGCGAATGCTCCAGGTCACCATCTTCATAAGCACTTGTTCAAACCGCTGGTGGAAATTGCTTGATTGGCTATCTTAGGCCGAGGTAGAGGAGAGCGTTCTCAAGCCTCTGGCTCTAGAGGGTTTTTTTAGTCGGACTATTCAACTTCAGTCGCATTGCAATTGGTCACCCAAGGCATGGCCATGATCGTTGGATGCCGGGGACATATCATTGACAAAATCTTAAGGCCTTCGATAAGTCGATGACAACTATTTTGAATTGGTTACGGGACCACCATCAATGGAAGTACTATTGTGGGACTTACGTATACAGGCGTCTAGGCTCTGCTCACTACTGACTTCTAGCTATCAGCACTGATTCACCTGTGCCATTCCAATGATAAACGGAGAATGGCAACTTGGAGGCCGGATAGGTTCGAGTGCAGAGTAGTATTTCAGCCTCGCGGTATCTCCCAATCGGAACATGATCCGTCAAGATTTCGGCATGGTTCATTCCGAAAACCAATTTCGTCCGCACACGGCGCCCTGCAGCTACAAGTGTGGATTCAGTGGGACTAACTCCTGGAGCGGATGTAGGCGACTCCAGAATAAGATCGCTACAGAGATCTCGGCAGGGTGGTGAACTTGACCTGATATTTTCGACAGCCGTTTGCGGACCTCCGATTTGTGTTGTCCTTTGTAAACAACAAATCATCTGAGCAATAGTTTGTCGATACGCGACGGAGGTATGGCATCCATGATAGAGAGTTTGCCAACATTGGCTCTCCTGGGAGCCACGGGCAAGACTGGCCGTGAGGTGTTGAAACTTTTACTGAAGCGAGACTTCCAATGGCTACGGATCTACGTCCGATCCAAACAAAAACTCCTCAATCTATTCCCACAGCTCATTTCAGATGCCCGGATCCAGATATGCGAAGGACAGGTGACCGATCAGAAGACCATGCAGGAGTGTCTCTCGGGAGCGCAGGTCATCATCTATACCATTGGAGGATACTCTTATTTCCCGGACAACAGCTTGCAGAACTCAGCTGAGTCGATGGTTGCAGCATTACGGGAGCTTCAAGCAAGAAATACTGGCGGTTCGTGGGAGAGACCGCGAGTGATCTTCCTCTCATCATCGACATTGAATACGCGCTTTGCAGCTGCTCGACCCAGATTGATAGACTGGCTGATCAAGACGGCGTTCCAGAACGGGTACAACGATCTCAAACGTGCTGTCAAGGCCGTACAGGCCGATCCCTCCTTGCTGTCCGTCCTCTTCGTCCAGCCTGCTGTACTGGTCGAAGAGGACAGCACAGGCAGCTATGTCAGCGTGGACGACGTCAAACTCGCGTGCTCGTACGAAGACCTCGGAGCGGGCTTCGTGGAGCTGGCCCTGAACAGAGGCTATGATGAACTGCATGAGATCGGTTGTTCGAGCAGCAAAGGCAATAGAGTACCCAGGTACCTTCCGATCATGCTCAGAAAGATCGCTGCTGGCTTCTTTGCCTTTTATGTCCCGGGCGCTTTGCAGGTCACGAATGCTTTGGAGACCATGCAGCGTTGGATTTGGTGATATGGTGGCACAGGTGCATGCTGTAGCTGATCTATTCGAGAGTGCCAAATGGTGGTATAATCATGACTGAAGGTTTTCTGCATTAGTGTGAACGATGGGTAGTCTCGTCTGAGCCGTATATGTTTCTCTCCTCGAAGATTTCCTTCATAACTTGAATGGCCGCCGTTCCACGGGCTTCTCAAGGGTCAATGTGATGGATCTGCATAGCAGCTCTGCGGGAGATTAACCGCTATCTGAGAATGTATCATAATCGGCTGGACTACCCATACTGCTCCTCGCAATAATACTAAGATACACTATGAAAGGCCTCTGTTGTTGAATCGAGACTTGTCCGCTACTGCTGACATCATCCAATCCCGGAATATCCGTTCCTTCAAGTGGCGTTCAAATAACTAAAGGTGGACCGGCATCATCCATCAGGATGGCGAATAAATCTGCCCCACGGTCCCACGAAAGGCAGAAACGAAGCACTCGGAATAGGAATGGATTTGAAACCGACTCTGAGGAATTGGATGATTCCATGTCCGACTCAAGTCTTTTCCTTCCTGGGAAGGGCGTTGGCCTGGGGCCTGAATCCACTGCCCCCGCGTTTCGGGACGGCGGAGGGAATCCGTGCCCTGTGAAAGCTGTCTGGGTCGCTTGGGCCTTGGCTCGGAAGGCTGCCGTTAAAAGGGGCGCTGACCACCACCTTTCCGCAGCTCTAGATCTCCAATGCGTTCACAGCAACAACTATGTCTACTACAACAACAGTCAGCGTAACAACGACAGATACAGTTCGTCTCCCTAAGCCTGCAGAGCTCAAGATATTGAAGCCATTGCCGGTCTTCGATGTGTCAACGGCCACCGACGAGCGGACCAAAACCCTAGGCCAGCTGCTTCAGAAGGGTCATGTGACCGTCGCTCCGCTCCGAGAGCCTGAACTGATTCTACACAGCCATCTACCACATGTAGGTTGTTCTGAATTTTGAAATTATCTGCTCCAGAGGAAGCATCTCACACAGAACTAGCTCCTCGGTTCCGCCTACGGGGTTGGTGCAGGAATCGAGCAGTTGATAGAGTGTTACGAGCACGAGATCACCACACTCGTAAACATTGACGAACGCTTCGTTCGCGGCGATAAAATCGACCAGGCTAATTGGAGAGAACATCTGACAGAGAAACCGTGCGTACATTCGTTCGAGCATTGTCAACAAGCCGCTTACAGGTTTCCCCCAGGTTCACGGTTGCCTTTGTCGATTTCTTCGATGAGGAGATTAAGCAGGCTGGTGGAGATTGGAAGAAAGTGGTCGAGCAGTACCTCTACTCCGGACCTGCGCCGCTCATCAACGGCTATTCAGGTGGCCGTAGGTCGAACCCTTTGTCTGCCTAGTATCCCCTAATCTTGTTGCTGAGTAAATGTGCGTTGTAGTGGGCCATCCGTTCATTCACCTCGCCTACGCCTACGAGTACGGGAGCAAGGAAGTGGCCTCGCAAGCTTTGAGTCTCGGCTGCACGGAGTACGATGCCTTTCACGGCCTGATTGATCACGACTCTCCAGATAATTCGACTTACAAGACCACTTCGCTTGCGGAAATCATGCAGCGCGTTCACGAGGACAAGCGGCTTGACGGCATTTTTGAGCTCCCCGGCATCACCAACACCGAGCTTCTGGCGCAAAAGTACCTCCATGTTGTCCTAGAACACTGGAATGCCTGGAAGGTTGTCGATCCGCTCCAACAGCTCGAGCAAATCTGCGATCTAAGCGTATTATTAGCCATCAGCACTGGTGACCCGATCCCGTCGTTTGACTTCTTCTGCATTCACCTGATGACAGTTGCACACGCCATCAGGCTGCTATGGACATATATCCCGCAGGAACGACATGCTGCCATCCTTAAACAGTACGCTCTCTTCCAGATCGTTCAGTACATCAACCAGCTGCGACCTGCATTCACCATGGACAAGATCGAGACTGTCGACCTCAAGGGCCGAGACTGGGCTTGGGCATATGACACGGCGTTGAAGCACAAATGGGCGCTGGACTCGCACTTTTTCAAAGTCGTCCGTGCACCCAAAGTGTTGGAAGACACGTATGGTTCCAAAGACAACTTCTATCTGAAGGCGGCTCTCAAGTTTCTCGACGAGTTCCGCGGCTGGGAAGGCTTTGGAGCCGGTGTTGCGGGATTTGACCCGAGTAAAGATGGCTATATTCCTGAGTAAGAAATTCCCACTTTGGGCAGATTGGGTCGCGCTTTCGGTACGACTTAGTTTCAGTATATCATTTGGAGGCCTCAAACTTGGGAAAACTTATGTGAGCTGGCTATAGCACAGTGAGATTGAGATGAAGAATTTGAAAGTCGTTGTGATTTCTATTTTTTTGGTGAACTAAAAGTTGCCCACTTATGATCATTTGACGGTTCGCCCGGAGCTCCTTATGCTCTTGGAAAGTGCCTTCAGAAAACAGTCACCAGCCCACGAGCACTGACAAGAGATGGGTAAACCTCATTCATGCCTTGCGCTTGCCCCCTCTGATATCGCCAATGATCTCGTGGAAGAGTTGTCCGAAGAAAGACCGGGTCTCCCAAATGGGTAAGCATACCGAGACAAAGGTTGATGAAAACACCCAGATGAAGCTGATAATCACCCATGCCAGGAAGAAATGCTCCGAAAAGATGTAGTGGCTCAAAAACATGGGGATAGGAATGAGAAAGTCCATGATAAATGTGAGGACGAATGACGCGACACAGGCAAGGATAAATGCTGATCGAAGTCTCTTAGGATCTTTCTCTGTGACAGCATCAAGAGACATTTGTCGCTCCTCGTCGACCCGGATAGCGTCAACGTGCTTTTCCTCTGGCTGGGCTGCGCTTAGAACGGCAGGTGTCGACGTTATGGTGAGCATTTCATTGTCCGATTTGGTGATTTTCTCACTGTCATCCTGTGGAGTGCTCGATCCAGTGGATTGCGGTTCAGGATTTTGTCCTTCATAAACATCACCGCCATTGATGGCTCGTGTAGTGCTCCAGTCGAAGTTGTCTGGCTTTATGAACGACACCACAACTGACACAATGAGGCCCGTTATGATCGCAGCGAGATTTCCGGCGAGGGTTGCGTAATTGGAGCCAGTGCTGTTCAGAGTTATTTCCCCATAATACACCTTTGCTTCTGCAAGCCAAGCTGTCAGTCCGGCGATGAGACCACATACTGCCCCTGCAACGGCGCCGGCCCTAGACTGCCGTCTCCAAGTGATGGCAAATGCCGTAGGAAATACCGCTCCACCAATCAGCAGGCCCATTACCAGGAAAAGCCATCCCAGATCAATGCCAATGACGTTCCAAATGATGGCAAAAATTGACATAGTGAGTCCGAATATGGCAACATTAACGTGAGCGACAAAGATGAGGTTCTCCTGGGTTGCGGCAGGTTTGATGTACGTCTTGTAGATATCGAACGTAAGTATCGAGGAAACGGCAATCAACTCGGCCGAAGCACAAGAGGTGACTGCCATGAACAACGTGATGAGAAGGGCAACAGCACCGGCCTTGCCTAAGAGAGCACTTGCTGCAAATGCTGAGGCTAGCCCAGCTGAAATCTGACTAGGTGAAGGGGGGTTCGGGTATGTAGGGAAAGATGGATTATCTGTCAATGCCACTGCAGCCAGACCTAGTGTTGTCGCAAACCCGAAAGGAATTGCAAACCAGGCTAAGCCACCAAGGATGTAGGCGCGAACAGCAGTCGTTGGTCTTGATGCGATGGCGCGCTGCCAATATGCTTGGTCTAAGAAGACAGTTCCACTACCTGAGCATAATTGAATCACCCCGAAGATGAGCGCATTGTTCGATCTGGAAGGAAGAAGTCAGTCAGCGCCTGTTTCACGATAGAAGGGAGTCTGATGAGAGGATCAGTGGCAATCTAGAACTCACTTCAGAGTAAGATATGATCCGTCAATGTTTCCTTCAACCGGGCGTAAACTGGCAGCCTTCTTTAACAAGTCGAACATCTTGGACGGGGATCCGATCAGCTCATCGCCAGCGTACACCTGAAACATGAAGTACAAGATAATGACCATTAATATCAATGTATGGGAATAGTCACCTAAAACGTCAGCCTTTTGGTCAAAATTTCAAGAAAGGGGGATTCACAGAGAAACGTGGCCCGAAGTCCACCCATAAGAACATAGGCCACAACGCCTAGTGGGATCAGAAAGATAGCAGCATAGACGTTCATCCCGGTCAAAGTGGTCACAACAGCTGAGCCCCCAAGCAAGAGCTGGGAGCCAACGAGTACGTTGGTCACGAGGGCGAAGAAAATGAAAACGACATGAGCCAGAGTTCCATATCGAACCTGAATGATTTCGAGGAACGTGTGGCACCGGGGAGCATTCATCTTAGTCTTGCAAGCAAGGATTGAGAACCTGAAATGTCAGCCTCGTGTCTCAGCTAGTTGCGACGTGCGACAGAGGAACCTACATCAAGATCTGAACTGTTGCTCCAGCAGCATACTGTTGCCACATGAGTAGTGCTCTGGAGAGTGGTTATATCATGCAGAACGTACCCAAAACGGTCCAGCCACGCCGTATGTGTAGGCTACCGTACTGCTTTGGAGCAACGTGGCTGCCCATGTCCATGCGCTCACTCCACAGACAATCAGTAACTTTTCTGTAAATACAAAAAGGCCAAAGCTTGAACATCTTTGTGGGTGCTCGTTGTCTTGAGAGGGCTTGCTTACCTATGCCTGCAGCAATAAGACCCGGCTTGACACTTCGACTAGCGGTGTTGAATTCTTCGCTGGTCTTGGTAGAGAAGTTGGTATATTTGTTCTAAAGACATTAGTGATTTGGGGGACCTGCACAACTGGCTGAGCATAGATACCTGTAGCATAGATATCCCAATCATAACAACGGTGAAGAAGAAGCCGATTCCGACAACCACCCCATAGCCTGCGGCTTGGGGTAGCACTGTGGAGACAGTATCCGACATGAGGCGCGCAGTAGAGCTTTAGAAACGAGGTTAGGGAAAATGAGACACACAGGGCTTGAGAAGGCGACAACCAAGTATTTAACTCCTCTGATGTGGAGGTCGCTTCCATAGAATCGGTGCATAACAATCAACGTCAGATAAAATATGCGTATCCATGACCACAAGAATACCCGTCGAACGGCGGTTCTGCGTGTTGTCTGTGGCTGGCTATGATTGATGGTCAAGCTTCAGTCAGATGGCGGCAAGTGGCTTATCTTGACCAGACGTATGGTCGTTGGTGGGCAGATCATCCCTGTTAGACGAATGAAGATGACGGAGATATTGTGCATCGTTGATGTCCGATGATAACACATTACAGCATTCCATAGATGATCCGGTAAACAAGACTTTTGTGGGGACCGCATGGTATAACGTACGGTGATCAGCGAGGCTGTATCTAAATGTTCCTAAAGTTGAGATGCTATCAAGCAGGGGATATGATAAAAATTTCAGACTACTCCAGATTCGGAAGGTAACAGGGGCTACACGTTGTTTGTGCAGGAATAGTTAGGCCGATGTCGTTATCCATAATCAAGCCCAGAGAGCTTCATCTGGCTTTCACAGCGAGGTGAGATTCCCGGAGATCTTCACTTTCCGAGCGTTTCCTTCTCCAATTCCTCATAGCCTATTCGAATTCATCAGGGGTCTTTGGGCCGGTGTGCGCCGATACCAGGACCCCGGACAAGGCAATCGACTCCGACAACGCCTTCGTCCAGAGATGAAGGATCGAGTAGCCAGACTCCCGACGTTTCGGTAGTGCGTGGGAACCCCCTTATAGTGTCTCGAGAGAACCAAAGTCCTCGCTAATACTTTTTGCCATGTCAAGATGTAGGCCACTGAGAAATCATTTGAACCTACCAAAATCATTCCTACTAATCAAGATGGAGTGTAGAATGGCTTCAAAAGGGCCAAGCCGGCGACACGATGCTTGAATAACATTGGTGGCGCGAGGTCATGCCAAATCCCTGAAGACTTACTGATAGTAAGAACAAGGTGTCGATTCATAATTGGAACAAATAACTTCGGTGACTGTTGAAGGAACAAGCCCAATAATATGGCTTTGTTATTCGGTGGGAGTCCAGGTTGTTGTAAGATCAGTAAGGGGAAATGGCGTTGCATGATAGAGGAAAGAATGAGTGGCCTTCTGGGTGGAAATTGACACCAAAATTAAGACAATGGAAAAAACACGTATGCAGGGACTGAGGACCGTTCGTAGATGCACAGCAAAACGCGCTGCTCTGAGGGTTAAGACGTGGAGGCTATTGCCTCAAGGAAAAGGAAAAATTGATTCGATATATTCGGCTCGTGGCCCGGAGTCCTGCTCAGCTGTGCCCAGAGCATTCATTGATTGGCCTTGGGCTCTTTTCGCGTTCTCTAGCCCCTGACTAAGCCTAGGCTGGTCTCTTCGCTGATTCTTCATGAATAAAACCTCACCGGCATCAATTGTTGAAAAGCAATTTCAGGAAGTGTCGATAGGTAAATGGCTGTCGATGATCAAGAAGGACCTTGAAAGCACGGCCCAAGTCAAGATGGATGGTGTGAAGATCTCAACATGCCCCTGTCATTAACGCAAGCAAAGTTTTTAGGGAAATTAACTCAAGAGCATATTTCTGAAGATTGCTCACCTCAGAACGAATCAAAGAACCAGTCATTTCAGCTGCTCCTCTGTGCAAGAACCCATAAGAAAGGGGTAATTTTGCCGTCTTCATCGTCAGGGATGATCTCAGACTTGATTAAGCCAAGACCACGTTCAGTAAGAATTTGATGATATTTATCGGCATCAAATCCACTCCAGAACATCTGGGTGTCGCCTAACCAAGTTACACTCTTTCCTGGATCGTCTGTTGTGCCCAGGTTGCACAGCAAATAACCACCAGGCTTCAACCAAGAAGAAATCTGTTTGAACATGCCAAGCTGCTCCTCTCTTGGTAGATGAATGATGGAATAGAAAGCAACTACCGCGTCAAAATGGGAAGGCGCAAATGTGAGCTTCGTCATGTCACCAGCGATGAACTTCACCTTGTCGGACTGGAGGTTCTTTTTGGCGAAATCGATCTGTGCATCGGAAATATCGTTGGCAACAACCGTGCGAAACTTGCTGGCAAGGAGCTGCGTCCCTGGTATCCCGGCACCACAACCAAGCTCAAGGACAGCCCCTTCAGAAGAGTTTGGGACGAGGGCTAGCAGATCATGCAGTTTAGGCACGCGAGGCGATTCAATCGCTGACGTCCAGTCGTTATACTCCTGGGCGATCTTGTCATAGCTTTGCTGCACCAAAGACTTTAGCTGCTCGCTGTCTGCCATGCTGTCTGATCATGTGAAATACGGGGCAAGAGTGTGATAATTCTCATCTAGTCAATTCCCTCGCATGTTATAAGGCAACAGTGAGTCATGAGCTGCCTCCTTCCGGGGGCCTTCTTCCGTTTGTGCTTTTGATAACTGTAGGAACGCTCAATTTGCACCGTTATTCGGCTTGAAGGAGGTGACTCACGCATTGGGGTTACGAAATAGGAATGAAAGGCAGATGGGGCAGATGGGGCAGATGGCTTAGTTACTCGATGATTTTGATGAGCACCAGAAATGCCAAAAACATTCTGAGCCACATGACGTCATGTGACTGCACAGATGCAAGCACGTGACATTAGGACTGGCCCCGGCTGAGTCAGCGCGAGCACAAGCAGAACGCTTTCTATAGTACATACCACTGAGTTGCATCCATTCGGATTTTTGATTGATCGCACAGTACAGAGCTCGGGCCGATAGGAAAATTGCAGCTTGCAATGCAAACATGCCCAGTTCGTTCTCGGACCGAGTTATCTTACGGCCTTGTTCTTCTTCGACTTCATAATACTGCCCGGCCAAGTGCGGCAGAACGCGGCACTCTCGTCCATGCCGCCTAAGCATGCCGGCGGGTTGAGAGTGCGAATCTCGGACATAAGCATAAGTGCTTCAACGTTTGCTAAGTTTAGTGCCTCGTGCTACCTATCGATGAACTTCATGGCAAAGAAGAAGGGCCGGGGACTCACTATTGAGCCGTTCCATCCCCGGCTGTATTTCCAATGCTTCCTCACCTGGCTAAGCAATACCTTACATAGTCACTGGCTCTTTCGGTGCTCGGGCCAAAAGTCATTTTAGGGCCGGTCACCATGAATCCCACGATAACCAATTGAACTAATAAGGACAGGGCTTGGTCCCGGAATTATGAGGAGATGAGCGGTCTTTGAGCCGTCTCTCGGCCCACCAGGCCCACCGCCACCATCTCAGACATTTCAATGTTCCTTTTCTTCACGCGATAGTCTTACATTGATGCATCCGAACGTTAGTTACAGATCGTTTGATCTCAGAACGCCGACAGCCTGGGCATGGTGACAGAGAAAACAGCTGACCAGTTGCAACAACCAGCATGGTCAAGCTCCCAGGTCCAAGATGATGACGAAGTGCTGGAACACGACCCCAAGACCGACAACCGTGCTACCTCGAAATCAATAAGGCAGAAGGTCACCGACGTTATCTTCTATGTACCGCCATGGTGCCGGTATGATCCCTCACAGCCTCCGAGGTTTTCCATCTGGTATAATGTGCTCTTCGCCTTCGCTGGTGCGTTCACGGTGGGAAATCTGTACTACAACCATCCCATCCTGAACATTCTCGCGGAAGACTTCAATGTCCCTTACGTCAAGGTGTCGAGAATCCCGACATTGATGCAAGCAGGCTATGCGACCGGACTGCTATTTGTCTGCCCACTCGGGGATCTGTTGAAGCGGAGGCCTTTGACATTAGGGCTGATCGCCTTCACAGCGACGCTATGGATAGGTCTGTGCCTGACCCATTCTTTTGAGGTGTTCTGTGTCATCAGCTACATCACAGCGATCACGACCGTAATCCCACAGGTAATGCTCCCCCTCGTCACCGAACTGGCGCCACCAAACCGCCGCGCACTGGCGATCTCCATCACAACCTCGGGGAATCTCCTCGGGCTAGTTTCTGCACGCCTCCTGTCTGGTGTTGTAACGAACTTCACCTCCTGGCGTAACGTCTACTGGATCGCACTTGGCCTGCAATACTCGATCCTGATTGTCCTATGGCTCTTTATGCCAGACTACCCATCCTCGAACCCGGAAGGGCTGAACTACTTCAAGATGATTGGCGGAATCATGCTTCTGTACCCAAAGCACGCCGTGCTCGTCCAAGCTGGCCTCGTCAGCTACTGCATTTCTGCCTGCTTCACGTCATACTGGACCACACTGACATTCCTCCTCGCCGACCCGCCGTACGGCTACTCACCCATCACCATCGGCCTCTTCGCCCTGATCGGCATTGCTGGCATCGTCATGGGGCCCGTTTATGCCAAATACCTGATCCAGCCCTTTGCACCAGCCTTCTCGTGCATCGCAGGCTGCGTGGTCCTCGGCATCGGCGTCACCCTCGGCACCTACTCCGGAACACACACAGTTGTCGGGCCCATCATCCAGGCATTCGCGCTCGACGCAAGCTTCCAGATCACGCAGACCGCCAACCGCGCGGCGATACACCCGATCGAACCTCGCGGCCGCAACCGCGTTAACACCGCGTTCATGCTGTTCACATTTATGGGCCAAATGACCGGCACCGCTGCAGGTGCAGAGCTGTATGAGCGAGGCGGCTGGATCGCAAGCGGCAGCCTTAGTGTTGGCTTTGTCGCCCTGGCACTGGTAACTGCCATCACGAGAGGACCATACGAGCAAGGCTGGATCGGCTGGGGTGGCGGCTGGGATCTAAGGAAGCAGAATCTCGCTGAGGCCACGGGTGGGGCTGGCACGGTGGCGATGCTGGACGTTGCACCTGGTCCGGTCGCGATTGAGGACGGTGATCGTGATGGAAATGGTGTGCACACCGTGGATGTGGACATGGAGAAACAGGGCGATGGGCCGAAGCACGAGGTCAAATGAACGAGGAATGGTATTGTTTTGGAGCATTTTATGCACACATAGACTTCCGCCTGCATTAAGAGACAGCAACGAGCGACACACATGGACACGACAGAGGCAATCATATAGATAGTGTTGGGTTTTATTATTATAGCCCTGTATTTTATGTCACGATGAGCTTTAGGGTACAGATTCGCGTCCATTTCTTTTTGGGGCTCGAGAGCCGATGCTGTAGGCCGTCCCAACTAGAAAATAGTCATGTAAGAACGTCCTTCACAAGAAGTTCGTCGAAAAGATGGCAATCCCTGCTTCCATGGCTAGACGGTGCTTAGATGCCCTATTCGTATATTCAATCATCGAAAGATTTGTAGGGACAAAATTGGGATGTTTAGTTGCCCCAGCCCGTGCCCTAGAAAGAGTCATTCCACACGTTAGCAAAAACAGTGATTCCACAAGGGGAAAAAGGTGGAGAGCCATGTCCAACAACTGAACTTCGCACAGTCCACCCCACACCACCTGGAAAGAGCATTCAAGGAAATCAAACCCACCAAGCCGAGAATCTCCTGCCCTAGAGTAAAGTCTCTTGAGTTCTTCTCACCGAGCCACTGCGGTTGCGTCTTGGCCAAGCCCTCTTCGATATCAACGGCATTGCCGCCCGTGATGAAGAGTGCTTTCCCGTGCGTCGCCGGCTCCGCCGTCACCTGGATAATGTAGCGCGCCACGTCTGCCGGGGTGTTCAGTGGCATTTTGTTCTCTGTCCAGGTGTTGACGACGCCCGAGAGGAGCTGTGTGTCGGTTGCCCATGGGCCTGGTGGGGAGGGGTTAGTACAGGAAAGAGAGCTTGGACACATCAAATCGTAGCTTAGATAGATGCTGGGGAACGTACAGATCGCGTTCGTGCGAAGCCCATATAATGGAGCCACGTATGGGCGGAGCGCCCGCATTAGACCCATCACGCCATGTTTGGCAGAGGAGTAGGCGAACAGGCCCGGTGCTTCGGTGAAGCCAGCCACGGAAGAGACGAGGGTGATGCACTTGGGAGAGCTTATGCTCTTGGGATCGGACCTCGTCGCGGCAATGTCGTGGTTTTCTTTCAGGTAGGCGATCGCTATCCGCGCGAAGTACAGGCTGCCGTTCAGGTTGATGTCGATCACGTTCGCGATGCCGGTGGGTTTCTAAAAAGGGAGCAGGTTTGTATTGGTTTGAGGCGGGGAAATGGCGGCGAGTGGATATGGAAGGGGAAGGGCCTGATTGCTCACCTCTCGCACGGATTTGAGATCGAGTTTATTTGGCTCCCAGTATCCCGGGCGTTCTGTCACTGCAGCACAGCAGATAGCCATGTCGATCTGGCCATGCTTCTCGTATGCTGCGTCGAAGAGCGAGAGGAGCGAGTCATAGTCGGTAATGTTGACCTTCAGATTCGTCACACTGCCACCACTGCTGCTGGAGGAGGCTCGTAGCTGTTCGACAAGTTTTGAACCTTTGACTTCATCCCAGTCGCCAAAGAATACATGAGCACCTGATTCGAAGAGCTGAGTCACAGCTGCCGCTCCAATACCCTGGGCACCTCCTGCAAGGCTGAGGTCAGAACAAGGTCAAGGGTGGGAAAACTTCAGTCGGTCCACAAACCGGCAAGCACAACCACCTTTCCTTTCACGGAATCGAGAACTGTTTGGTTCACTACCACTTCCGCCATGTCTGTGATGCGGGGTGTCGTCGGATGAAGGGGGAGAAGGCTTAGTAGATGCCCAAGTAAGTCTCGAGAAGCTGATAACTCCAAACAGTATTTGGGCTGCCTCGCGAAATTGTGCAGAGTCGCTTACTTATTTATTCACATGGCTTTTCGGAAGACGCAGCGTGAGGAAAGCACTGAGGAATACCTCCGCAACCCACTTACGAGTCACCAGGTAACGAACCCATCTGTTGTGTGTATGTGGACTGGTGGATCAACGAGTGTTTGCGGCGTGTCGAGGTCCGGTGCACCAGATCCGATGAGGGGCTGTAGCATGCTTTTCGCCCTTCCAGAGGTTGGGCTTGTTCGGCAATTCAGTCCAGCGCCAATAGAGTGCAGGTTTGGCTCGAGTTGCCTGTTGGATGGAGGAGAAAGGCCAAAAGATGCCCCACACAAGCAGAGTTATGTGATCGGTGGTGCATGCGACCCGTGGGGCATTTCCGGGATATTTCCATTGGGTTTCTGTTCGTGTCTGGGGAGGCAGACGGTGCCACATTGAAGGCACTGAAGGGAACTCTACTTATATTGCGGTCTTAGAAGACCTTTGGGACGCTGAAAGTTCGAGACTAGAAAAGAAACGACTGTCTCGTATCAGATCGACATAGCCCATACTCCCAACCTTGACATCCGGTAAGATGGGGTCCGTCGCTGCGGAAAGAAAATGCATTATTGTGACTGGTACGTTGGCTTCGTAGAAAGCACGAACTCCTTGGTGGTGTTCCTGGATATGTCCACTGACAACATCGGGTCAGGCGGTGCGTCAGGGATTGGACTGGCCATAACTCGGTCATTCGCTGAGCAGGGCGCTCATGTCTCAGTCCTGGATGTGAATCCTGACGGGTCCAGCATCGTGAAGGGGTTGGTCTCTGAGTACCCTGCTGCCAGCCTGTCTTTCACCAAGTGTGATATCTCAAATTGGAGCGAGCTAGCGGCAGCATTCAAAAACACATACCAGTCACAAGGACGAATCGATGTGGTCATGGCCAATGCAGGTATCTCTCGGGAGGGAAGCCTGATCGTCGATGAAGACGAACCTTCACAACCAGGCTTGAAAACCCTCGAAGTCAATCTAATTGGGACCATCTACAGTCAGTGAAGTGCGGTGTCCATCGGCTGTAGCACTGACGCTAATCTTGCGATCCAGCCGTTAAACTAGCCATCCATTATATCAGGAAAAACGCCGTCAGCGGATCTTCAAGGGGATCAATCATCTGCACAGCGTCGAATGCTGGAATCTACCCATTTCCAGTGGCCCCTATTTATGGAGCCTCCAAATCGGGGACAATTGGCCTGGTGAGATCACTTGCAAAGCCTCTGGCAAAACACTCGATCCAGATCAACGGGCTGGCCCCCGCGGTCTTAGGTACGTGAATCACAACGCAACCACCAGTTGAAAATCTGGCTCACATGGCCTCGCAGAAACAAACATCGCACCAAGCAAAGAGCTGTTTAAACCGATGATTGTCACGCCTATGTCGACCCTGACGAAAGGTGTCCATCAGCTAGTTTCAGACTCATCACTGTCAGGAGAAATTGCCGAGATACATGGTGACAGTGCCACGCTGCGTCAACCACCTGATTATGTTGATGAAGACAGCCGAAAAAATCTTGAGACTTTCTGGAACTTGGGATATGCATGAACGTGGAGGGATTGGAGAGAAGCAAGTCTTGATCAGTATCTTCTCAGTATTGGTCTGGCAGTCCGTCGGTAGAAGATGCCGGTCCAGGCTTGACCTCACAGGACCTTGACAATAGAATCTGGGAAGCTTCTGTCCACGAGACAGCTCGTATCTGCGCTCAACTCCAACAATGCTCCCAATAAGATTGCGCGATATACTAAAATCCTCCTCAATCTCTCTGGATCTGTCTGTGCACCCATGTGATTAGATTCTCGTTTTGGAGTCGCAGATGTGATCGTTTGCGCACTCTCTAGATCATCGGGAGACTCAATGCCGAGCTCTTTTTCGATGTCTCGCACCAAGGAAACAGCAATGCATATGGAATCGGCGCGGTTGTGAAGGCGGATCCAATCATCAACCAGATAAATGCCAGTGAGTAATTTCTCTTTAGTTTTAATCGCATCCTCCATCAATAACTCCTTCAGAGTTCTGCCTTTGCTACGAAGTTCTTTCACCCAATCGCAACAAAGCTGAATCATGTCGCTTGCAAATAGAAGGTCATGCTCGGTCTTTCGAAAATCGGTAGTCATGCTGGCGGTACACCACCCAGCGCCAGGGGGGTCTTCAAGCCAAGAGGAACTGGAATGATGACGAGCACGTGCGCCATAGATGTAGAAAGGATAGGCAGCCGTTGAAACGGGGAGGAAAGCCCCGCTGTATTGTTCGACAGCGCATTGCATGCCGGAAGTAACTTCATCTGGAGTCTGGTACCATTCTTCAACCTGGGCAGCAAGCTGTTCCACAGCACCTTGCAGACCTAAGAGCGTTGAGGGGAATGCTCGCACCAAGGAAGGCACCGAGGTAAATAACAGAACGGTAAAGATGTAAGCTTTTGCAAACCTGGCACCGTAGGAGCCCCTTGTTGCGTACAAGACCGAGTCCGTGTTTGAGTTGAGGTGTTTGTGATCGCAATGAGAAGTCAGTTTCTGGAGGAAGACACCATAACTTAATTGGACGGAGCCTTCATTGACAGCGTATCCGAGATATCGACATTTCAGGAGACCGTGAGACAGATCGAGCATGGTTGCAGTCTCGACAAAGCCGATGCTGTGGAGCTCGCCGAGGTTCAAACGATATTTGCTGGCATTCGGCCTCTTTCTATCTCGATATTTGGGGCTGTCTCGATAAGTCTCATACATTGCAACTGAACCAAGCACCGGATGATCACGAAAGGTCAGCTGGGATGACTTTCCAACAACGGTGACAAAACGACTGCCTGGGCGTCGTTCGACCGCGCAACCATCGTCGGAGATGGCTGCCAGGTGAGCCAGGAAGACAACCGAACCAGCGGCGGGGGCCGCAGAGATATCAGCAGGGAGATTGTCAGTTTGTCGGATGACGGTGGACCATATCCTGGGATCTGAAATTCCGAGTTCGTTCAACAGCCTCAGCCACGATGCGCCAGGCTCGCTTGTCCCAACCGCTGGATTATGCTTGCTACAACAGACATGATCGGGGAACTCACGTTCGATCCTGTGGAGCTTGTTTATGCGGTTGATGGAAGGCACAGAGGCCTTGGTACGCAAACCCAGCTCAGTGAAGTCGAAGCGCGACTTGGAAAGGTCGGCAAAGGGACCAATTGCTACCTTACTGGCTTTGATGCGTCCCGGGCCTGCGGCTAACAGACCCTGGAAAATCGTAAGGCAAGCAACGATAAGGGCCAGAACGCCTATGGCGGCGGTGATGGCGAAATTCAGGGGATCCCAATTGAATTTCGAGGTTGCTTCAAGGAGTTCCTGGAGCAAGGCTCGAGTTGAATTGTCTTCGAGGAGAGCCCGGAGCAGGCATTCTGTCGAATTATCTGGACATATCGGCATCGTCCTTCAGCATAGACCACGAACGGAATTGGCGATATTCTCGGCTGGTACTGAGACCATGCTCTTCACTGGTGTCACCGCGTCACCCTTGGTGCCTTGCAGCTGGCGGTGACTTAGTCATCCATCTGGTCTGATAAGGGATAGGCTCCCCAAGCGACAACACGGAGTACCAGTACCTAGGCAAAGGGGTGCTCACTGTTCAAGGGCGGAATTGGCTCGGCGGTTAGCCTGAAAAGTCAGTATATCAATCAATGATGCTGGAGTACGGAGGAATGCCAGGAGAGTTGAGCGACCTGCTAGTGCCTCGAATTCTCAAATGGAATTATCTCGGCAGACGCGACGAAGGCCGGAACCCAAGGAGTCGTACAACAGAGATAGCATCCCTTGGGCCGACGTGCCCATTGGATATATCCCATCTCGACCTCCCTCTGGCGGCTCCACCATTACCCCGGACTCGATGTGAACCTCGGAGGTGATCTGAAGACTTGCGGAATGGGCCTGACGTACCTGGGCCAGTCGAGACAATATTAGAGGTACGAGTACCTGCACGTCCTTGGGTTAAATCTCAGTAGGACCTCCTTGCTTCCTTCTACATACTGCCTACCGCCTCAGGATGCACCGTTAGAGAAATCTTGAGATCCTCCTCCAGAATCCCCTCTCCGTCCCTCCATCATGTCATCAGCCAAATCCAGGCTTTCAAGCATAGCCGCACATTTTCTACCGTCCCCATCCGCCTCAAATGGCAAGTCGATCGACAATCTGAGCATTGGAAACCATACCGTCGGTACGCCGTCATGGTACAATAATCACACGCTCTCGCCCACCTATTTCCTGCCGCGTGCAGCTGAGATCGAACCCAATGCGCCGGCCATCTACCACCGCACCGCCAACAATCACATCATTCGCAAGACATACCAAGAATTCGCCGACCGAGCGCGTGGGTTTGCATATTACTTGAAGAAGAAGGGATACAAGAGGGTCGGAATCCTGTGCGCCAACACGCCCGCGTTTCTCGAAGCAATCTACGGGATTGGCGGTGCGGGTGCCATTAACATTGCTATCAACTACCGCTTGAAACAGGATGATATAGCCTATATCTTTGACCATGCGGATGCCGACGCAATTATTGTGGATGCGGAGTTTGTGTCGTTGTTGGACAACTACAAACAGACACATCCTGATGTACCGTTGATCATTGACACGGATACTGAGGCGGTGGATGGCCCTGATTGCGGTCCATTCGATCGAGCTGTGCTCGAGGGCTTCGAGCACGAGCGGTCGCTTGGTTCTCAAGGATGGGCAGGCCTGCAGGTGCAGGCGCCTAACGAGCTTGAGGTGAGTGCGCTCGCTTACACATCAGGGACGACTGCACGACCGAAGGGTGTGGAATATACGTATCGAGGCTGCTACCTGGCGGCATTGGGCAATGTCATCGAGTCGGGGCTTAGTTACCACGATGGCGAGCGGTGCAGATACATGTGGACGCTACCTATGTTCCACGCCATGGGCTGGACATTCCCGTGGGCGGTGACAGCTGCGCGAGGGACTCATTACTGCTTGCGAAAAATCGAATATCCTGAAATGTGGCGGCTGTTGAAGGAGGAAGGCATTACGCATTATTGCGCAGCACCGACGGTCAACACATTGCTCTGTGCAGACAAGAATGCGGCCAGACTCCCAAAGCCCGTTCGGGTCACCGTGGCCGCAAGCCCTCCCACTGCACACTTGTTCGAGCAAATGACCAATGTCAATCTCCAGCCGGTTCATGTGTACGGTTTAACGGAGACGTATGGCCCCATCACCAAAGGGTACATCCTCCCCGAATGGCATGAATATTCCAACGTCAAGGACAAATATGCCAAAATGGCACGGCAGGGCCATGGATTTGTGACATCCCTTGGTGTACGAGTCATCAAGACCGAGGTGCCCGAAGGAGTGATCGAGGATGTGGCCAAGGACGGGAAGGAGATTGGTGAAATCGTATTCAATGGAAATATCTGTGCGCGAGGCTATTACAAAGATGAAGCAGCGACGAGGAAACTCTACCTTGGTGATGTTCAGCATTCTGGTGACCTGGCGGTATGGCATCCGGATGGGGCAATTCAGATTCTTGACCGAGCGAAGGATATCATCATCTCGGGTAAGTTGGATTTGAGAATTTTCCGACACCACAGACTGACAATTTGATTCACAGGTGGTGAGAATATATCATCAGTCGCTCTTGAGTCGATATTGGCAACACACCCCGACATCCTCGAATGTGGTATCGCAGCGATTGCAGATGAGAAGTGGGGAGAAGTACCCAAAGCATTTATCACGATTCAAGCGGAAGCTCAAGTGACAGGAGAGGACGTGATTAAATGGGCACGCAAACACCCGGGCATCAGTCGGTTCATGGTACCGAAAGAGGTTGAGATTGTGCCAGAATTGCCCAAGACGAGCACTGGCAAGATCCGAAAGAATGTGCTGAGAGATTGGGCCAAAGGAAAGTCGCGCGACGGCGAGTGATCTGGTCTTGCAGTGGTCTGTCTGTTTGTCGACTGATGTCACATATGGTTGGGGACTTTGAGACTATACCCGTGTTTTATTGCTAGCACAATGCGCAAGATGAGGGAACTAGAAAAGTCAAGGATTGAGTGAGGATGTGAGATCAGTTGGTGCGAGAGGGTATGCCCGAACCGTCTGTATCTTCTTCCCCTTGGACCCTCTGAGTCCGCAGTAGGGTCGATGATGTCGCTGCAAGCGGCGGGGGTGGAGTAACATGCAGTCTTATCTTTAGGGATTGTGTTGGCGACTTGTTAGTCAATTCAATAAAAAGTCAAGGATACTTTGATGAGGGGGAGAAGCGAGATGCATCTTTGACTAACGTGGCAGCATGAGAGTTAGGACACGGGCGTGGCGGAGATTGATGATGATGGAGACTTTCAAGCTGAGAGGGGCGAAGTGGATGCTCATCTTCTAGGCACATGGCATATGGATATGGGGCAGAACTATGGAGTATGACTAGAGATCCTGTTATTGACAGAAATAGGTCGAGCTTGGGCTATTGTTATGACTCGTCCTTTGACACTCTGTACTTGGTATAGTAGTGTGAGAGACAGAGTACTCGGGGCTTGGGTCCTAATCTGCTGTTCCTCCTCCCTACTGGAACTCCCTAACTAGTTAGATAATTCATCACAAGTCATGCCCCCAATCAAGCCCGGTTTAACCACCTATCAGGCTTAACCCTACCTCGCTAGGCGCTTTAGGTAAGGGCTTGCCCCAGTTAAACCGGAGCAGCCCTGTCAGACTGGTCATCACTGGGCTTAGCCACACCTGAATGACGAAGCATCGACCCAATTTTGAAAGCCGAACCTCAAGACCCCAAGCCCCAGCGTCCAACCTTACAGGAGGCTCTTCGGATGTTGACCCTGACGGAACAAACGTTGGGCACCTGAAGGCATCGCGATAGGTAGCCCTCTGCCCTTGTACGGGTGCCCCTGGGTGGTCCGTACTGGGTGCCAACCTAAGGCTACCGTACCTTACTTAGTCTTGATATGGGTGTCGGCCACGGCTGTATCCATCCAGTCTCCATACAATCTTCAAGTCACGCAGTCGCACCGTACGGGGCGCTGAGTTGAGTTCGAAGCTACAACCACGGCCACGGCCACCACTTCCACCTCCACCATCATCACTCCTGCTCCCTACCAACCAACAACAACAAGCTCCATTCCTCCTCCCTCATCCACCTCTTCTACTACTATCTCATCACCTACCCGCAGACTGCGATCCCTCCACCAGCTCGTCACCCTCATCCACCACCAAGAACGCAGACTCCCCATCTTCCTCTGCCTGCGCCCTCGATCAGGAGAGGATCTCCCACCTGTCACCGCCGTCGACGTCCCCTGCAATTTTCCTCCATCACCTCTCCTATCTCATCCGCCACTTCAACTCGCCCCGACCGCCCAGTCCTGCTGACTATTACCATTCTGCTCTCTGTTCTTCGAGGATATGCATACTATTTTATCTCCATCTGCATTGCCGTTTGCATCTTGTTGAACCTGCCACTCCTTTCATTACCAACCAACCCAATCCCGCCGCAGCCGCAACCGCAACCGGGCAAGCCTTAACCGCCCACCACTCTCCCACCTCGCTACCTCGCTCCCTCGCCTTACGCCATGCACATTGATATCAATCGTCTTGCTTGAAAGCGTTTGTTTCGAGAGAGTCTGGATTTGCGCAGTCACAGTCACTCGGACGATCTATCCTCGGTGCCTACGACAACCACGACAGCCACGACCACTCCTCCTTCCCGCCTGACCACGTCAACCATGGCTGCCGAACCGCGACATCGCCTTTCTCCTATCCATACTCGAAACTTGAGTACAATCACTGTTGACTCGGACAGTTCAGATAGCTCCCCGTGCCCTGGCGACGATGAAGATACCGATTACTTCATGGCACATGCCAATGACTCCCAGTCCTCTCTCGGCGCAGTCACGGCCATTCGAGATTGCGATGACGATGTCGACCTCGAACAAGTCCACCGCCTCTCACCCATATCCAAACTCCCGCCTGAGATCCTCATTGCCACCATCTCCAAATTGACCACCACGTCCGATCTCCGAAGCTGTATGCTCGTTTCCTACCACTGGGCACTGTACACTGTCGGCGTATTATGGCATCGACCTCTATGCAATAAATGGGCCAATCTACTGAGCGTTGTCGCTGCTCTAGGCAAGGGTGACAAGAGCTATTTTCCATACCACGAGATGGTGAAGCGACTGAATCTGTCTGCCATCGCCGACAAGGTCAATGACGGAACGGTCCAACCATTCAAGAACTGCAAGGCCGTCGAACGTCTGACTCTGACAAACTGTTCCAGGTTAACTGATTTCGGCGTCGTCGGCTTGGTCGATGGCAGCAAGAAGCTCCAAGCTCTCGATGTCACCGATCTAGATGCTCTGACCGACCAAACCCTACACGCTGTGGCAGAGAACTGTGTCAAATTGCAGGGCCTGAACATCACCAACTGCTCCAATATCACCGACGAGTCGTTGCTCGAAATCGCCCAACGTTGTAGACAACTCAAACGACTTAAGCTGAACGGGGTCGTGCGCGCCACCGATCTCTCCATTACCGCTGTTGCAAGAAACTGTCGCTCCATCCTCGAAATCGATTTGGCCGGCTGTCATTCCATCTCCTCTGAGTCGGTCACCGCCTTGTTGTCAAACCTGCCCCATCTACGCGAGCTTCGCTTGGCCCATTGCATCGATATTAATGACCTGGCCTTCACTAATTTGCCACCCCGACTTTCCTTTGATGCCCTCAGAATCCTGGACTTGACAGCTTGCGAACAAGTTCGCGATGACGCTATTGCCAGAATAATCCCTGCCGCGCCCCGCTTGAGGAATCTGGTCCTGGCCAAATGCAGACACATCACCGATCGAGCGGTGGCATCAATTTGCAAGTTAACCAAAAACCTACACTACATTCATTTAGGCCATTGCATCAATTTGACCGATACCGCTGTTATCCAACTGGTCAAAGCCTGCAACCGAATTAGGTATATCGACCTAGCATGCTGTTCCCGCCTGACTGATGCAAGTGTCCGCCACCTGGCTCAACTTCCCAAATTGAGAAGAATCGGCCTGGTGAAATGCCAGAACTTGACCGACTCGAGCATCATGGCATTGGCACATGGCCCCTTGTTATTTAGTCCCACGGGCAAGATCGGTGTTCCTTCGCAATTCGTTTCTTTAGAACGGGTTCACCTCAGCTATTGTGTCAATTTGACTTTGAAGGTGAGCATCTCATGCCCTGAACGCCTGGTGACAATCTAATTTAGGCTGTAGGGCATCACTGCACTTCTCCACAACTGTCCGAGGCTCACCCACCTCTCCCTAACAGGCGTCCAGGCTTTCTTGCGCGAAGATTTGACCCGATTCTGCCGTGATGCTCCCGCCGAGTTCACGCACCCTCAACGAGATGTATTTTGCGTGTTTTCTGGAGAAGGTGTACAGCGGCTTCGTGAATATTTAATGCGTCTTGCCATGGATGAGGCCCAGAGAGAAGGCCGTGAGGTGATCGATGACAACCTACTGGATGGTGTTGATAGCCCCGGTACAGATACTATGTCTGACGATGGAACCATTGATGGGAACGATCAGCTTGTGGATCCCGTCCTCAATCCTCATCGACACGGCTTGTCATTTGCCAGTACTCCACGCACGAGACCCCGACCTAGAAGTTTGCATGAAATGCGAAGTTACCACGTCGACATGCCCCTGATACCATTTGATCAAATACAGCGGCTGGGCCCCTGGACACCAGGAGAGCCGTTTACTCCGGAAGCTCGAGCTGCTTTGGCACCCCCGCACCTGAATCTAATGAGTTCCAGCAGTTTCGAGCATCATAATGGCTATGATTCTCAATCTCGAAGTCCTGGACGGTCTCTTGGCTACGAAATGGCGGCAGAGTACAGTGAACGCGCAAGAAGTACTTCGCGTACTCCTTCACGGCGGCATACCTTGGAATCCAGTTCTGGTGCATTCGGACCTCCTACAGTACCCATGCATGGTTATGGTGAGAGCAGTTCTCGACCTCTTGAGCTTGCGCATTACGGATCTGACCCTCGAACTGGTTATTTTGACGTTGATGATATGAGACGATTTCCGGGATGGACTAATTCTAGCGCATTTGTACCAGAGCATCCCCGGCGGCACACCCCGGGAGCAGCTTTCAGGAACCCGGGCGACGTTCGGGTATCCAATCTGCGACCTGAACCGGGGTTTAGTGCCTTTGATGCCAACCACGAGGCCATCATGTCTACCATCCCTGGCAGCCGATCTGCGAGTCGCCATCCATCACGATCGAACAGTCCACATGCTTCTCGTGTGAATAGCCGAAGCAGGCTTGCCAATCTCATTCCCAGAAGCTATACCTCCACCCCTCTCAGCCAGGGCGAGAATGGGGCCCGATCCTCCCGACAATCACGAAGTCGAGAAATATCGAGATCAAGGATGGAAGAAGAGGCGCACCGAGAGGCGATGATTCATGCACTTGCCGAAGCAGATGCAGCTCAACAATTGAGACCTAGTACCTCCAGGATGGAGTCTGACGCCCCAGTGCCGCGTCCGCTACCGGCCTTGCCTTCTGAAGTGATGGAGCCGATTCCCGTGGCAGTAACTTCACCTGTTGCAGCTTCACAGCAAGAATTCGTGGGGATTCAAGGTGGTCCAGAGCAGGATATGGACCAAGATGTGCCAATGACACAATGAGGAACAATTAGATCAGGGTTTGACCGTCTTCGGCTTGAAGGAGCACCAATTTAGACGGGATCAAACATGAATTCAACGGATCAAAACGACTTAAGCTACGAAGATGATTCTCCTGGTTTTTGGGCTTGTACAGCCACCCGTATCAGCAGGTTTATTGCTGGATCATGAGTGGGGTGCAGGTGTACCACATAACGCTACGTTTCATACACCTGGACTGCCAACGAGCAGTGAGCATGGAGTTTAGGAGGTCTGGCCACGTGGAAAACGGTGGTGCTTATGGAATGGGGATCAAGATTTCATATTTTGTTTGCGAGTATTCGCTGCACTTGGGAGCATTGCCACTGGGGCTTCGGGGGCTTTCAAGTCGGCGATCAATTGGACGCATCCGCATTGTGGAAAGCGACCACAGCGCATGTGCATGAGCATTACGTTTCATTCGCCTCAGCATTTCCCCATCGTTTAGTACTAGTATCAACAAGACACAGCAGCAAGAAGTTAGTGGACTTAGTGGACTTTCAAGACAAACAACCATTGCCTAGCATCATCCGCTCTTCAAGAGGACTCTCCTTTCTTGTTGGATTCTCAATACCTGCCAAATCCGCTTAACGTCGAGCCCGTGTGAAAGCTCCACTCGTTACCATCACAGATGAGATAGGTAGAGGCCCAGTTTAATTCTAAACGGTGCACAGCCACTTGGCTGTGGCGTTCGCCTGTGGCGTGAAAGTTGGTCTTGGCAGTAGCTCGTTCTCTAATCCCCACCTTTCGCAGCTACGTACAGCAAGTGCGGATATCAAAGCGCATGATTGCTTTGAATACTCCTCAGTCCTCTCTAGATTCTCTAGATCTCAGCGGCAATCAACTATTTCCATCCTCCGCTCTCCTATACAGCCTTGATATGTCTCATCGTTCTCTAACACGATGGGCGATAGGAAGATGAGATAGCAGGAATCCAATTGCCCTTCACACGCCATAATGGCGTCACGACGGGCCATGTCCCGGCCGTCGACACTCAATTTCTTTCAAGGTCATCATGCAACACGGCCGCGTCCACGATCATTCACGCATAGAACCTCTCTTCTCCTAGTTGCTCGACCTACTCCACGCCCACAGCTGCCCTTCCTCAACCCTGTGTCTCGAGTAAATGCCATTCAAGCCCAGGTAGGGCGTTTCATCTCCACTGAACGCAAGCAAAGATGGAAACACAACTTCTGGCGTCAGGTCCGATTCCACGGTTATCTATGGCCCTCAATATTCCTTGTCGTCGTCGTCATGAACGGCCTCAAGCATGTCAAACTCGAGCAGGAATACCCCACGCCGCCGGAATGGAGCTTTTGGACTCGCTGGTCATATCGCATGGCCAAGTACTCAGAGTTCGAAGAGGAGGCCAAGATTCATCGTGTCTTGACGGACTGGAGGCAGGCTGGAGTTTACTATATGGAGGTACTGAAGAGGCTGGAGAGCGAAAAGTATGATGGAAAAGATCTGGTTCGTAACTCTTCAGATCAGGAAGACGGCTTCAATATCAATGCCAAAAGTGAGCAGTGGCAACGAAGCTATCTTGAGGTCTTGATGGGAGCTGCACGTGTTTCAGAGAATCTGCAGGGCATGTGTAGGAGGAAAGGCGATCCAAAGGGCAAAATCTATCCTCGAGAGTGCATCCCCGGTCCTGATAACCCACGCCCCAAGCCCTTGCCATGGAATAAGAACAAATCTCACAAAAATCCACCACACGCCCACGAGGTCGAGGATGCTTTCCCATCTCCTCATATCTTTTACAATAGAATTCTAACCACCGACAGCTTCACCACCAGAGAACGGCTCGATGCAGCCCTGGCTTATGCTGACTGGATGGAGTTTACCGGCCAGGCGGAGGCTTCAGATCAGTGGTACCAGCGAGGTGTCATGATTGCATCCCGGGCTTTGCCAGCCAACGTGAGAGATTCAGTGGTCGACTTGAACTCTGGCGTTATCAACAAAACTCATGATGAGGATGTTACGGACAACGTCTTGAAAGCGTCCACCGCATTAGCGGTACACTATGCTAGAGGCGGGCGTGTCAAGGATGCACTACCAATATTCCTCAGTGTATTGCGAGCTAGGAAATCATTGCCCCCGTCGCCATTGGGAGCAACTGGGAAAAAAGAAAGGACCAGGCAAAACAACAACACTTGGCTGGAGAATCTCTATGCTCTAAAGGATTTGATCATCGAAAGACCATTTCCTCCTCCATCACCAACGGGAGACGAGCGTCCTTACCACACCTTAAAAGAAGCCTGCGAAGAAGTCGCTTTGATGACCTACATTGGTGAAATTCTGTTCGCTACAAGCGAGAGTGAACGGGAAAAGGGGCTGGGCTGGACGAGAGATAGCGTTGACGCTGCTGAGGCTGTCATGTGGGTCATGGATGAGCAGAAGGTGGATGATGGTCGAGAAACATGTCGTCAATGTCTTGAAACTGGGCTCCAGAATTGGAAAGAAATGGCACGTCACATGGCCCGGCTTGCGGGGACGAAAGAAGCCGAAATTCGAAATGGTTCTGGACTCTTAGGCTTGGGGTTCGGCAAATCCGGACAACTTTCAAAGGCTCACCAGGAGACGATGAGATGGGAGGAAGAGAACGAGGTTATCGAGCTGAGACGACAGAAAACACTTCCTTTGACACAAGCTCCAAAAGCTGTTGTTGGAGACTGGCGCGCTAACTCTGCCTGAAATCAGCCGCGATGATCAGTATGGGCAGGCAAATATCAGCACGAAGGATGCTAAATGCCGGTTTTGATACGTCCCAATACAGAATATCATACCATCGGCATTCGAGTATCTTACATGGACACACTATCTGCTAGGCATGTTCCAAGCATACAGGAGGCCAACCAGGTCAGCCATTGGTCGCTGCCAAGCTACTGTACAAGAGCTTGAATTCCCATTGATAGCACCCAGGAGGCTGCAATGGAGATCAATTGCAGTTATCCCGTTGTGTCTAATCTGCCCCACCGCACGTCTTCCACAGGAATATTCTTTAGAATACTAAGTTTTCGAAGGCGGCTGCAATCAAACGGCACGCTATAGTGTGCTGAGCTGTTCTCTACGCGGCAGTCTATCTAAGCAAACAACGATTGCTCAGCATTCAACGACAATGGTATAGTGACGGGTGTACGCTCTATTGTACCTGGGTGCTATTGAAACAGGTGACTAGCAACTAATTTATGGGCAACAATGAGGCGTCTTGTCCCTCCCGTCTAGTCATTCACACCTTAGACTATATGTCACTTCCCTGGCAGATCACAATTAACACTCACATGTCCACCGCTTCATATTGTCCCGCTGCTATTAGAGCCTTGTCACCGGTTTATTCTGACACGAAACAAAATGGCGCGACTCTCGCCAATTCCAGATTGGCAGGAGGGAGGAGAGCTCGGCCAGAGGTAAGTCCGATGCCGTTACCTCTGCCGTTGCCGTTGGGGCTGCGAAGGACGTCGCTGTCAATCTCCCGGCATCCGATGACCTCACTGTCGACCACTGTCTCCATAGGCTAACGGGTTAAAGTTCTTCCCTTCCGGTACCACTGCGACATCGACGTCGCCGCCTCGCGGCTCTCACTACCGCCTCCTTCACCACAGGGCCTCGCTCTTCCCCCTTCGCCCTCCCCTCCCCGTCCTGGCCCACCGACCAGGAAGAAAGATGCCTCGCCAACGAGGCGTTGTTTTGGCCTTGTTTAAGCAGGTCGTCGTCCAAACTCTCTTCTACTCCTTCCTCATGTGGTTCCTTCTCTGCAAACTGGCAAATTATCGAGTTATAGTAAGTCCTCGTGTCACCCGGAACCATCTGAGCCTCAACTCAACTCAAGTCCACCACAGGATGCGTCTTTCCTCGGTCTCTCGGTCTGTGTCAACATGGAATTCGACTACAGTCCAATCACAGCATCTCTGCCGGCTTTCCTGCCACCAGAAAACACCACCTACCGCGCACCAGATACTATTGACACCTTTCTGAACTACAACTATCGCAATCACAGTGACTGTCAGATCTCATCTCTCGACCTCCACTCGGCATTTGCTCCACTATGCAGGACCCGCGAGGACTTCACCCGTGCCTTCTCTAGTGGTGGACGCATCGGATTCAATCAACCATTCATCCCGTTGGACTGCGATATGCGTTGGTTCACGACTGAAGAAATCTGTGAGATCTTCTCTCGGTTTCAAAAGGTCGTTGTGATTGGAGATAGCATGATGAGGCATGTGGTTGGCGCCTTGAATGTCCTTCTACGGAAAGATCTCGGTTATGGAGCTGTCACCAACTGGAATTTCAATGACCAAGAAACGTGAGTAATAATCGCTGTTCAATCGCAGTCGTTGAGATATTGAATCTCTAACCGAGCCTTCTCTCCAGTCTCGATTGCTTCTGCAACCACCAAATGGATGTGAAAGCATGCTCTGTGCAAGGCATCTTCAGCACATCTTCCGTGCTCGAGCACGACCCAGACTCTCTCGCCTGCAACCAACCCTTCGACCTTGTCATCGAAATGATGCTCCGCTTTCCGCTTGACCCGACCGAAGTCTCCCGTTTCCAAGACCTTCTCTCCCCCACGAAACCCAAGAAGCCATACGCTTTCATCTTCGGGCATGGCCTCTGGAACGACCTTGACATCCAAGCCTTCCTGAACTGGCTGGATGGAATCCTCGCGCACACGCTCGAAAAAGCGCCTTACCTGGATCCTACTGGACGGTATAAACGCGCAAATCCACCGCTCTGGCCTCGGCTCTACGTCACGCCCAACTCGGCTGGGATAAGAAAACCAGACAATTGGCTGGTCAGCCAGGGCGATAAGGCACTCATGGTGTTTGAGGAAAGCATGAGATTCGAAGGCGCCAAACGCCATGTCGAGACACTTGGTACCTGGAATATGAGTATCCAGTCCAGCAAATATGACGGCGTACATTTAGATCTCAAGGGCAATCTGGTGAAGGCGATGGGCGTGGTTAATTGGCTGAACCTCGTTGAGATGAGCGATTGGTAGTTTATTTGACTATCTCAGGAGGTGAATTGAATGCGAGATGTGAATGGAGTTCATGCATGGGCCCCCGTCCCAGACACAATGGAATGGATGACCAGAGCTCTGGCTTCTCCTACCACAGAAGCCCTTTACGAAATAAATGATTTCCACTGATCTGTTCATTGCGTCTCATTGCTGTCTTCAACTGCCCAGTGGCTCTCCTCCAGATCTATAATGATACTGTACAGCCATCATGCCCGCATCCGGCCTTTCTCCGTAGCTAAATAAGGCATTGTGAGTTCCGTTCGCTCTTCCACGTAGCTCTCCCACCAAAACGGGACAGTTAGCCTCAAGAAATGTGCCTTGTGGCTACGAAAAAGGAGCTTCTGCTATCGAAACACGGACGAGAGGCTCAGTCTCGCTTTACTGGTTGCTCATTCCAATGTCAAATATTCATTCAACCATCACGTTTCTCTCACCGCACCTCCCAAGGGTCCCATCAAGGGATTAGAGAGGCCAGCACAGGCAGACACGGTTTCTTTGCTCGGACCCCTCCCTTTTCCCTTCATCCCGTCGTGAACAGGGCTCAGCCATGTGTGTCGCCAAGGCCAAGTATTTTGAGAGGTATATATCCCTGCGTGGGTACCTCGTCGATCTCCTGTTTGCTTTCCTTTCTTCCCTTCACGAAGAGACTCAATAAGCGAATAAATCGCTTTCGCTTTACCTTGGAAACTATGAGTTCGGACTAGGCTGGCGGGTTGGCTAAAGAGGGGCGACAGGACGTGGAATATAGCATAGGACAGAGGAGATGCGGGCGAGATAGACATTGTGTTCAACGGGAGCCTCTGACATGGAATTCATTGAGCCTAGAGGGAGGCACCGAAGGCAATGCGAGGTGATGGACCGACGTTCTTGAGTGGCCCAACGCCTTGCTTTGTAACTACACACTTTCCGGGCGCGGGATGTGCTGGACATGTTTTCGATTCAATGGGACGCTAGTTCCAGATGCTCCATGTAGTACAATCGTAGAGTCGCATTCAAGCTCTCTTCTTGAAATCCCAGCCAACAGCGGCAATTCTAGCCCAAAGCAGCAGCAGGCCAGTGATAAAGATAGTAATCCCCGAGAACAACTGTACGCCAAGCCACGAGCCGGTGTTTTTCAAAATCGCTCCTGAGACCGGAGTCCCCATCAACAGGCCAAATGAGCTCAAAAAGAAACACTGGCCCATCCGGGTGCCCAGTTTTCGCATGTCAGTCGTCAGCGTGACGACGGCGACGGGCGGCATGGACACGAATCCGCCGGAGAAGAATCCGTAGAAAAGAGCGAAGACGATGGTTCCCCCCAGGTTGCTGATTCCGATCCAGATCAGGGCGAGGATGCCGGTGATCATGGAGCAGGGGATGAGGATATTTAGTGGGCCGGTGTAGTCTGCAAGGAAGTTGGGGACGATTCGGCCTGGGATGCTCGCTGCGTTGAGGATGGGCAGGATGTAGAAGCCCAGGTTCTCGGGGGCTATTCCCTTGCCGATGGCGTATGGTTGGATATAGTAGACTGGACCGTAGAAACCGATAAAGCCAAACACCATTGCGATGCAGAACAGAACGTATGGCAGCTCCTTGAACGCCGCGAGATCAGTCAGGTGGCGTTTGTGCTTGGGCATGACTCGCGGCTTCATCACCAGCACGGCGAACCAGACAGTGGTGAGTGAGATGAAGCCGAGCACACGCGTCGCCCAGCCAAAGCCCAGCTGCTGTTCGAGACGGCGGAAGACTATGGGGAAGATGACACCGCCGAGGCTTGAGCCTGATGCCGCGAGCCCGTTGGCGAGTGCCTTTTTGGTGGAGAAGTACTGCGGCAGGATAGCGACGCTGGGGATGAACAGACACCCATTGCCCAGCCCGATCACAAACGCCTGTGCAAGCATAGTCTGCCAGTATGCCTTGGCGATCGACGTCAACATGAAGCCCAGGGGCGTGAGCACCGCGCCGGCTATGATCAGAGCTCGAAAATAACCTGCGTCGTATGCTGGGCCCGTTATCACACCGACGAGTAGAAGTAAAAATGCTTGGATCGACCCGATCCACGAGATATTGCTGGGCGTCTCCGTCCACAGCGGGTTGTGCTCGTAGTATGTCTGGAACACCCCGAATGCGTTCACCGTGCCCCAGCAGTTGAAGAACAGGAAGAACGACCCCAGAACCTGAAGCCAAGCATTGAACCCGCCATTTGGGGGTGGCCCCGGGTCGTCATCGTCGATTTTCTCGGTTGTGGCGATATTCACTTGCTCCGGGGGAGGTGAGTTGGAGATGTTGGCTTCCGCGTCCAGTGCTTGAGACAGGGTGCTTGAATGTGTCCGTACAGGAACCAATCTGGAGGCAGATGGATATGTGTGTTTTACTGGTTTGCTCCCATTGTCGATTTCTTCGTCCAATATCGCCAATGAGCTCATTTTGGTGATGTTGTAAATGAACCCTGTGGGGTATGAGACTGGAAAAGCGACCAACCCGGTGACGGCAAGGAGGACCGCCTAAGGGCTAGGTTGCAGATTGGAGCCTCCAGCAAAGCCTAAATGGAAGGCATACTATTCAATAGTTTAGAGAAGGAGAATACTCAATAGCTCAAATATAGGTAGACAGAAGATCAGGCGGGTATCGACTAGAATTGACCATCAATTGCTACCTGAGGAGGTAGTCCTGATCTGGATAGGACCCCGGCGGGAGGCAAAAGGGAAAGGAAAAGGCAGGGGATCGAGTCATCAGCAGTCATGCTTAAGAGGAGGGCAGTACGAGTGCATCTGGTAGAGGTGTTAGCAATCAGCACTTACTCTCATGTGGAATAGAATCTCCACCAGCAAAAGAGCTTGGTTGGAGCTCTGTAGGGGTGATGATTAATGAACAACAGCACTCGCAAGCCCAAAGAGTAACGGTACTTGACTGCCAACCTCGACTTTGAAAGAGGAGAGGGCTTTTACACAATTGCCATGTCTGGCTCCCGCTCAACCGACAGCCGAGCAAAAACAGCTTTGAATTGCCGACTGGACTGGAAGGCTGCTGGGTGGCGGCCACCACGGCAGAAGCCAAAGGGCGGGCTACCAAGCATTCGTACGCTCGTACTCCGCACATATGTATCCGTACTCGGTATGGAGAACTCCGTACTGTACATCAAAGACTTTGGGTGTGCCGCATACCCGCCGCGACCCACAATGTTGATTGCGAACCTGCGAGCTCCCTTGGTGGAGAAGATCGACATGGGCAGAACGGAATGGGGCTGGTGTCGTTCCGTTGCAATAGTATAAATGTCATATTGTACGGCGTATTATTATCCTTTTAATTGTTAATATGAGTCACCCGGGCGTGTTGCATCGTCGTCATAACAGACCAGCAGGGGGAGGGAGATGAGACGAAATGGCAAAAGCCATCGAGGAAAATAAAGAAGGTGGAATGTGGGACGGACAATATTCTGCCGCCTTTCACCGCCGGGATATAAAAAGTCCTTTTGGCGTTTCACCAAAAGCATCATTCTTCCAACCTCCTTTCTTTCCACACAGGCATGTTTCCCGCAGTGAGACGCGACTACGTCATGGCTGTATCTGCAGACACATTGTCTCCTCCTAAGATTACTGCCCTTGTTGGAAGAATTGCTGTCCATCCTTTCATATCCATCCTCTGAAGGACGACCGCTGGGGCCCTCGCGCATGGCTCACCCCTGAGGGGTAGATAAAACGGCACTTGTCATCAATGCCAGTGACTGTTCGAGCGTGTGCTTAAGGCACTCAATCCCGTTCCCTGGACATTGGCTACCCGAGACAGACGTCGGCTAGGATCACGGATGTGGTGTCGTGCAGCGTGGTAGTCCGCTATTCAGAAGGCATAACCCCCATGTGTTCTGAAGAACACCAAGCTTTGCTCCATGCCTGGCCCCTTCCGGAGCGGTCATCCTTCGACATGCGTCGGCGCATTAACTCTACATGCCTGCATGCTCGGATGGCTTCGACAGAACAGGTGTTAGTATGGAAGCGCTCCTCGATACGGTCGGAAGAGATGTGTCTTTTCCAAGGGATGGCAACTAGGAGATGATGGAGGACGAAGATCAGATACCTTAGGGTACATGGGTAGTCGGGCAATACCGTAGACCGCGAGGGAGACAAGCGTCACGTGATTCCAGGGCCCCAGTATTGAGCCATGTCCATGTGATCTCACAATTTTTCTTGACTTTCTTGATTATTGACACGGCGCGTCAGGCCTGATGAAAGAACATATTTAAACGAAAACGAGGTCCCATCCAGGCATGGAGCAGACGTCACAACACTCGAGTTGAGCGACGTTTTCGGTACTCCATGCTCCCTAGGAACAAGCGGTAAGCCCAAGATGAAACACTTGGACAGCCTATGAGCAGATTTGAAACACCAAACGCCCCTTCTTGAGATCTTCTAACAACACAGCCCAGTATTAGCCGCCATCAGGCGACAGTGGCCATGACGCCAGAACTCGTCGAAGTTTTGTCTTGACTTCAGTGATTCATTGGCTAGGAATGCACCTCGGCTTCCAGCGTGGTGAACCGCGATGATAATAATAGCAGCCCAGCGCCCACGACCACGATTGATCCATCTTGGCCAACTTGACGACCTCACAGTCTATCCACAACAACACAGGCACTGGCCATCGTCGACCTGTTATGCCTCCCAGGGCAGTCTTGTGCTACGCTCAATGACTGCCAGCAGAGACTAATATCCAGCCGATTGCTCTTGTTGCAGGAGCCGCTGGACCAGACGGTCAGTCGTGGCGAAAGGTATCTACAGGAACACATCCACTCTATACATAACATCCAGTATCATATATCAGATGTACTCGCGGCCTGAGCCTCTCATGATCCCGATACCTTCTTTCTTTCATTTGTCCCTTCGATACTGCCAGACTTGAACCGAGGCGGCGTTGTTGGCCGACTTCTTCCCCGTTCGCCTTGCTGGAACAACCTTGCGCTGGTCGCTGTTAACTCTCTAATAATCACTTCATCTTCAAAAGTCAATCTCGTCGCAGACGTCAAGCACTAATCTCTAATCCCACTCAGCCTCATCATGCATTTCACCACCCGCAGAGTTAGCGACGGCAATGTCTTCCCAATCTCCAACCCCCGACCACTCAACCGTGCAACATCCCTCACAGACAGAGGGGGACGATCAGGTTCTCCGTCATTAAACATGCCGCTACCCGACCGCCCACGACACCCGGCTCTCCTCCGCCTGCACAAGTTCCGCACCATTCTGATTCCCGTGACCGTGATCCTAGTCTTCACGACGTTGATCCTCGGCGGGATCTACGCTTACTGTGTAGCGAAACCACACACCGCCATCGCCGACCAACTAGCACAAGACAGTAGCGCCGAGGTCGACGGCTCGATCTTCTCCAGACGGCAAGAGAATTCAGACATCGTGCCTGCTACCAAAGACCCTAACGATCGCGATTACACGGAGCCCCAGACCGCGCTTTTCTTTTACACCCTTACCACCCCAGCAGTCAGCCTCGTTCACCTCACCTTCGAGCTTATCATGCACCACCACACACCCAAGCACCTGAGCAAACGATCCGCATACATCCTTCTCCTCGCAGCTACCTCCCTCCTGGCCGCCGGCTGGCTCACTACCCTCGGGTTCTGGATGCACTGCGAACTGCCTCCTTTGAACAGCAGCCGCCAAGACCTCTGCCCCATCCAGGTCCGCGGCCACTTCATGTACGGGATCCACGAGGTCAGCATTGCGAAGACGGTCGTCGCTTGGCTGATTGCCTTTGCGTATCTCGGCCATGCGATCCTGGTGGCCATCGGCTGCGGTGCCATGAAGCGCGTGTGGAGGATCACTGCTGGAGGCGGGAGTGGGAAGCTCGAGCGCGGCCAGGCTACGGAGATTGTGGTCTCGGTGGATGATCAGTTGAAGAAGGAGACTTATCTTGCGAGTGGTGGGAGATAAAGGAGGCGAGGGTACGCGGTGCATGGGTGCATATGTGTTTCAATCCACTGGTCAGCCGGATCGAGGCCTGGATGGTACTCTTGGGAGTTGATTTGGCTTGTGTTCAGGACAACACAGCCTTGCGTGGCCCTATGATATATATGTATGAAACGAGTCTTGTCACCATTCAGGATGAATAGCTGCCCCGCCGCTGAGGCCGTCGATGCAACAAACGGTATATGGAGTGCAGTCAGAGACAAGTGCACACGTCAGTTTGATTGTTTCCAAAGGTCCCAAAATTAGACACTTCTTGATGCTCGAATACATGGTTGTGGAGGCCAACGGTACTAGGTTTCCCATTGGAAGGTCTCTAATCGAGCGACCACCATCCTCTAGTGCTCTATGATATCCCATAGCCTGACGGAGAAGTCAAGTGTCCATACACAATATGCCAGACCACCCATGACCATCGGGGCTCAGGCCAGGGCTCTCCTCCCACCATAACCGAGCTGTATGCAAGCTGGAATTTACCGTATTACAATACATGGCGTCGGACGATTCTCAGATGCCCACACACACCAATTGTTCGCCTCGTCTTATCTATGCCTTGGCGCTCTTTCGCCCTTCTTCCTTGGTGCCAGGTTGGATACGAGCCATCATCTCCTCTCTTTGCATGAGATGTCCTACACGCTCCAGCAGCCCAAGAAGCCCCTTCATGCTGCTGCCCCATTCGTCAAGCACCTCGTCCGGACCACGCTTGACCTCGAAATTAACGACCCGCGCAGGGCGGTCGATCCTCGCATACACCGTCTTCTTCGTCACCAGGTCTGATATGTACTTCTCCGTCTCTTCTTCCGAAAGGTCGAGCAGCTGGGTCAGCCGGGGGAACGTGATTCGGGTGTAGTATTTCGCCACCACGCGCACATTGTGTTCGATGACTCTGTGTCTCAGGGCTTCGTATCGAGTGTGTGCTTTTGGATCCGTTGGCTCGGTGGTCTTTGAAAAGATGTCGGTGTTGGTCAGGTGCTCTCCGTATTGTTCTTCTACCATGGGCCAGCGCATGAGTTCTGGGATGGTGAATTGTTTCAGGAGAGCGGCGTCCTTGGCAATTTCGGCGTTCCGACTGTCCAGCTGTATCCGGTGCAGGAGGTCGGATTGTTCATTGTCGTACGGCGCAAGAAGGACGAAGTAGATGACTCGTTGCAGGACTGCATGGAGTTGTTCTGGGTTGTTCTCAACTGACTCTGTGTCGAGAACTTGTCGATAGTGCTTGCACACATCAAGATACTTGTCCTCGTGTTTGGCAAGCGTGATTTGTTGCTCGTAGTATCTCAGTTTCAGATCTGTCACATCATCATCTTTCTCTGGCGGTGGCTCGTCTGCTGAGCGATTCTTTTCCTTCTCTTCCCGCGCCTTCCTGTCCTTCTCAATCTGCTCGGAGGTCTTTTTAGGCTTTCGTGCGAAATAACGGGTGCTAATCTTTCGGCTCAGGATACCGGCTTGGACCCAATCGTCGTTTTGTATACACAAGGCCACCTGTTCGAGAATGAATTCTGTCTTCTCTCTTCTGCTCATTGAACCAAATGTCTCGACTTGAAGCTCCGTAAGAATGTCCGCTGCAGCCTTGATGTCTCCTTGCTCTTTTTTGATGTCCGATAGTATCCGTGTGATACGTGCGCGCTCGACTTCGACGAAGATCTGCCGTACCGTTAGTTTTGGCGCTGCATACGAGAATTAGTTGAATGGCAAACCTTGCCCTCGGTAACCGTCCGCAATGCTTCGATAACGCTGAGCTTTATGTCTAGGTTGGGAGTATCATCGAGGAAGCCCATGACAATCTGGACCATTTTGGTGATGGCTTGCTTGAGTTGACCATGTTTCTTGGATAGAAGGAGGACTTGTTCGTTGAGTAAACTCCAGTCGCTGGCATCTTTGCAGATTGTGACAATTGTTTCTAAACATCTTGATGTGGTGGCAAGATCTGAGGACTGCAAGCGGAGCGATCAATTGTGGTTCGCAGTAGGCTTCCGGACGCAATAAACATACCTGTCTAGCTTGTTTCTCAAGAAGAAGAATCTTATCAATGCCTTTTTGAACATCTTTCTAGAGAGTCGTCAGAAACTTGACTCTCAGAGAGCATGGAGCCAGTCACCTTTGCTAAGGCTATCGCTTCCGGGAGGATTTTGTCCGCGTCTTTGGTGTAGTCCTTCTCAGGCTTGAACAACGGGGTTTCGGACATTATGAGAACAGAGAGATGAGGGGGGGGGAAGAGTCCGGTCGAAATAGAGGATTGAGAGGGTAGGATGCTTATGGAAACGATTGCATCAGTTTAGGTGAAGGCCACCAGTACGAGTAGTAATTTCAGAGTAGGTGAACTAGGAATGTCCCAGAACAGTCCCGTCACGTGACTACTTGTACAAGTGACGCGTCGTGGGTGACTGGCACGTGCTCTATCACGTGTCTATCGTCATTTACCATGGCTCAGCCTCGTCTCTCAAAATGCAATCCAATCTCGGCAGCTCACGTCCAATATTTCTTCCATACAATACAAGAGGCGTCTGCATCGTCATATGCACAACGAAGGCCAATGCTCTGTCTTAGATTTGCCCAATCGCTTAGTGTGAGGTTATCTAGGACAGGATGCCTCATCCAGGTTCTTATGTAATATATTCTTGAACATAATTAACGATGCAAGCTGAGGGCTTAAAGCTATTCGTGCATTTTTCGTGACCAAAAACAGAAAATACTGAGTACGGCAGCCATCAGGAACTGGGCTCTGACTTCCCTCCACGCGTACCAGTGTGTCTGTTCGACCCAAGGTCTCTGTCTCTAACATCACGCCCATCGACCATCATACTGTCCAGAAAGCGTTTGCCATGATATCAGATATCTTTTCTGTGGTTGCTTGACTTGAGTTCCTCTTAAGCCAACCCAGTAAATGGGCATCAGATTTGCCCGGCGGGCAAAGTCCGACGATAGCATTGCATGAAGTTGTGCGCAGAGCGTCTCGAACAGAGCACAGACGAGCGATGTTAGCCAAGGAAAAGGCACTGCCCTTGCATTATGTCGGTCTCGCAGTTATGTCCATTGCTTTCAAAGTAGCCCGAGTAATGTCTCAGATGTCTGCCTGGAAATGATGACCGTATGAATCGTCGTTCAAAATCTTTCAGCAGGATGTACTTCCCGTTCTCTTAATAAGGACAGTCAGAATAGATGTCCACCACCAACGCAAGCTTGCTTTCCACGAGTATGGAGGAAATAAATAGACAGGTAGTGACGACTTACTCCGTACATGTCAAGGACCCAGGAGTCAGGACTCAGGAGTAACGTCCTTCTGTGATCCCCCTGGATGTACTCCGTGCTTGTACATGCGACTTCTCCGGTCCTGGCGTAAGCGGATACGGCGACTAGTCGAATGGGGAACGTGGGACCGAGCCCGTATGGCCAGGAATTTCAAAGGTGGGTCTGTGTTCGTAAACAAACTTGTCGGCATCCAAGTCGCGTCCGTTGGTGGATTCGACCGCGAATCGTTTATATGCTGCGTGCTTGCAACAATTGAACCACATCTCTCCTCCCTCATACTATCTTTTTCCAATGTTTTCAATTGGCTTTTGCAATCTATCTGCAAGGCTTTGGTGCTATGGCTAAGGCAGTTGATTGTGTGCCGGAATTGGTCCAAGGGCGTTGGCGATAGCAGCAACACGTTGAAGGTAGGTTCCCTCATTGCGGTCACGGGAATCACCAATGGCCGTGAAGGCGATTACTATGGTTGTGGTGAGTCGGGCACTTTTCTTCAATACCCACAATTTCGCGATTGGAGACACTTGGGTTCTCATGTTTTCGGGGCGGAACAAGCTGCAGCTGCGAGAAATGCCCCGCGCTCCCACAAGAACTGTTATCACCCATAACTACAACTTGCCCTGTCCTTAGGTTGCATCACTTCGGGTGCCAAATAAATCCCACCAGCGAAACAGAGACAAGCATACTAACAATTGTTCTGTCCCGCAACTATAGCCTCCAAACGCAAAAAAAACCTCTGCACGTTTGGGGCTGCTGCAAGTGTGGAAAGAATCCAATTCCTATCAAGACAGCTGCATGTCCAGCCTGTTCAAGGCCTCGTTGCTCGAGTTGTCAAATTACACGGATAGGGAAAAGACCTGACTGCCGGCGACAATATCCCTAGCACTCAATTCTTTCCAGGCGCTGTCTGGCAACTGTCAGCTCAAAACGCCACATCACCACGGCTCCTTCACAGCAATGCTGTACAACCTATCCTTTCAGATCAAGAGGTATTGCCTTTTATTGCGCATGCCATTGGATGGATACACGGGCCTGATTTCAGCGGATTTGCCCTGAATTTTCGCAACAGCTCGACACGTATGATGTGCTACATCGGGCACAATGTTGCAAAACTTCCATCCCCTACTATAGTGCATGGAGAGGGCCGGCTGGATTACTTTTACCTTGTGCACCACATTGTTGGCGTTGGTAACAGTCCCGTTGCTGCTGATGACTCGTCCTTGTTCCTTTCGCTTTCTAAGTTGGAAAACTTTGGTCCTACCGCGGACATAGCAGGCGTTCGATGTGATCAGAGCCTTTTCCTCCACATGCTTCCCGGCATGGCGTAAAGCAAGACACATTGGACCCTGTTAGCAAGCTTTGAGCCATGTGAGGATTTCGACAGATTTAATTTGAACGAATCTTACTTCGAGGAACTCGAGACGATCAAGGCATCTCCGAACGGGCCGAAAACCCTTGACTTTAACGAACGGCACGGCTTGATGAATGACATATTGGAAAGCATGGGTGAAACAAGCCCCTGCAGGCCGAGGGCGGAAAAAATTGGGAACTTTCTCACTGGAGCGGCTGTTCAAGTACTACGACAAGAGAAGCCAGCAAGTCCTGAACTAGGAATTTCAGTCGCAATGTTAGATGACTGGAGTTTTACCGAAAACTGTGCGAGGGACAACAGGGGCCCGCAAAACCCGCAGATCTTGTACAAGCTGTTAAAAAACAAGGTCTGAAACCAAGTCCCTGTCTGAATAGCCTGTGGCACTTCGCGCTCATGCACTGCGGTCAGCAGCGGTTTCGGACGAGGAATCAGGCGAGTATACATAGCCGTGTCGGTCCAGGTGACACTGTCCTTCCCTCGACAAGAGATTTGGCAAACACGCATCCACGCCACTCAATCCCGCTCCAAGAGATCGGTGGCGAAGAAGAGAAGCTTATGCCCGATGCAGAAAGGCGGCCAATGTGAGTAGTTGGAAAGGTGTATCCAGAAAGAAGAAGATGAGGTCTGGACCATTGACTTTGAGAATAATGGGTATAAAAGTCTTGGGTCACCTAAGCTGCGGTATGAAAACGGCACTTCAACTTATCTGCTTCGAGATATTGCCGCTGTCCTTGAGCGGAGTAGACAGTACTCCTTTGACAAGATGATCTACGTGGTCACTGGAAAACAAGATTTACATTTTCATCAAGTCAGTAGGGCCCTCGAATTAATGGGCCGTTCCGAGCTTGCAAGTAAACTAGAGCATATCAACTTCGGGAAGGTTCATGGATTGGCACCTGCTACCGGTTGTAGCGGCTTACTGCTAGAAGATATTCTCGATCAATGTCAGAAAGCGGTCTGCATGTTCCTGGAAATGGAACGAGACGACCTTTACGGCATTCGTGGCAGTGATGCTTCGGCGGCAGCAGATTCTCTTGCGGTCCTTGCTCTCATGACTCAGGAAATGTCGATCAAGCGTGGAGCGAATTTCGGTGTCGACCTAGATGACATGGCAACTCTAAATCCATACAATGGGCTTTCATTGCAATACTGGCTATCAAAAATCAACATGAAGCTGAAGGGCGTCATTATTCCTCGTGAAGCACTCGGATACGTGGATTACTCCATGTTCGGGCAAGACGAGTATGAAGCCTTTGCTGACGTCCTTCGTCTTCTGATTCAGTTCCCAGGGACGGTCAAGCCTTCATTCAGGACGTTAGAGTCTTCACACATCCTCATATTGTTGTTCCGTGTGACAGATTTGCTACCTGATGTATGGGAAGCGGATCCGGACAACAATGGCGCCGAGCTAGAAGAAGAGGTGGAAGTCCAACCAGGTCCAAGCAATATAGTAACCGCCGAACCCTTGGACGATGCCGAACTAACCACGGAGGGCGTTGAAAAAACATTCACCTAGTCATCTTCAGTGAAGCAGCATATTGGACCTGGAAAGCCTGTGGAGCATGAACAGTTGAGGGAGAGCGAACCAGACAGGCATGGCTCAGAAGTACCCCAGATTTCGGCACCTCCCACAATTGACCTCGAAGACCAGCACGATCGAGTACAGTCAGACCAGACTCACCTAGAAGAATGGGAAGCTATGAAGACACAGAAGGAAAGGCCTGTGGAGAACCCTGACCTAGAAGATTCGACCGAGACAGACGCTCAAGTTAAGAGGGCCGAGGTGTCACAGGAAGAAAGGCCGAGGCTGGATGGCTTCAATGACGAAATCTCTCGTCTCCAAGCTAGGGCGTTGCCAGACGGAAATGACAAGGCAGACGAGATCTCTGAACCCAATGTCGACATAACGGCTGGCCAGATCAGCGGAGAAGATGCTCAAGGCCAAGAAGGGCCTTCTCAAGAAAACATATCCAGATGTGAAGTGCTTCAGTGAGAATGCAGTTCCGAACACGAGAAGCACAAGTCTCACGCAATCACAGACGATTTCTCTCAGCGAGAGAGACCACAGAGCAGCGGAGAAGCAGAAGCATCCGAGCAGGACACAAATCTTGGGGGAGAACAACTGAATACAAATAGGATAGAACAACTATCTTTGAACGACAACCCCGGGGGTGAAGACTCGAAACATAGGCCTCTAGCTTCAACCGTGTCTCAGGCTAGCGAGCGTAAGGACCGTGGGATATTATTGGGAGAAGGCGAATGCCAATCGAAACCATCCGAAGATACAGTATCTGAAGCAGGCATATCTACGAATGAATACAACAACCTCCACGAACACTCAACCGAAGGAGAAAATAACTGGTTGCACAGCGGAATGTCTCCAAAGACAAAAGAAGAAGAGCAAGTACAGGAGGAACTGGAGTCGCCATCGGCGCACGTGGACGCTGAGGAGACGGACTACTTGAAAAAAGAGGTGGATCCATCACTGGAACATGACGCGAAGAGCAAAGGCAAAAGGCGAGCAGATCAGACAGATGATGGCAAGCCTTCGGAGATCCCATCCGGGACACTTGTGAGGCTGGCTTTCTACCAATGCGTGCGACAAGTCTTGCAAAACGGGATGAGAATGGTTGGCCTTGTGCCTTTGAGCATCGGGGATTGAGCCCTATGCAGTTTATTCGTGACCCTCAAGCAGTGTGACTTCGCGAAGTTTTAAGACAGGCCTGCATATTAACTAGGTAGCTCGTAGGAGCTGTTATGATTATCGGGATCCCTATGCATTAAATCTTGATGTGGCGTCACATCAAGGGAAAGAAACCACAGCCCCGCTCGCTCATGGTGTAGACTTAGCCAGATTCATCACACACAAACATAGTTTGCGGCTAAATTCTTATCTCCGTGTCCAGTGTACTGAGATTTGAGAGGGTACTTGCAGATGCTGCGAGTTATTGTCGCTCCAGAGGCATTCAGGGTGCGAGCTTCGAGTATTTCAGGGGCTTTCTTCTCTTCCACCCACGCCACCAATGAAGAGAGTGGATCAACCGGCACAGCTCCTTGGGTTGTACCCAAACCACAATGGTCAACCCCCGGAGCCAGAAACGTTCGGTAGAATTGGTCCATGGAAGAGCGATCCCTCAAAGCAGATTCAACTCGACGATGGTAGTTGACAGTATCTGAGGGGAATATCAATTGATCGGAGAGGCCATGCCACACTATCAGTTTCCCTCCATGAGTGCGAAAACGCGAGAAGTTTGGATCGTCGGATGCTATGATCGCTCCATACTCTTTTTGAGATTGAGAGAACAACTTTTTGAAATCAGAGTAGCCGATAGTCGTGGTATCAAACTCAGGGTCCTTAACCACAAAGTACTTGAGCCAGGCATCGTTGACGAAAAAAGGCAGCCCCACTTGGGTACCGTTGACAAGTGTAGTGTTGGCAAGGGAGTCTAAAGGAGCACCTAGGTTCAATGTATAGCTCCGTGATGGGTCATTGGGAAATGGCCCTTCGAGAATGTCATGGATTGCTTTGGCGATTTGGGTTGTAAAGTTGACACTGCTGCCATCGCAGACAATCTTCGTTCCGACGAGGCTGTACGGGCTGAAATTGCACTTCGTCGGATCGGTAATAACGTTGTCCTTGACCTCATCCAGAGAGTCACAGGCTGATATGGCGCTCTGTGTGAAGGCCTTCAGTACACATGGGCTGACATAGGTCTGCTGCTCCTTCATGACAACTTGGGGCCACTGTTCTGCCACCACATACCGTGCCCAGTCAATGGCCGGAGCACCAGCAACAATCCCGTCAAAATCGGCGGGATACTTCTGTGCTGAAATGAGGCCTTGTCTACCACCGGTCGAACAACCATTCCAATAAGAGTGATGGGGCTTAGTGCCATAGAACTGAGTGGCGATCTGTTTGCCCACCACCGCCATGTCATGAACTGAGCGTGAGGCGAAGTTCGTGAGGAGCTCAAAGTTGACCTGGCCGTCCGCTTTCAGTGCCCACAGAGCCGGACTATAGGGGTCCCCAGAAAGACCGGCGTCAGTGGATGCGGAAGCGTATCCCAAGGCCAATGCAGGGGCAAGGCTGTACTCGAATAAACCAGCAGCATATCCGCTCCCACCCGTGCCGAGGAATCGGCCATTCCAGCCGTCCAAGGGCAGCCACATCTTGATGTTGACTTGGTCTTGTGCATTCGGATGAGCAAGTACAATATCCACGTCGCAGACGTTGATTCCCGAGATGTCGCTTGATAGTAGTAATGGGGCGGCAGATACTGTGTAGTTTCGCAGCTCCCGTGCTTTGAGCGAGATGACTGTAGCCCCTGGGATATTCGGTACGCTCAAGGAGGCACATGATTTGACACCTGAACCAGTGTTTTTGTTAGGGTTTGCGAAAGTCCCGGTTCCAAGTAGCACTGTGACATAGATGCTGAGTTGTAATCTCATGTTTGCTGAATTTGATGTCTCTCTCTCTCTAGAGGTGAAAAGTCTGGTTGAATTATTTGAGACAATAGAAGGGGAAGATATCTAAGGTTGGTACTTAATTGAGGTCATCGCACAGTCTGGTTATATACAAAATCTCAGAGACATCAGAAGTGGCTGTGTCTCAAGATTCTTCCCAGCAAGGTCACTGGAGCTCCTCCCAGCGGACTACTAGACAGCCCGGGTAAAGTGAGGGCGTCTCCTCCAGTGTCTATAAAACAACTAGTTTGTACTATAAATCAAAATTAAAATCATGTCAATCCTTGGTAGAATTTATTGTGGTCTGTTTTCTCGACAGATCGATGGGTAGTCCAAAGTTTCCATCGTGTGAGATTTTAGCTGGGCTAAATAGTATCGTCGAGCCTGAGATCGTGCTCAACCGAGCACAGCCATTGATATAGAACACGGCCTTTCTCCTTTTTCCAGATGAGGCTTAGGATGTATCGGGATTTCGTTGTCAGTATGACGGAGGGTGTCCCGAATGCAATCCACTCATAGCCGGAGTTCTAACGAAATGTGGATTCATTCCTTGTCGGGAAGTTTTGCGACGGGAATCAAAGTCAACCCTTCTGTCTCGCCCTGATTTAATATCGCGTGATAAAGTTACACCCACCCCACTAATGGAATTCTGGTTTTATCAAGAAAATGAGGTTGAATTTTAGATTTGCTAGTTGATGATTAACAGTGCATGACTTGCACAATGTACAAACCATTTCGGTCTGGAACTTGATGGAGGATGCATTATTTCGTAATAGCTGACTTAATTAGTGGCGTCTCGTGGGGACTAAAATCTGACACGATCTCTATACTGTAGACTATATACGATAAGTGGGCTCCCCGCAGAGATTCCAAATCAGACTTAACTAAATTGAGTCATAGTGCAGAGATTTCCTTTTGATAAGCGAGCTCGCAGAACAAGGCTGAGGGCTATGCTGCCTGGCTCTGCACCATCCTCAGGTTCCCTTACTGAGTTAATCTTGTCAAGTATTAGAGCCACAGGCTCATCTCGTCTCGTCCGCTATATAAAGCCTAAGCTAGGAGCCTCTGGTGACCTGATGCATTATTTGTGGTCTAACCGGGGCGAAACTTGACCCATGCTTGTCTTGCGCCGCAGTCACGCTAAGTCTAAGAATGGATGCAATACTTGCAAGTCCCGTCGCGTGAAGTGCGATGAGCATCGTCCATGCTGGTAAGCTTGTAAAAAGCTCCGATTCTTTTCCAGTCAATGGCTGACCTAACCCTGTTCGAACTGCCTCCGACTGAAGAAGTCGTGCAACTATCCAAAACTTCAAGGTGCTTCGCATCAGGCGTCCGATTTCTCCTATAAATGGCCGGCTGCTGTCGAAAAGGCATGTCTGGACTGGAAATGCTACGGGAGCCCGCCGTTTCCTTTCCTCCCTGGCCCTACATCCTCAGATTGGCATCATCTGCCCATCGAAAGTCTTCGCTACTTATACTACTTGTGCACATTGGCGCAGACCCTCGACGCTAACAAGGCAAGCCGCTTCTGCGTCTGGTGGGAGGAGTTCTCCCTGTAAGTGCAATTCCGCAGCCCAAGGTGCTCTGCTGGAGGACAAGAACCGCCCTCTGATCTTGGCAAAGATTCTTGCAAATCGCGTCGAAAGTCAGCTTTGCGGCCCATGCTCTGATCGTAATCTCAGCCAAAAGGCTGGCACACGTAACCAAAGAAGCCGGAATCCTTGACGATGCTGCCAAACACCATGCGCTTGCGGTTCAAGGCTTAAGGAAAGAACTTGCGACGTTCTCGCGAGAGAATGCAGATGCCGTATTATGTGGATCTATATTGCTCCTCTTCCAGCAAGACACGTGGTAAGGGCAATGACCCGTACGGTTGGCTTTGCATAGTTGCTTCGCACTGACACGGACAAGGTCTGACTGGAGGATGATGATGGAAGGAACTTCAACAGTAAGGAGTCTACGGTATGATACTGGCCTAACGCATTGCTGAAACCCAAAGCTAGGTCGTCAAGCAAATGATGCCATGGATGAAACACTCTGTATTCTACCCAGCCATGGACGGCAACCCATCACTGATCGTGCCATCGGGACACGGAGAGCGCAGCCTTCGATCAGGCCACATAATAAACTTTGCTACATTCACTGAGGCGCTCGAAAGCCTCTTCGATCAGGCCATTGCATCACTGAACCGGCTATCAAGCTGTATCAAGGGTAACCGCAACCCTGAAGCCGCCACGACAGTCAGAGGTCTGCGAGATCTTGTCAGAATTGTTCAAGATCGGCGAATGGAGTTCAACATACGGGACCAGTTCAGGCTAGTCTATCCCTATTCAACTTTCATGAAACCACTGTCATCGTCTTTCCTCTCCATGGACGAGAGCGAGCCATTTCTGATTGCTACCCTTGCACACTTGTTTGCGGTAAACATCCTGTTGGGTATAGTTTTCCCGGCCATCAATGTTGCCGCGTTCATACCCACCCAGCTGAGATCCCTGTCAGCCATCGGAGCTTGGTTCAAATTGACACCTCGAATCACCTGTGACACATGCGATAGCCCTCACCAAAGCAGTGAGCTAATCACATTTCCCATGAATACCATAGCTGTGTATCAACAATGGCAGAAACAGTTGTAGAGAATGGAATGTGGATGTTGGCCTCGTCTCCCTGGAATGTAAGAGGTTGAAGTGTACAGGCAAGGAATCGAACAACCAAGATCAAGGTCCCTCAAGGCTGGAGATTGAGATCATATGATTTCATTCCTGTTGAAGTACGACTATTGCCTCTTCCACAGCGTGATATGCGGGTACTTGGTCCCGGGAAAACAAGGTCACTGCAAATGTGCATCTATGGTTCAACCGTTCCTATCCAAATCCCCTTGGTCTGCGCCCCTTCTTCTCGTAAGCTATGTCATATGCACCAACTTTGTCCCACAGTCAATGTATGTTGCGTTCCTGGTCTATGAGGTTCCCAAGAATCCCTGGCTCTCCAACAATAGTACAATTTGATGAACGATACTCCTGACAGTCTGCTTCTCCACGTCGACGGTCAAATCTGCATCATCGGGAACCTCGTAGGGATCATTAACACCAGTGAAGTTCTTAACCGAACCGCTGCGCGCACGAGCATACACGCCTCGTCTGTCCGTCTTCTCCGAGTAGGCCAAGCTCGTTGCGACATGTACAAGGAAGAAGCTGCCGAATTGCTCAATCGTCTTCCGAGCCTCTTTGCGAGCCTCATCAAATGGTGCGATTGGGGCCGCAATGACGGCTGCTCCGGCTTTAGTGAGCTCTGCAGCCACAAAGGCGATACGGGCAATGTTAATGTCGCGGTCTTCCTTGGTGAATCCGAGTTCCGAGGACAGCTCGTGTCGGACATTCTCTCCTAGTAGTAGAGAAACAGGACGACCGCCCTGTTCATTGAATGTAGTCTGTAAAGCGCGAGCAACGGCGTCCTTTCCAGAGTTGGTAAACCCGGTCAAGAAGATAGTGAAGCCTTGGGTATTTCGAGGAGGGTTGGATTCTCGTAGGACCTGGACGACTTCTGGGTAAGAGAACCATTCTGGGATGGGGGCGCCAACTCGAAGGCGTCTCCGAAGCTCGGTTCCAGAAATATCAAGGGTCTTGACTCCAGCGGCGACTTCATCTTTGGGTTTGTACTCGTCACTATCTGGCAGGTAAGTCATCATTTGGAACTCGACGACTTCGATGCCCAATTCATCTTTGTATTTCTCAACTGCATGCTGTGCATCGTATGGTCCGTAGAAGTCAACACCCTTGCTATTTTTTCCTGGACCGGCGTGATCACGACCAATGATGAAATGGGTGGCGCCATGATTCTTCCGGATGATTGAGTGCCAGATGGCCTCACGGGGGCCGCCCATTCGCATGGCTAGGCCGAGGAGACCGAGAACGGCCATGCCGTTGGGGTACCTGGGCAAAATAGCCTGGTAGACACGGACACGAGTGAAATGGTCGATATCACCAGGTTTTGTCAAGCCAACCACCGGATGGATGAGGACATTTGCTTGACGAGCACGGGCACCTCGGACGGTCAACTCACGGTGAGCTCTGTGCATGGGGTTACGCGTCTGGAAGGCAACCACACGAGTCCAACCGAGCTTGTCAAAGTGTGTGCGTAACTCGGCAGGAGTGTATCTGAGACCGACATAGTCGTAGTGGTTCAGGCGGTTGACAGCCTCGATCTTACCACCAACGTAGTACTCTTTCGTGCTGTTATTTAGATATCTGATCGCAGGGTGTTCTGGGTCTCCACCGAAGACATCTTTGGCTTCCTTCTCTTTGTCTGGTTTGTAGACATCGTCGACCGTGAGGATCGCCAGGTTTCGATCGTCTCGGAAATCTCGGAGAGTGATGCGGGCACCCGGCTTGACGCCGAGCCTGTCAATGTCTTTTTTGGCGGCATCCAAGGTGATGGGCATGCTGAAGAGACTGCCATCTGCAAGTCTGAGGTTCTCAACAACACCATCGTAATCTTTTTCATTCATGAAGCCCTCGAGAGGGGAGAAGCCGCCATTCAGAATAAGCTCCAGATCACACAGCTGGCGCTCATTAAGCACAATAGCCTTGAGCTTCTCGGCCTCGGCAGAAAGCTCGGCATGACGGGGGGCATCTCGAGCAAGCAGGTCCTTAAGGACTCCGCCATGAGGTGTGTTGGCCATTCTGCAGAGGATGTCAGTGAGAGGCTATACAATTTCCACGACAAATTTATGAGAAGAGGGGAAATATTGGGATCTGGTGGGTTGGTGGGTGGTGATGGTGCGCGGAGGACTTTTGGGGAAACCGCACAGGTGACAGGCTGACAGGCTGACAGGCTGACAGCCGGCAGGAATAACCAGGTACGAGGTGCAGGGGGCAGACACGCACACACAAACTAAGACAGTCGCACAAGCAGAAATAGAGAGACAAACAGGATCAGTGCAGTCAGAAATAATCGAGAAATTGAACTTTTGCAATCCCTCAGGTGCAAGCACAGGGTATATACATAGGGCCGGACCAAACACCAATAGTAATAATAATGGTCATCACACCCAATCGAACCACCGCATAATGTCGCAATCCTTGCCAATCAACGCCTCCGTCATGGGCATCACAAATTTTTCAAAGTTAAGCACCATGAATGGTCCGTAGGAGTCTGTTATCCGCCAAGGGGAAGCCTCAGATTTCCGGGCCCTGGCAGCGTCAGAAGGGCCTTGAACAAGAAATTTCATCGACATGGAGGAACGTGGAATCCTGGCCCGTGGGGACCTCGTACTGCAGTCAGCCCTCAATCTTGTCCGTCTCGGTCAGGGCCATTGGTGGTGGACGAAGGATTGGGGGCTCAAAGGGCGCCCCGACGGTGCATCGCTAAGGTCAGCCCGAGCGATTAGGCATCGGACCATGCCTATTCCAACCGCCTGTCATCCCGAGAAGCCTGGGCGATACCGGGCTCTGGGGTAAGGCAAAAAGAGGCGCCAATGACCTGCTCAACAACATTTCCAAGTGGTGCATCTCAGTCTTTGCAACAAAAGTCATCCATCTGGAATACGAGATATTGTTAGTGCTCCGCACAGTCCGGAGTCCCTGGCACGTATCGGTGCTCCGTCTGGAAATTGAGGCCACCGATAACAGATGTGACCTGGTCGAAGGCAAGCAATCAATGAGATACCGGAAAGGCGTAACCATGCGAAACTATTGAGAGTAGCTCCTATTTCTGCGCCTGCTCTAGCTATATCTCAGCCATCACCCTTGTCATGGCGTTGACCGTCAATTCCGTTTTTGTCGGTCCCTGACTTCCTTAAGCCTGTGCCTGTGCATGCACAGGCCTGGATGCAAATGTAGTCCCCCATGCCGTCTCTCCTGTATGTACCATCGCTGATGCTATCTCCCGAACGCCGGCGCTATGCTCAAAACACAATTCCCCGACCTCTACAATCATCATCATGATCATCATGACCATCCCTCTCAAAGTCACGACTTCAGGCTGACCATCTGCAGCGCTTGCTCAAGGGCTTCCAGCTCCCGTTTCTTCTCCAACTCCATCAAGTACTGTGCATACTTGGACCGAGGGTTGTGGATGCCGCACTCTGTTTTTTGTTGACCCTTCCACCGACCTGCCCTTTCATCTTCACCTTTCTTCACGGGTTGGGTCGAGTGCCAGTCTCCAACACTTTTGTATCCCCGATCCAAAAGTGCGTTATAAGGAACGTCATGCTCTTTGACGTAATCTTGGATCTGCTTGAATGACCAGTTGGCCATCGGGTTGATCTTGATCAGCCCAGCCTCGTCGACCTCGATGATGTCGAGGTCACCCCGCTGACCTCCTTGACTCCGTCGTCGGCCAGTCAATACCGCAAACGCACTGAGCTCTCGGTATGCTCGTTGAGTTGGCTCAACTTTGGCAAGGTAATCATATCTCTCATCATCGACCTCCCATAACTTGTCACCATATTTGTCTGCAAATTCCTGCGCTGTCTCAACACCATCCGGCTTATAGACGTGCACATTGATCAGTGGATACTTCTCCCGCACCTTGTCGACAAGATCTAAGGTCTCATTGAAGTGGTGTAATGTGTCAATGAACACCAAGTCGACCATCTGAGGACGAGGGATCTTGAGCTTGGACAGCATGTCCAACGTCACAAGACCGGTCAGTCCAAATGCCGTCGTCTGGAACAGGTGTGGGAGAGAGGTAATGCACCATCTTAAGATGTCCTGGGGCTCGAGGAACTGAAGCTGCCGATTAAGGAACTGAAGATGATGTTTGGTGAAGTATACCTCAGGCAAGCCGATCTCACTGTTGTCACCACTTGCATAGCCTGAGTCGGCCCCTTTCAGCGAAGGACTATCCGAACCACTGCCGGCAGGAGAAGGGGCTCTGGACACCATGGTGCAATAGCTATATTCAAGCGAGAGCGCGGGGTGTATGCTGTCTAAGGCGGAAGAGCGTATGGGAAATAAGAAAGGAAAGATGGCGAAAAACAGGCGTAAGAACATCAAGGCATAGGGAGAGACAAAAAGGAACTGGAAACGCCCACCTTTACAAATCGACTTTGACAGTGACAATATCATTGTCGAGCACGCAATTTAGCTGTGGAGCGCGCTAGAACTCGTCGAGGCTTCGTTGTCGGGAGCAAAGAGAGAGAGAAAATATCTTGCGCCATGGTCACGTGTAATCACGCCATCGATGGCGAGGCTTTCTCGACAGGATTGATTGGAGGCCGCCTGGTCCAGCCCTCCCAAAGTCGATGTAATTCGTAGGATTTATTGCGCCGCAACATGACAGTCTGATGGCATCTTCTCGATGGATTGAGTCAGATACGCCTCCTCCAAGCTGTTGGAAATTCATTGCTTCCAAGTGGGAAACTCCCCTAGAGTATTTTTGGATGTCGTCCAACTTCGTCGAAACTCAACGCTTAGACCTACCGACAAGCACATCATTTGTGCCAAGATCGACATAATCCAGCCCGCTCATCCGAGATGCAGTCGATGATGTTCCACGCCTTTGCGATGCACAATTAAGTTGTAGATAACTAAGAGGTGGGAGGAGTTTCATACAGGACTTGGCCAAGGGTTCTTGGAAGCGAGAAATGACGCAGCTTGACAAGTCCTGAGACCACGTGCCCAGCAGGTGCCCTGTGAATAAAGTGAGCTGTGTCGAGCTCCACGTGACTATGCAATCCATCACGTGGCGCGGTATGATGTCATACTCCATGCAAAAGTGGTGGGTGGAAATTGTAATGCACAGTTTCAACCATGGAATTTACGATGGTACCGCGCCTTTGCCCTTACTTACTTAAACGTAGCAGTTTCTTCTTGAATCGAAAATACATGTATTCGTACCTGGTTTCCGCTCCAAACAAGAATCCCTGAGCCGAAACTGTAAACGAGCTGTCACCGGTGCGCACCGTCTTTGGATCAATTGTTCACCAATCTTTGCTTCTCTTCACAGATCCCTTGACAATGATTGATGCAATGGAAGGCGTTCCTGCATTGGCCGCTCAGCAATGACGTGGACTTGCAGCTACCCTGTCTTCATCGCACGACATCAATTCTGACTTTCCTGGCAATAGTGGCATCTCGACTTGAGAAAGACTATCACGGACAAAGTCAAATCGACCTATTTGGTAGACTGAGCAATGTCGTCCTCCCAATCTACAGGTCGGCGTCGAACCCTCAGTCTGGCGAAAGGTTCCTTGCCAGGGAGCACGTATCTAGATGACCACCTGGAATACAGATCCCATCAAAGTGGTCCAGCCACAAGCATTGACGGGGTCCTCGATGGACACCAACCATCTATTCGAGTTCCCCGAAACACTCTCTCGAGCACCTCACTCTCGTCGCGCAGGTCTGTCAGTGCGATTCCGCCGTCCCCCATCGTGGCCCAGGAGACGACGGTGCACACCATATCCCACACGAATTGTGTGCCGGAACACGATGATCCTATTAGATTGGTTGCGACCATCTACTACAACTCGGCTTCTCCACGACATCCTCACATCCACCCAGACCAGTCCCCGCAAGCACGGCCGTCTGATCCAATCCCCGTTCCAGAGATCGCAGAAGGCTCTGCGCCAACCACGAGCCTCGCGGAATACCCTCTCGAGCCACCGGCACCCGAACCTGAGCCTCTGGATCACCTCTACGGGGCCTACATTTCTCAAATGTGCTTGACTCATTTCCTCTCAACTCTGGACAGCCTTCTCATCCACAATAGACCAGACGAGCGTCGACTGACCTCCTCGCACCGATGCCTGGCTCCGGACCCATTCAAGCCCCGAGTCATGGAGTTGACATTCACACCGCCCCCAAACTCCGAGTACTTGCCCTTCGAATTGATCCCCAAACACGAGTCCATCTATAAGTTCGAGCGAGAATGGAACTGCGAAATCATTCTACAGCCCTCCAACGTGTTCCGCCGGCACAAACGGCTCTGCGTCTTCGACATGGACTCGACTCTCATCCAACAGGAGGTGATTGACGAGATTGCAGCCTTCGTCGGCGTCAAGGAACAAGTCGCTGGAATAACCGAGCGAGCAATGAACGGGGAGTTGGACTTCGCTGCCTCCCTGAAGGCGCGGGTGGCCCTTTTGAAGGGCGTGCCGAGCGACGTTTTCGAGCGCCTCAAGCCCAAAATCATCATCACCCCAGGTGCCAAGGAGTTGTGTAAGGTTCTTAAACGGATGGGATGTACACTGGCTGTCTTGAGCGGAGGTTTCCAACCTCTAGCAGACTGGCTAGCCGGCGAGTTGGGTCTCGACCACGCCTTTGCAAACCATTTGATTTCGGACCCGGACTCGCAAACCCTGACCGGCGAACTTAATCCAGAGTACTCGATCGTCGACTCTGAGCACAAGCGTAACCTGCTTGTCAGCCTCGCAGCCGGCAAGCACATTCCGCTCGCCCAGACGATGGCCGTTGGGGACGGCGCCAACGACATCCCAATGCTGAAGGCGGCAGGGCTCGGTGTCGCCTGGAGGGCGAAATCCAAGGTCCAAATGGAAGCGCCGGCGCGTCTGAACATTGGCGAGAGCATGCTTGACCTGGCTTATCTGCTGGGCTTGACCAAGGCCGAGATTGACGATCTGCTTCGGGATTGAACAGCATGACCAGAAGGAAGCGAGCAGAGACGAATGTCCTGAGGCAATTGAAGATGTGGAGCGGGCTGGCTACAGGTATCAATTTTGAACGAGCGTCCATATACATATATCTCAGGTCGAGCATACCCCAGATTAGCCGCGCATGAGTATGACCGGAAATCGTGACTTTGCTATACTCAATCATGGATTTCTTTCTTCTTTTTCTTTCCGCCTGGGTAATCATGACATGGTACTTTGCTCGATTCTCACCAATTTTGTCCGAATCGCTGTGAGTGCATCTCAGGTATGCCTTGCTGTCAGGCAGGGCTCGCAAAGACGATCCAATAAATGTTACGTTTGTGAGTGCCTCCCTAATCTAGCCTTTTTTTTCCAAAACCAAGGCGAGTCCACTGCCAGGAACAACCGCGATCCACAAGGTAGCCTCGAGGGAATTCTACCCATGTGAGCACTACTTTTCACGATGTATCGATTGATGGGTGAATGTTTTCTTTCAGTGCTCGGCAATTCAGAATAAGCAGTTCTTGCATTCAGCCCATCGCTTCCAAGGGCGTTGTAATGTCCAAGGTCTTTCCTACTCGTATTCCTCTACTGGATTAGGCTGTGTTGCCCTTTCGCAAGTTCAACACTTAGCGTAGTCTTCGAGGCTAACCAAAGCCGATAGATATGCTAATGGTATCCCTTCGCTATGTCTTCGTCGGCATCCATCAAATCAATACATAGAGCACAACCAGCCAGCCCCCCGATGCTAGAAGTAATGACGACAAGAAAATACAATGTGTCCCAGGAAAGTGATTTTCTCCTAGCTATCTACGCATAAGCAAGATGAGAAGGTGGCAAAATAGTAGGTAGTATGCTGTACACGTGAGACATCGTAGAACGGTCTCTAAACTCCAAGACCGGAAATGGGTATCGTAACATGTGCATCCAAAACCCCGTTCACCGTAAAGTCCGTGCCTCGTTTACGAGGCAATGTAAATCCGTCCCAACGGGCTCGCGTGTGGCTAACAAGCTCGCCTACGATGGGACGGCGTTGATTTCTGCACGCTGCAGAGCAGTAGAAGAACGCGAGTATGCTGCTTTCCAACCCTACACAATTAGTCCAGGTGCTCACTTGCCACCTCCAACAACAGTTGTGACTGTCGAGTTGCCATATGATATCGTAAAATCCTCGAAGCTCGCGAACAGCTGCAGGTCTCCAGATCCAACCTCCACCGAGTTGTTTCTGACATTGCTGCCCTCTCCGTCTGATTGAGAGAACAACATCTCGATCTGCTGCTGCGTATTGACAGCGACGCTGACGGAGCGTGACTCCTGCAAAATATACATAACCACAACTTGGGCAAATTCGATCTCTTTATCTGTCATTTTAGAGGATGGTGCAGCGGTGGACGTGCTTTTACTTCCACTCGAGGAGGTTGTTGAGCTTGATTCGGATGTTGATTCAGACGCTGTGGGAACAGTATTGCTGGTCGTTGGACCACCCGTTCCCGCAGGTTCACTCGGTCCACTATCAACGGTCGATGTGGTTGCTTGAAAGACGATACCATTGGATGTACCAACAGTTACACCGTCCTGGCGTCGCTCTAGGCGGACATCACCTGTGCATGCTGCAGGATTCGTGATCTGGGGTACAGCAGGCACTGCGTGAATGATTAGGGGCTGAACAGTAGAGTCGGGCGATTCAAACTCTGGTAGGATGATAAAGCGTTTCTTGTTGTTTCCTGAATTCAATGCACTTGAATTGAAATCAACCAAGGAATTCTCGCTTGAACATGAGAGATTGTTTGAGGAGAATACGCCTAGGATTGTTGAGATATTAAGAGGTACATCGAAACGGTTCTGGGGCGAAAGAACGGGCATAACAGACCTGCCAATGGTTGCATTTTCATACTCGTTGGAGCCTTCTGTGAGGGTCATAGTTATGCAGTCTTTGGTATTCCCGGATGTTGCGCATTGGCTGCCAGTGAAGCCATCAGAACAGATGCACATGCATCTGTCGTCGCTGACAATACTTGTGCCGCCGTTTTCGCAAGGAAAATTTGCAGCACAGTTTGTCAGAGCATTACTGTTGTTCCGGTTTTGTTTTGGTACAAGAATTAGGAAGATGGGTATTAGTACGGCCGCGGCGATAAGCACCACAACAATGGTGAGGACAGCGATGAAGACTGGGAGAGATAGCCCACAGAACTTCCGTCGCTGTTTCCTGGCTTTGGTCTTTGAGAGTTCTGTCGTTGATGCGTAAGGATCGCCCTTCTCACTCAGGGGCCAGTCAGCATCGCGGCGGTTGGTTGGTGTGCCTCCAATTGCAGGAGCAGGAAACGCTGATATCATGTCCGACATAGTAGAGTGACGATTGTTTCCGGCAAGCTTTTCCTGGCTGCCAAACATATCCAGCATTCCCAGGCGGCTGGCTGTTTTACCTCTGTCTAGATTTGCAGCTAATTTTGTTGCTCTCTTGATGAGATCAGCAAGACTGGTTGTGCTGCCGCGAGCTTCGGCTTCCCTGACTGCGTCCATGTCTAACTTTGGAGGTCTCTTACTAGCAGGGATCTTGTTGCTCATTGCAGCGGGCTGATCGATGCCCAGACCGAGCAATGGATTGGTAGACTTCCGCGAGTGACCAGTACTAGGCAGAGATTCGCCATGACTCGTTGATTGGGCCAGGATGTGGCCGGATGCAAATGTGGTGGCAGATTTAGGGGTGCGTAAGTATTCTCGATCCTGGGAAGGGGAGGGAGGGGGAGATCCATCGAAGGGCATTCTCACAGGCGTATAGCTTCTGGATCCTTGAGCACTGTCGTTGAAATCAATGGGCTTTGATCCCGTACCTGCTGCAATTGCAGCGCTCAATGCAGCCATAGCTGCATTTTTGCTAGCTGGAGTCCGAGTGGAAACTTCTTCGGGGATGTCTTGCTCGAGATGGCTCGTTCGACTTTTGATGGTGGTCACAGCTGGCTTTGCACGCTTTCCCACGCTGGCTTGACGAACTATCTGTGGAGAGGAGTCGGGAGAACTGGGTCTTGTGATTTCGGGGCTATACCTGCCCTGTAGATATCGCTCGTCCATCCCTAGTGCCTCGCTCTCGGCATATACAGAGCCTGAATATCGCCCCCGAGGGGTTGGAAAGCCACGAGAGCGGGAGCCAGGCGTTGTTCCGGGTGTAAAGTCGTCTAATACTGATGACATATAGGACTCGTGCATGTTGTTCCGTCCAGGAAACGGTTGGCCCCCTTGGTCCTGCCTACTTCTGGATGCTGGTGCCGGGGGTGCTGGTGGAAATCTGAAGTCTTGTATCAACACGCCTGAGTTTGACGGACGTGGTTGCTGACGCTCTTGCGGTCTTACAGGCGGTGGAGCAACTCCGACACCAAGAGGGACCTGACGAGCACTCAGCTTGGCTCCAGGAGGCGGTCGAACTGAAGGATGTGGAGGGAATTGTGAGTACTGTGATGGCTGGGCATATGGCGAGGGTTCAGGTCGTTCCTGCGACTGCTGTTGGGGTTGATTTCGATATTGTGGGTAATGAAAGCGGGCATCCTGCGTGTTGGACTGTACCCGCTGAGCTCCCGAGGGATCCATTGGCGACGAGTGTCTACTCGGAGGAGTAATTTACAAGCGCTCGGTAGGTTTGATGTGTGGTGTTATGACATAGTAGGCATGTTCCTGACACGCAGTTCTGTAGATGGGACAGGTTGCTCGAACTCTTCACCCGAAGGAGTTAGTACTCCCTTCTTACCAGCTTAGGTTGCTCTAATCGATGGTGTAGAGCAAAGTACGTACCTCGAAGATAAAGAACCAGCTTTGGGAATCACTTCTCAGAAACTTACCAGACCTTGCTGGTGTAGCCAGATCGGAAGGTGAATGTATTGAAAAGCTGGGAGAGGGTTGGCAAAAGCTAGGTTGCGCAATAAGGTGATATATGGAAAAGAGGCAGAGGTGATCAGGCTGAAGGATTGGCGACTGAAGATGTGGAAGTGACGAACAGCAAAGAGGGTGAATGAGTGACCAGAGGTGAATTGCACGGCAATGGCTGGAGAAAGGTATCCAGCTTGAATGGCAGAGCCAGAACCAGGACCAGGACAAAGAACCAAGAAAATGAAGACGAAGAGAAATTGAGAAGGAGTGGAAAGCCGACCAAAGAGCGGCGCAGGCAGGGAGATGGGAGGATGCGGGAGTGGGAGAGGGAGAGGGAGAGTGAGTGAGAACGAAGTCAGTCCGCGTAGTGAGAGTGTGAGAGAGATGGAGACTTGGTGGTGTAACAAAAGTCGAAATGTCAGGAGTCAAGCCAATAGCCTGCGGTGGCTTTGGCCTTGTCTTTTCCTGCGGCACGGATTTTAGAGGCTGGTTAAGGGCAGATAAGGACCCCGTACAACTGAGAGGGACCCGGCAGGACCCCTGGCTAGGGCGTTCCTAGGGTCTGGGGGCGGCCATGGGCTTGAGCTTTAGGCATGTTCCTTGCTATTCTGGACTCAGGCACACGCTTCTTACTGGTGTACAAGCCTAGGACCGAGAAGGAGGGAACCCGCTCGGCCTTGACACACTCGCCTGCAACCTTAGTCGGCTCGTCAAATTCACTAAACTCGGCTAGCATGGACAAGCCAGCAAAGTCTGAAACACGAGGGCCGTCGTTGTTGGTTCCTTTGTTTCCGACCGAACGGAGTCCAGCATTGCCATTGCTCACCTTGTCACAGATTCACAGTGTGCCGACACACGCGCAATTTAATAACAATGAAGCCCGTAGCTCGTGCCGGACACCTGAAGCATGAGGTATCAGGCATGAGCCATGGCCATGGCGACATTCCCCCCCATTCAGACAGACCAGACCCTGTGATGCACTGATGACACGATCTGCTGCCAACGGTTCGGAATCGAGGGAAGATGGCAGTTGTGATTTGCTCCGTACCCCAGGTGCTCGGATTCCCTGAAGGCTCGAGTCAAGCATGGCACCCAGCATGGCTGAGAGGTCACTGCTTACCGACTTGCGCACTCACCATCCGCCATAGGCAGCGTCGAAAAGCACGGCCACCATGTTCATTGTGCACGAAAGCTTAGAACAACCGCCAAATTGTAAGCGCAAGTCCACAGGTTTGTGTTTGTGTCACGCTGTTGGGAAGGCGCCCATTAGCTAGCTGAGTAGAAGAGCTGAGTCTTACACTCATTGTCTCCTACGTAGATACCATACTGCTACGTACACCAATCTCAACACACACAAGCTCTCTATTGCTCTTTTCTCTGTGCGGACATACAACGCCTGTACATACTGTAGATCCACTCGGGCCGTTTCTCGAACATTAATTATTCTTGTTCTTGAACATCACCCCTCTGCTCTACTCGTAGAGTCGTAGTATCTGATAATGCACATGCACACTCCCCATGCGTAATCTAGAAACCCAATGCATGTCATGGCCTTGCTAGCGGCCTCCTACTGGGAACTCGTAACACACGTCGTTCGCGCACGCCCAACTCGGACGCGCCAGCTGAAGCGTGTGCTCCATGTCTGACCGGCAGAATTTGTCGCCAAATGCCCTGTTTATATGGTTGTCCCTTAGTCAGACGAGCCGGGACCTCACCGACTTGGAGTGGCGCCATCTCTTCCACTCTCCCACTTTCCACCTCGACCTCCACTCAGTCTCCAGCCCCAGCCTCCACTTGATCAAGTTCATCTCATTTCTTTCACACGATCTCAACAGCATGTCACACGATCTGAGATTGGCCCTACAATGCACCACCTCCAACCATGCCAGTTATGTCTTGCATAGCAGTACGAGTATGAGCTGCATCTCTCCTCTCTGCTCCGAATCCTACCGACAATCGGGAAGCATCTAGAAGACAGCTGGCTATCCGAAAACCCCGTCTTCAGCCTTAAACGGTTCGTTCCGGCGATTGTAAGATACGACAGCAACATGTGTTGTTGGCTCTCTGCAATTCTTCTTCCAAACGAACTCTGAGAAGTACGAATGGGAATTGATGCTGGTGCAGTCTCCACAACTTCATTCGACTCTGGTATGTGATATGCTCTCTGCTTCGTACCAGCCCTGCCTTGCTGTGAATGTGACTCGCTCTCGCCCATCGATGGCAATGGCAATGGCAATGAATGCTCCATCGAACCTGCCACTTCGCACCAGATGTTGGTGTCAATGGAAGGTGCCCTAAGACCCCCATTTCTGCCACCCAGTCTGCTCCATCCAAGCATCTTTCCATGCCCAGTGCTTTCTTTGCTTCTGCATTAAGAAGTCTCTCGTTTCCTTTGGTCTGCGCAATGGTCGCAGCCGTCCACTCCTTTCCCTGGATGATCAACTGGACTGGATAAAATAAATGGACTCATACTGCATTTCTTTTCTCAACCACAAAAGCGAAAGCATGGAAAGCACCGCCAGATCAATCCCCTCCACCGATTCATCCTCCAAGTCCTCACAGCCTGGTCATCTACCAGGCACTCCGAAACGTAAGTCTTGAATCGGAATCTCGTAAGGTGGCTAGGCGTGAATTCCACCACGTACTGATAACCCAAACCATGCAGCGCCGATGGACCCTCCACGAAGACGATCCTCGCTATTCTTTCAAAGGGTCTTACCGCATACTCATTCTCCCAAGGCACCAAGCGCAAGTTTATCCGAGAGCAAGGACAGCGAGTTCCCTCTTAGCCGCGGTTCGCCCTCGAACGTCGATCAAGCAGCGGACCGGTCCCCTATGACAAGGTCTATTCCCACGCCTGGTCATGTTGCACAAATGCAGAAACTCTTTCAATCGGCCAAAGCCTCCTTCAGATTGGATATGAGTTTTGCTGCTTCTCCAGTTGGCTCAATTGACGCAAGGCTTCCCGGAAGCCGCGAGGACGGTAGTAACGGAGGCCAATCAGCTTCGACATGCTCCACAGAATCACGGTCGAGGACGGCCAATACTCCAAAAGACTGGAGATATTCAACAGCTCCTAGATTCATTGCAGAGGTTGAGGTGGACGTCAGAGAGCCCTTTCCAGACCGTTCCCCCCAGCTACCAAACCTAAGTGCAGTCGGTTCGGATCATGGCAAGATATTGGTGGCAGAGCCATTGAGCAGTGGCTTCACATCTCCCGTCAACCAGGGAGCTCTTGCTTCGCCGCAAACAGAACCGAGAAGCCCTCCTCATTGTGACGAGAAGACAGCCTCAGACCTTATCACGGGCAATTCCCTCGAGATTGCATTGCAAGATGCGGCGTTTGCCGAAGAGCTAGCCACAGCTGATCTTCAACAGCCGCTCAGGAACCTGAGCATGAACAGCGAACAGGATGTGAGGAAAGATATAATGGATGACTCCCCAATTGCCATGCACTTAAAGAAGCGGCCAGCCATTCTTGAACCGCCACATTCAATCCGACAACGCGACTCGGCCGACACTATCTCCTTGTCAGAATCTGCACACGCCGCCGCAGCCTCAGCCAAGATCAAGCGCAAGATGTTGCCTGATCTCTTCCTCAAGCCTCCGACTATCAAGCCCAGCCCTGAATCAGCAACCTCTCCTGGCAACGCTATGCCAGCTTCACACCACTCAAAGGCCGACCTCGACAGCTGTCCAGACCCATCACTGCATCAACGCGGACCAGCAGTTTTATGTCCAGACCCCACGCTACATTTCAAGCCCTCCAGACGCAATCTCCATGGCCCTGAGAGCCCAAGTTACCGTCACCATATACCCCAAGCATTCATAAGAGGGCCCACAGGGCTCTGGAATCGTGCAACAGATACAGGAAGCCCAGTGCCCCTGCTCAAGGGCAAGGCTTCCGCACACTCACCGAGAAACATGAGACGCCAGTCCCATGAAACATTGCGATCTACACCTCACCTGCACCACCCTAGGGTGTATCCTCAGCAGCCTGATCTAATGAATCGACCGCGGCCCCCGCAGGTGGACGAGCATTTTCAACCCGGATGGTATTATGCCAATGGAGCTTCTCAGCCTCAGACAGGGCAGGGACCAATGTTGTATTCCTTTTCCACAGCCGCTGCGAAAGTGATTGGTCAAGACCCTGCTCCTGATTCGCGGATTCGAGATTCGTACAGAACGGATACATTGACACCGCTTGCAAAGCCACCAAGTCGATTCAGGAAGAACGGTATTCTCGCCCTTGCTGGTTCGCGAGGAGCAGGAAAGTATTATGGAGCTCAAGGATCCCACCCAAGGGCACATGATCGACACATGCATTTCAATGAGCCACGCTCTTCCCCAGATGTCAGGTTCAGAAGCAGCCCACCCCGGTCATCTTCAGACTCGAGCCGTCCTACCCAAAGTCGAAAGCGAGCCCGAGAGACTGACTCACGTCGCATGGAAATCTTTGAAGATGATGCAATCAGAGAAGAGGACGAGCTTGAGATTGATCCCAAGCTGAAATTGGAAGAAGATGAAGAAGTCATCGAGGTAGATGAGGAAACCAGAGCTGCAGTCAGAATGAGTTTGTATGGGACACCACCGGTTGAATCCAGCATGAAAGAGCTCAGTCCGAATGTGATGGCATGGAGAAAAGGAGCCAGAACATCAGGATCTCGCAAAAAGCGACGACCCAGTTATTGGGATGGTGACTTGGAAGAAATCGTGAGAAACCCTGCTGCTCGACACGTGGTCAGTTCACCGATCAAGAAGGAAGTCGACTCGAGATCACAACAAGCCGAGGTGGAATATGATGACGAGGTGTGTGAAGGGCCACAGCAGTCAAGCGAAGACGAGCTAGAAGACATCTCTAGGATTGCAGAGGGACCAACGGTGCTATTGGAGGACGTCCAGATGGAAGATTGATCGAAAGCATAGATACTCTTTTGGCGAATTACCAGCATGGGTATCTTGTCTTGGCAAGTCGTTTATGGCTGGTTTGGTGGCAGAACTCTCTGGAGGTACCTATTCCTGTGAGAGCTGATGCGCATACATTGTTGTAACAGCGCCATGATCGATCTCGATAAATTGTACTTAGCTACTAGTATGCACATGCGCTGGCAGTAATAATAAGTAGTACTGCTCTGTCGGGATTGTGGACTTGAAAAGGTGACCTGGTGGTGCTGACGTGGTTTTAGCCAATTTCTAATTATTTATCTTCCGCTTGGATGGCCTCCCACGCATGACCCATCCGCAGACCACGAGGAGTGGTTTCTGAGCATAGCTGTGAATAATCCCCATTGTAGAATATGAATGGTGATTACGTTTGGTGAACCTTTGCTTGCTAGTGCTGCAGAATCTTAGCAAGACCGAGCATGAATACAAGTGGCCTTGAGACCATTCCAATAATATTTTACAGATTTTGCATACGGATCCTACGATCTACAACATCTCACACATGGGCACAACAAAACAAGTTCGACCGGGATCCTGGAACCCATACATACAAACATAAAAACATACATACATACGGCCAAGGCCGACATCTGGCTGAGCAGACTCTGAGCCGGTCGTTGCGAAGGCATGAATGCAATGCAATAAGGTCATTCAAACGCGATCACGGTTGTGCTGGATGGGCAGGTCTCATGGATAGGCCTGAAGGTAACATTGCTGCTGGAGCCCCTGTTGCTGTTGGCGATGGTGGTGTGGATTTCGTGTTGGAGGCCTTGGCCGAGCAAGTGGTGTGCTTCTGCTCGTGTCTCCGCCGGCCGGACCCAGATGTCGGCAGTATTCCCAAAGACTTTGCGGCTCGGGAGGGGGTGGAGATATCCAAGTCTACAGATTCATCTGGCGCAGACCCGTCGTTCGGGGATTGGGATTGATGCTGGATGTCAGGGTACTCATCCCTGATCCCCAGTTCACGACGGAGATCCCAGATGTGATCCTCAAGAACAGCCATGTAGGACATCGTGGATAGGAGATTTGGGATCGTAGCGGTAATGCTGGTAGTGAAATGGGATTGACTCTGACGGAGGTGCGGAGGGTTTAGGATTCCGTACCATTTCAAGGGGTCTCGGGACTGGAACTGAGACTTCAATGGCGGGTCTGCGTCTGCGTTTGCGTCGTCGTTGCGGATACTCGCAGTAGTTGAAGTGATGGTGTAGTTGTAGTTGTAGATGGAGGTGGGGCTTGAGCCGAAGGCAGAAGCACAGGTAGCTGTCGAACGGGGACGATGAGACGGGAGATGTGAGAGAGATGACGCAGGGCGGGTTTGATGTCGCAGCCCAGAAAGCCCTCGGGTCTGATTCTTCTGAGTGTTCTCGACCGGAGTTGTGGTGGTGGTCTCCGTGTCTCCTATAGAGATGGACTGGAAGTGTTCATTGTCCTCATGCTCGTGCTCACGCTCACGCTCAGGTCCACGCAGACATCCCTTTCTTTCTGCTGCTACACTCAAGTCGCCATTGGAGACTATTTGAACCGTTTTGAGCGCTTTCATCCGCCCATCAAAGCCTTCCTCGCCATATCTCCGGCCTGGTCCAAGTGTGGATGTGCGGTTTGCCTGCGCCAGAGCAAGAAATCCCGAGGAGAAATCTTTGGAGAGCTGCGCGCGGAGGGTGGTGTAGGTGTCAAGCAGCTCCAGGTAGGACTCCAGCAGGGCATCCAAGCGAGCGGATAGGGTACTGCCGCCGTCTGCTCCGCCTTTGGACGAACTGGTCGGCGTATGGTCAGCTGCAGCGTCTGTTTCTGTCGTGCGGGTGCGGGATTGGGAACCTGCACGAGATGCGGGTGGTGATGGGTAGGAGACAACAGACTGGTCCATTGCCTAGGTCAAGGTCGGTTCATAGGCAGTATTCGTGATATATCAATTGGGTAATGCTGGGATGGGCATGGAGAAGGGGAGGACTTGAAATGTTGGTTGTCTGTGTATCTGCCAGTGGGCGACGAACTTGAATGCGACGAACCCGGTCGGTTCGGTCGTATCGGCGGTGGGAAGTTCTGGTGGAGGTGGCAGCTGCAATAATTGACGTAGCAACAGTCGCACTTGCCAAAAGCATCATCGCCGCCATCAGGCCTTGTCTTCCTCCTGCACAAATGATTCCGCCACTTCTTGTCAACAATTGAAGCTGTAGCATTGCTAAGTTAGCTGCGACCCTCTGCAATCTGGTTTTGTTGTCCACCATCCACTGCATGTCTGGGCCCAGATAAATATCCCGCAGTCTGCTCGCTCAGGTGTTCTTTGCATCTTCGGCATTCCTTGCATGGTCTATCACATCACCTGCACCCCCCAATTTCATCACGCCACTCTGTGCGCATTCAATACCGTCTGAATTGCTCGGTACGCGCCACTCAAGTTCGACCTACAGAGACCGGCGCTCTCCGCAACGGCCATCCCCCTTCTTCTCCACGCCCTAATCCCTTGCGAGAAAGGAAAAGACCGTATTGCCCAATTGAGTCATGGCTTCAGCGGCCCTAGCCACTGCTGCTGATACCTCCGCCTTCAGCGTGCGATCTCTTTATCGCTCGATGCTGAGACAGTCAAGCCAATTCGCAAATTACAATTTCAGAACTTATGCGAGGAGGAGGACGCGGGATGCATTTCATGAGCATCAGCGGGAGCAGGATCCCAGGCGGATACAGGAATTGGTGCAGACGGGCTTGAAGGAGTTGCAGGTTATGAAGGTACGTGAAGCCTCTTCCCTGATCGCATTCTTTACAATTCAACCCATACTGAGCTCTTTCCACAGAGGCAGACAGTAATATCACAATTCTTCCAAATCGACCGCTTAGTTGTGGAAGGCGGCAAATCCGTAAGTTCTTTGTTTGCCATGGTCCTCGCTCTTCTCTCTCTCCGATTCTAATCATGGATACAGGGGAAAGAGACAGGAACAGGTGGTGAGATAGTACGCCAGAAGGATACTGGGTTTGTTTCCCATCTCACCAATCTGTTTGAAATCTACTAATATCGCGCCAGATGGGACTGACCTTACTTCACACATTTTCCGCTCATTGTACAGTACTGTGTGCCACCATCACTTGAGATAGAGCGTCCTGTCAGCCTGGTGAAAAAGGGCTGACCCTATTATACCAAATGAACATCATCAATCTCTGCTATGCACTGCCTATCCCCTTGCACGTGTCCTCGTTGATTGTGCCTCTGCTGTGATGGATGAAACCACTCTGCTAGAGATGTCCCGCTAGTTTCCCGTGTCCTTCAGCCTCTCTCCTTAGGTATTTGGATGCTGGAGTCATGTTTTTCCTGTCTCTCTGCTGCCGGGCTGTTCTAGCAGCCTCCTCGACGGCTGCCTCGGCGCCACGGCGAAACTATAATCCGAAAGATCTCGGCCCGGCCCGGTTTTACTCGGCGCTAGTCTGCTCGCTAAACCTGCTGCATTGAGATGTCGCAAAAAGATCAGCGTCTCCTGTTCTGTCACGCGCTGGCTGATTCTCCATCATCTTTACCAACACTGCTATTCGTTCTTGGAAACGTTCGTGAAAATCAACCACAATCGCCGTTGTTCCCACGCTCTCAAGTTGGATCACCTCTCAATTTGAGCCAGGGAGTATCTGTCTGATAGGAGGATTCAGTACCGCCAGGACAATCCTACCACAATGGCACCGGTACGTTCCTGTTTGTTGAGTTCCCCTGAGGCTGGCCCAATGATATCACATGATACATGTGGACATGTTCTCTTTTGCTTCGAGTTGCCCTCTTCTGTTGACTGTGCCTGGCGCCGTCAACAGGTACTCAGTATACTACTACACGCACACTGCCGCTCACTCAATCGAGAATGAAACGTGAGATAATCAACAACCTCATCACTAACAGCCCTTATTGCTGGTGTGGTGGCCGCCCCGCGCGTTCCAATGACCGCATAACTGCCTTTTATCCTGTCCTTTTAGCCCTTCTCTCTTTCTCGGGCTAGAATTCCAGGGTAGTTTTGTTTCAGTTTGGCAAATCTAACATTTTTCATAGCTACGGTCCTCGCGCTCGACAAGGAACCAGGACCATAATACAGCGCCACGAAATCGAGCTGGGGTTATCGACTGGGACCCGACAGAAGGCCTGCCAGTACGAAAGTGGGAGCAAATCACCGTAAAAGTCAACCAAGATGCCACGACCGACCCTGCAGATTCGAACAACCAAAACACCGAACACAGCGAGAACGACTTCCCATGGCCAGAACAGCCATTGCCGCATTTCTTTAATCAACTCCCACCTCATTCACAGGTAAGCGTCCGCCGTGGGTTGATGATGGCACAGCCTCGAACCTACAGGATGTTGCCTACAGCTAGGGCGTGCTCTTAACAATAGTGAGCTGACCAAACCTTGCTAACATCTTTCTGCCTGATAGGAACTTCTTCGCCGCGCCCGGATGGGCAACACCAATGTCAAACCTCTAGTATGGGATCGCAAAACAGAGTCCTGGATATCGAGTGGTGAGATTGATGCGAGAAATGCGCTGCTGAAATCAAAATATCTCTTGAACAATCCAGACTCTCCAGCTTCGAATGACGAAGACGACAATGGCGGCGAAACGGAAGAACCATACGACACGGATGGAGCACCTGGCAAACGACGGAAGACCACCTCGGGTTTGCAAGAACGCATTTTTGAAACCAAGAAATGGGTGCAGGTACCAGCAGCTATAGCAGAGAAGCTTGCAGAACCGAAATATCTCGCTGACCGCCGACCTGGAATGGAAAGTCTTTATGGTGGTGCCTACAAAGCAACAAATGGATTCGGATCTTTGGGCATCAACCCTGGCGCAGGATCTGGGGCAGCTGGATTCGACTTGGGAGATGGATCAGGATTAGGGAATGCTGGAGGCGTCCTCGGTGCGGGTGCTGCAGTTCCCGAACCAGCACCAGTTCGAAAGAATATGCCACCAAAGCGAAAGAAGAAGAAGCTGGGTGGACCAGGCAGAAAAAAGGCCAATGCGGTTCCTGTGGGAGTTGATGCACCTGCCACACAGCCATCAGATGTCGTCATGACTGATACGCCTATTGAGACCCCATATCAACAAGCTGCCCCCGAAGCCAAGCTCAGTGACACACAGATTGAGGAGGGAGAAGGCTCTGGCAGTGAAAGCGAGGGAGAGGGTAGTGAGGAAGGGGAGATCGAGGAGGATGCGAAACTACAAAGTCTGCCTCAAACTGAGTTGGCACCGGCCAGCCAGCTAGAGGGCGCCCCAGGAGTTCATCATTCGAAAGATGAGGAAGCTATTGGGACAACAGAAGGCTCAGCCGTGGACGGAGTAGCATCCGAGCCTCAAGTGGATGAAGCACCTGTGTCTAGCATAACACCTGAACTGGTTCCAAACATTGGCCAGGGGGTATCGTTGTCCAAAGATACCGAGATGCCGGATGCCATCATGACTGAGGCTATTCCTGCTCAAGAGGATATTCCTCAACCGAATATTTCAAGCTTGCCGCCCGAGACAGCAGCAGTGAACGCACCCAGCCTTGACACTGTGCCAATGTCCCCATCGGTCTCGGCTGATGTACAGAGATCCGAGCAGTCATCACACCCTCAACGGGCACCACCCATTGCAGAAATTGGCGCGGACACAGACGTGCGACCAGTGCTGGAACAAATCACCCCTGAACCCGTCTTTCCTTCTGCTGAAGTTGAAGCCATAGCTTCTACAGAGCCTGTGGAAACTGGATTCGAAGCACAAGAAGCACAACCACAACCACAGTCACAATTACAATCTCTACTAACAGCATTGGCATCGCCAAAGGAACCGATGGAAGAAGAAGCACCTACCAGCTCTACGCCTAACCCTAAACTGGACAATCCTTTGCCGTCGAATACCCCAGAGCCGCCTTTGACAGGCAACCACTCGGCTGCCCAAACCTTGGCGCCGCCATCAGCCTCCGCCCCTCCCACGTCCACGGCTCTCCCCGGGGACCCACCACTCCTCGATCACATCGACTCTACGGCAGCAGGGGACATCGCGCCAGCGGAAGCCACAGGAACAGGAACGGGACCGGAGTCCAACGTAATCGACCTCCTAGGCGGCCTCGAAGCAGCCGTTGACAAGGAAGCAAGCGACACGTCCGCGGGACCGACGAAGCCGAATACGGAAGTGGAATAGGATTCCACAGGGACGAGGAGATCTAGATACTGGAATGCTATTATGGATTACGTAAGGAGGAAAACCGAGCACCTTCAAGCGAGCATGGAGAAGTTGGAAGGAAGAGCAGAGAGCAGAGAGCAGAGCTGAAAGGGTTAAAGGAGCATAAACGGGATGGAATGGAGGTCGCAGAGATGGACTGATATGGAGCATGGATGAGGAGGAAATTCATCAATCGAGTGTTCTATTTCCTTGCTCTGGACTTGTATGTGTTCGCGGTGGCATATGATGTTTAGCTTCTCCCACCGCGTACTAGGAGAAGAGCATGTGCGGCTAATTTTGCTAATTCTCTGGTGTCTCATTTCACTCCACGATTGGACGAACTTGCCACACAGCTGTTCTGCTGCGTTGCTTCGCCATGTATAACCCGCGACATACTGTCGATCAATGACAATTCGAGTGAGAACCCATTGGCGAGGGATAAACTATGTGAGAAACAGGCTTAAAGCTACGGAATGCACGCAAATATAAGATACGGTAAGGAAGTTAAGATGTTTCATGTGCACCAGCTATTTTCATTCAGCGATGTTGTTTATTTTATAGATACAATTGGATTGGTGGCCATAAGGCTCAGTTCAGTCAACTTCCTGGTGACGCCTGGAGAGGGAGATTTTCCACCCTGCCTATCGATCGAATTGTCTTCCCGCCTCTGCCTCTTGCTTTGCGCATGCTCCAATCACAGCCAAATCTCACGTTTTGGGTGCCGATTGACCATAGGCCACCGCTGGATACCATTCTGAAGGAGGCCGGGATGAGACATTACGCCCATGATGTGAAAATGAAAGGTCTAGTCGAATGGGTTGGTACGAGTACCCCAGTAAGTGAGGAACAAGCTGAGACCGACGGTCTCAAACAGACGCGATAGGACGCCAACGGCGACGGTGTCGAGAGGCCGGTTCTCAGTGACAAGGGCGGAGACAAGCTACAAAGGAACCAAAATGTCAGCATTCCTTCGAAAGGGTCTTCCTGAAAGCGAGGAAAGTAAGCAAAGCTTCACATTACATACCGATGGCGAATAGGAGGCGAAGAAGACCAAGCTACCAAGATAGGCAGCACCCTTGTAGCTTAAAGTACCAGTGGCATTGATGAGAGCGGCAACACCATAAGTCTGAATTCCGGAACCGACGATAGAAGAACCCCAGCTAGCAGCAGCAGTGGCGGCCTCCTTGGACTTGAGGAACTCCTCCTTGCTGTCGGCGGCCTTAGCGCGGTGGTAGGTGTCACCGAAGAGAGGGGCAAGCACCGCGGCACTGGAGACTTGGTTGAAGACGATGCCTAGGGCAATTGCGGATGGCTTGACAGGAGGAAGGTCTGGAAACATTGGGATTAGTTTGGCATTGGCGGGTTTGGCAAGCCGTTGCGTTGCATTATGGAGGGGGATGGGGTTGAGGTCGAGATTGAGCTCCCGAATCAAATGACGTAAAGAGAGGTGGTGCAAAAACCACGGCGGGAAGTTGAACAAGTAGACTTACAGTGTAGGGTGGCCATTGTGCTAGTTTGTGTGTTGTGTGGGAATAGATGGGAGCTTGATCAGAGGTGAAGACAGTAACTGGGAAGCTGGAAGGTGACTTGACTGAAGGTGGTGAATGGAGAAGGGAAAGGAGAGGGAAGAGGTTCGGGGACAGGTGGGAGGAACTTATAAAGAGTTCCAACGACGGACGTGTGCCAGTGGTTGCTGGGGCTCGAGACGCAAGAGGAAACTCGGGTTGTAACTCAGACCAAGGCAGGTGGCACCCACAGTGACCTTCCGGAAGGTATTACGACCTCGGGCGGGCAAGTAGGTAGAGAGAAGTGGCTTTCCTGCTGTCACTCACTCACGCAATGCTCCTTCCAAAGCTGCAAGTGTGGCATCCAGCACTCATCCATCCAAACAATGACGACACGTGGAGAAATCGGATATAATGACGGATGCTTTTCCCAAACAGAGACCAACTTGTACGTAGGGCTGCGGCATGAATCGAGGTTAGAGATTGTAATGACAGCCTGTCACCCAGCCACAACTCCTCTGACGTGCCATGATGTCACAGAAACCACTGGAAATCGAACCACCTGACTCTGTTGGGATCCTCCCAGCGAAGTCAATCATGATGCCAATCTCCTTCCCTAGCCGAGCTGAATAGCCTGTAGAATGCTGCTCAGCCCTTGGCCGTAATTGGCACTTTCATGGAGATGTGATTTTGAGATAGCAACGATGAGAGAAGTTCAAAGAGAAGTTTCGTAATTTTGATGCCACGCCCTGCGTGCCTTTGCTTGCCCTCGCTCTGGTTGTCTGACTAACGCACCCCGGATTCTCCATCCGCTAAAATGCCACCCAATCATCTGCCAGTGCCATATCTTTTTTCTGCGTGCGGCGCGTCCATTTCAGCCTCTGGTGAGAGCCGCAACCATACCCAGAGCCACATGTCGCCTCTGTGCCTATGTGCGTCTGAAGAATTCATGAATCCGTTTCTTGAGGCGTCATTGGTAGTAACGTTGCTGCTCATGAGAAGGGCCCCCATACTTCCAGGCACAATATCACAATGATTTCAACTCGATAGCCCCAACGCCCTCTTGCAATCCCTCCTTGCTCTCCACATCCATCCAATTAGTCCCCACTGCAGTCCAAAATGCTAGCCTCGCGCTCTCCATCGCCCGACAACGATGTTCTCGCCATATCAACGGCGTTGATTCCCGAGCGAGCAGCCAAGCCCGCGGCAACCAGCACCATCACATTCGGCAATCTCCTTCCACTAACACGCGCCCTTGTCCTTCACGAAGACCTCCAAGAAGGCTGCGGCGGCCAGCTCTGGCCCGCCGGGATGGTGCTGGCCAAGTATATGCTTCAGTACCATAAGATAAGCCTAAAGGACAAGACAGTTCTTGAGATTGGCGCAGGCGGTGGCCTTGTGGGACTGGCCGTCGCATTGGGATGTGAATTTGCCGGTTCCGAGGACCACAAATTGTACATCACCGATCAGATACCCATGCTGGCTCTGATGAAGAAGAACATTGCCATGAACCATGTTGGGGACAGGGTCGAAGCGCTGGTCTACGATTGGGGCACACCGCCTCCTGATAAGGTATTGCGCAACACGGGCGAGACAACCCAGCATCCGGACATAGTGCTGGCAGCGGACTGTGTCTATTTTGAACCTACGTTTCCTTTACTCCTGCAAACAATGGGAGATTTGATTGGTCCAGACACCGTGTGCTATTTCTGTTTCAAGAAACGCCGAAAAGCGGACATGCGCTTCATTCGCGACATGAAGAAGAAGTTTGCTGTCGACGCCATTCAGTATGACAGCCGCGAGGTGGATCAGAGACAGGGAATATTCTTATATCACGTTAGAATGAAACCTGGTACGAGCAGTAGTAAAAAGAACTGAAAGCCTAGATTTGTTCACTTGGATGGTTGAATTATTTGACAATCATCTGGTGTCTCATCTCGTGTCGTCATAATAGTACAATATAAATACACAGAACATGGCACCTCATTTGCGCACACATCGTCGCGTCGTTCCCGTTCAGCTATCTCGAGGTGCTATTCATCAAAACAGATTGGCCAAATTTACATATCTCTCACGGTCTCTCCACGCGGATCGCAATAAGTCGGACCAATCTGAGCCATCTGCTCGTGGCCGATTGCTCAAAGAGATTTCGAATACTGGTGGAGCGGACGATCTAGAGAGACTCCCTCTAGTAGTATCGTCGATGGGTACTCCTCCCGTCGGTTCCGTGCATTCGTCTTGTCCCTGCGGCCTTTTGGCCGGGTCTTCGGGTCAAGCTACCCTTAAGCTTGAGCATGGCTCCTGACACTTTGTCGCCAATGCTAGTCTTGCGACGAGGTGCTGCCGTGGTATGTGTGGCACGGGTGGCACGAGGAGCCCTCGTTCTTCGCACGGGACGAGCCTTGGTGCTGACGGGATGAGTCCTGCGCGATCCTCTGAGGCGTTGCATAAGAGTGGGCTTGGCAACGTGAGCATTATGCTTGGGAGGATGGCGAGTTGTGGTGGTGGTTGTGGTGACGGTGGTTCCACCTGGGTGTTTGCGTGAACGAAGACCGAGAACCATCTTGCTTGATGTTTGGAAAGATATTTAATGTGTTTTTGAGGTCTTGGATGGATGCTTGGGTTGGATTGAATTGGATTTGGGTTGATTGCTTGCTGCTGAGAAACTCTCAAGATCAATTGAATTGGAATTGCTTGCCCCTATATTAATACCCTGTCAGTGCTGTCGTGATAAACCAGTTTCTTTCCTAAAGTGTTCAGACTCAACATGCGAATCAGGGCGACGTCATTGTGAAGGTGGTTGAAGGCTGCGAGACCTTTAAACCGGTATCACTTGAACTGTTCTTTACCAGGAGCATGGTCTCATTAGTGGTCGGAAAGGCGGAAGACTGTTCGGAAAGCAGGTTTCTGGATGTTGGTAAGAGGTTGGCTGGTCGGTTGATGAGGGCTGGTCTCAAGATCGTCCATCAGATTCCAATCAAGATCCATGCAACACGCCACAGAATCATGCTTGGCTGACGCACACGAACTGGGAACATGCCCTATGCATCTCGATCTCGATCTTTTCTTGTGGAACGTAGCTCTCCTCGACACCTACGTCAATTGGGCGCCACAACGCTAAGAATTATGCTCCCGCTGGCAAAAGAACCCCTGATGAAGTCGCGTTTGTGGCGGTGCGCTCTTCAACCCCACGAACGGGACGGCATGTTCCGCGAAAGGGATTGTTGCTGATCAAGATTTTGGCGAGTCTGGCCGCGAAGACGGCCTGAGGTGAAGATCGTAGCAGATTTGAATGGCATTTACCATTTGATAGCTCAACACTGGTCCTGGTACTGGGACAGGGAGCGATGCAGTACTGTGTCGAGTACAAGTAGCACGATGGCCATTTTGAACTGAACGCTTGTTCATCAGGAAGCAGCAGGACGAAGTTAAGGTGCATTTGCCAGTGATATGAAGAAATCACTTGAATGTGTTAAGGTAGGTACGCGTCCGCGTCCACGTCCATCACCACAACACGGCCAAAGGTAGGAGCGACCAGCCTGTTTGGTGCATAGCCTCCGATCGGCAGGAGAACCTGGGAAGGAACAATCTTTGTCCGCACAACCAAATCTCAATCAAATTCAACCTGCACCGACGCCTCATACAAGGACAGCATCTACCTGGCGTGAATTGGTAAACCCATGCATGATGCAGTCAACCAAACTCCGGCCATGCATTTTTTCACCAAGGTCAAATGCCCCCCAGCTGTATCCCGCCGCTCGGGTAACAGCTGGTGAGCCAGGCCTCATGCTCAAGGAACAAACTTTTCAATCCGGTGTGGGATTACTACGGTGAAAGCCAGATCGAATTTCCAAGTCCAGAAATAGTAATGCTATCAAAATCCAGAGTTCAAGCTCAATGCTTATGGTCAATTTTGCCGGTCGTTTCTTTCATCCACCTCTTATCAATGTCACTAACCTATTTACTAGCAAGCCTCGAGCAGTATCGTGAGGACATTCTCCAGCAAGTGACCAAAGATGTGGGCAGTATCACCAGTGAACTGACTGCTGACCTGGACGGCCTTTCAAACGATGTCAGCACTCATCTGAAGCAACTCACGAGAACTGGCGAGCCCTTGCAGAGGCCTTTCAACGCAGAAACACTGGTGGTTCAAGTCAAACACGGTGGCGATGGGTCCGAAGCTCAAGAAGAGGTCTTGCTGCAGGCGCGCATGGCCGAATTTCATCATTCAAGACAAGAAAAGCAAAAGTTACTAACTGACCTTTGGGATGAATGGGAAACAATACAGATGGACATCATCGCTCTCGCTGCCGAAGTGTGTGGATCGAGGGCGATCAGCCTGAGCCAAGAACAAAAGGACAATATGAGAGAGGGTCAACAGCAAGAGTTTGATATTGCTCTCGTGAATGGACAACAATATCACAATGAAACAAGAGATGACCTCACTGGCTTGCATCGAGATCTTCAAGGTCTTGAGGAGGTGCTTGTTGAAACCACAACCAAGACCAAACGTGCAGTGGCGGAAATGCAACAAGTGAGTGACCCAGCCTGGTTGAGGGAATGCCACACGCCGACAATAATGACTTTCCAGCAATATAAATTCCAGAGGACCAAATTGTTCAAAGACCTTCACCGCCATATGGAATTGCTTGCATCGCTTTAGCACCGAACCAAGCTGATAGAAAGGTTCCTTATTCATAGCTTAGTACGCCCTGATACCGCTGCCGCATCAGGATCGAGGTGAACTTATCGACCTTCGAGCGGCCATTCGTCTCCCATCGTTATCAAACCTGAAATCAGAACATAGGTCTGGACGCCGCGGTTTGGAGTTCTGCTCTTCGATGTCAAGGTTAGTGTAACCGTGGATATCCGATGTTCATGTGGAGATCAACACTAAAATCTTGGAACATTTTATCCGCCAAATAAGCGAATGTTCGCCTTCCCCGTCAAACGCCGAAAGCTTTCAGCCAGTTAACGTATGGCTTACTTGCACATTTTCAATGCTACACAGGAGAAAATATCTGTTAGAAAGATCACAATCTCCGCAATATCGCGACTACGCGTCATCTATACAGAGATTTTCTCAGGAACATCTACTCCAGCCCCTGGCAGGATAGGAAATGTGTTGCGCTGAGCGGAATAAGCTTTTAAATCGTCGAAAGGCGCGGCAGGATTCGATAGATGCATGCAAAGTATGCGGCCTGCGGCATTCGCTCTACGGCGCTCGGAATGAGTACGTCCATCCATGCATAGTCCCTTCTTATCAGGCCAAACTAGGAGTGCATGCCTCCGTTGATCGGTCCCTCGTTTGCCATGTTGCACTATTAAATGCCTGACCGCAGCATCCATCGGTTGCGTTCTCTAGAATATATATGAGTCACGGCGGGTATCCTACATAGGTCTGGCTTTTCCAACTCGTGTTCTGATTCTTCATCAACTCCTGCCTTGCGTCTGCACAGCCAGAAACATATACTCGTCTTGGCTTCTGCCCCCTTTTCCTTTTGCCCCGTTGCCCTGTCGCCGACGCCATGGCCCCAGCAGCCATCACCCCCATCTCCCCCCCATCACCCACGCTGGACAGCACGTTGAAGCTGACCAAAGCGGGCACGCACACGACCTTGTCCCAAACCATCTCGAATGATTCTCCAGCAGTTCATGATCTCGACGCCTCCAAGCTCACCATCACGCCGAACCTCAATCCCAAGCCGGTCCCAGCCCTAGACTCACCAGAAGTGTGGGCTCAGAATGTGACCACGGACCATATGCTCACTGCCCGGTGGACCGAGAAGGCCGGTTGGGACAGCCCCGAGATCAAACCCTACGGGCCCCTGTCCATCATGCCCACCGCCTCAGTCTTGCACTACGCGACCGAGTGCTTCGAGGGCATGAAGGCTTACCGGGGCTTCGACGGCAAAGTGCGACTCTTCCGCCCAGAACGAAATGCAAAGCGTTTCTTGCAGTCAGCTACCCGTATTGCACTGCCGGGCTTCCCGCCTGAAGAATTCTTAAAGCTGCTGAAGAAATTTGTTGGTGTTGAGGCAAAGAAATGGATTGCCGAACCGGGCCGGTATATCTACATTCGTCCGACCATGATAGCCACAGCTGCGGCACTGGGCGTCCAAAAACCCAAAGAGGCGCTCATGTACATCATGATGGTCGTGTTCCCGCCTTTGGATGAGCCAACCCCCAGCGATAAGGGGCCTTCGTCAGCCGCGCAGCTCAGCACGAACGGCGGCCAGACCATCACAGCAAAAGACCGAGCGTCCCTTGGGATGCGACTCCTTGCCTCACGCCACGACATGATCCGCGCTTGGCCCGGCGGCTTCGGCAACGCCAAGGTCGGAGCCAACTACGGACCGTCACTTGTTGCGCAAGGGGAAGCTCGCGAGCGCGGATACAGCCAGATCTTATGGCTTTTCGGCGATGAGTGCTTCGTGACCGAAGCCGGAGGGTCGAATTTCTTCGTCCTCTGGGTCAATAAGGAGTCTGGGCAGAGGGAGCTCGTGACCGCGCCTTTGGGCGATGGTGTGATTCTTGAAGGCGTTACGCGAGCCAGTGTGTTGGATTTGGTAAAGAAATCAAGGCCCGAGGTCGATGTTGTAGAGCGCAGGTTCACGATGAATGAGCTGCTCGAGGCGGATGCGGAAGGCCGTCTTCTGGAGGCGTTTGCTGCCGGTACAGCTTTCTTCATTGCCCCGATTGCGGATATTCATTTCCGCGGTGTCGATCTCGTTCTGCCCCTTGGCAAGGCACAGGGTCGAGGTGAGTTCGCGATGGGTGTTAAGCAGGACCTGAAGGATATCATGTATGGGAACGTGGCCCATGAGTGGGGTAACGTGGTGGGAGAGATGGGAATGTAGGCTTGTTAGATTGGAGCTTTTGTGTCTCTGCATTTTGTCCTGATATGAGCCGAGTCTTCGACATAATCCTGAGGTTCAAGTTTGACATGCATGGCGTTATGGAATTGAGCGCACCTATACTTTGAAATTTGGCCTCCGCCTAGGATCGAAGTCTGCTTAAGTCAGTTCAAGCGCAAAACGCGAGACGTGCTTGGGAACAGGTGATTCTTTCATCATCTCGGGATTTTGTACATGGCTCATTGTTACCTGGGAATTGGTAACGAGGCAGGACATGAACAATATAGTATACATCTTGCATGCCCTCTGAGGCTTGCCAAACAGCAGGGTATGGGTATCGTAGAATTTTCGAAGGCTCAATGTCGTTGTGATCGATTCAGCACTCCATAGTAGCTTCTCGGTGGTCCAACTGCCTCATCATTCAGGAGCTCTCTCCTTTTGCGTCCTTGCTCCTGCCGCCGGTACTCTGTTCGGTAGTCTGCCTCGCTTCGTCGGCCTTTTCGCCCTCGACGTCGTCTTCCTCCACGATCACTTTCTTCTCCGCAAGGAGATCTGCTAGACTGCCATCCTTATGCATATTGATCAGAATATCACATCCACCAACGAATTCCTTGTCCACGTAGAGCTGCGGAATTGTCGGCCAATCGGAGTATTGCTTGATGCCTGCGAAAGTAAGACGAAACTGTAGGCGAAGAAACGAAGACATAGTCATGACCTACCACTCCTTAATTCCTCATCCTCAAGGACATTAAAAGCTGTAAACTTGGATGGATCTACACCCTGAAGGCCTAAGATCTGGATGGTAGTGCGACTGAAGCCGCACTGGGGGGTTTCTGGAGTGCCCTTCATGAACAGGACCACCGGGGCGGATGCTACAGCCTTGTCTATAGCAGCACGGACTTCCGTCGACAGCAGCCGGGTCTGTGAGAGCTGCGAGGTGACGAAAGGTTGCAGCGTTGAGTGTGTGGCGCCAGGCCGGAGGGAGGAGAAGACGCCACGGAGAGCCTGGTATTGTAGTGATTAGCTGTTTGATACAAAATGACGCACGGGAGGGGCGAAAGGGGAGCAAGGATGGATGTTAGTTATACCGGTGTTCTCAATGTCCACTGCAGCATCTTGTCTAGTGTAGGGAGTACGTGTGAGAGAGAGAAGGGAGCTCACGACGAGAGGCGGAGGTGATGATGTTGCTTGATGACGGAAGATTTTTGGGGAAGCTGGGCTCGCAGTCAAAGTTGCACCTGCCACTTTACTGGGTGACTGAGTACGGGGCATTGGTTGACATGCATTTTATTCTTCCGCATCATCTTCGCGGTCCACTCTGAATACTACAGACACATCACACATTTCATTCTATCCATCAGAACAGTACTCTGTCCTCCGTCCTGTAGTACAATTCTGAACCACTTGATGCGCGCATACCTATAGACTCAGGTAAGGAATCCATGAGCGCCCCCACCGCCCCTCAAGAGGCCTTCTCTGCGGAGAACCATTTCCAGGATGGGAAGCATCACGTCCTTCTCGCAGCGACTGGCTCTGTTGCCACCATCAAAATCCCCTTGATCGCAAAATCTCTCGCTCGACATCCTAATATCTCCATCCGCATCCTTCTCACTCCCTCTGCAGAGGAGTTTTTGCAAGGCCAGGCCTCCGAACAGCCATGCCTCGCCTCGCTACTCGACTTGGACAATCTTGACGGAATCTACCATGATCGGGACGAATGGGCCAAACCCTGGGTCCGCGGCGACAAGATCCTGCACATAGAACTACGTCGCTGGGCTCATGTCCTACTTGTCGCTCCATTGTCTGCCAATTCGCTAGCAAAGATGGTCAACGGGATCAGTGATGGCTTACTCCTCAGTGTGATCCGCGCTTGGGATACAACAGGCCTTATCGACGTGAGGAGGAAGAGAATCTTTGTCGCGCCGGCCATGAATACAGCGATGTGGCGGCATCCCATCACGAAGAAGCAAATCAAGGTGCTAGAGCAGGACTGGGGAGACGGTGAGAATGGATGGATCACAGTTTTGCGGCCGATAGAAAAGGAGCTAGCTTGTGGTGATGTTGGTGACGGTGCCATGTTAGATTGGAAATTGATTGTGGAACATATCGAGTCTCATTTGGGCATTGATCTACGGAAACAGGACGGAGCGGTAAATGGTAGCTGAGATGCAATTCTGGCTTTCTCAGGCAAGGATGACTTGCGGGATACTCTTTGACTCTTCATTAGTCCGCCGAGAGGCGTAGTCGCCTAACAACCCGAATGAGATCACACCGCCCGTGAGCAGTGCTCCATTGACAAACCACCACCAACAGTTCTTGACGTCCTGCAAATTCACCCGCCAGACCATTGTCGCAAGGGTTAACGCTGCACCACCGCAGCTTCCCACGAAGAATACAGGCCCCGCTCCAGCAAAGCATCCCGCCGTCACAAGAAGCCCAACCTGGGCTGCTGAGAAGACCGACAAAGCCGTCTTCGCATTATGGGCATGTGCTTGGGCAATCGACTTGATGCCGGCCTTGGCGTCGTCTTTGATGTCCATGTATGCATAGATCATGTCATAGACAAGTGTCCATGCGACGCAGCTAGCGTATAGCGACGCAGCGGCAGACAAGGCCGCTATGTTGGACAGGAGATCGATGCCCAGAGCAGGGAATCCCATGATTGCACCCCAAGAGAAAGTCAAGCCCAGGACGAATTGAGGGTAATGTGTTACCCTCTTTGCTAAGGGATATATGGTGACAAGGAGAAGACTTGGAACGCCATAGTACAAGCATGGCAGTGGGAACTGTAAGAGAAGGGTCAAGCCGGCAAGTAGCTGCGCGCCGAGGTAGACAATCGAGTTCTCCACCGATATCGCTTTTCGAGCAATGGGTCGTAGCCGGGTCCGCTCCACATGGGGATCCAAATTCCGATCCCAGAGATCATTGATTGTACAGCCAGCCCCTCGCATAATAAGGGCACCGGTGAAGAACAGAGCTGTTGTTGATACAATTTCGAAAGGGGAGGCCAGGGGCGAGGCCATGGGAGCTGCAAGGAGTGTTGAGAACAGACATGGAAAGAATAGGTAGTACGTCCCGGCCGGCTTGTCAAGGCGGATCAGTTCTGCATAGGGGATCCATGACGATGGCAGCTTAGATATGAGTCCAGTGCTGGGTGGCTTGTAGACCATGGGTGAATCCGACACAGGGACGTTGGGGTTGGATGGTGATACATATCTGGTGGATGGCACCTGGAACCCTCTCTGCCATGATGAGCGAACATGTCGAGGACGGCTAGCAATGTGATGAAAAATCGGTAGCTGATGGGAGAGTCCGGTTCGAGATAGCTGCGCAGAGCACTTGAAAGGCAAGTGTTGGCTGACGATTCTATACGTCTGGATCATCCTGAACGGGTGCACTGAACAGCTAAGCGATCACGACGAGGCTGTGTGGAAAGCAGGGCTTATTTGGCACCACTTCCTTCACATTCCCTGAAGTTCTAAATGTCTAATGCCATGGTCTTGCCAGATACAATGTTCGACAGCTGCTCGGTTTCGCCGGGCGGGGGAAATTCGAAACCTCCCTCGTATTCCAGCCTCGTAAAATCAGATAGAGGACTAACTAGAAGTGGATGCAGGAAGCGCTGCTTTATACTCGGCTCGCCTACTTTAATTGGACTCGGATGAATTGTTGATCTGGGAAGGCGATCACCACCAGCCTCGCGGCCCTCGGCGATCTTTCCGGTTTGAATCCCCAGCCTTGCGTTGCCTTCACCTTTTGTGCGCGTCGTGAACATCACCTCCAGGTTGCGCCTTGTCTTCTCCTCCATTTGATTTCACTCTGGGCTCTTTCTTAACCTCCAAACCTCTACACCTCCCACCTTGAGCGGTATGCCTCAACCAACATCATCTCATCCGAGAGCAAGACTATGCGCTTGATGACTTAGCCCACCATGCCTTCAACTCGACCGTGCGCAGCCTTCGAGCCAATCTCTCCCGACTTCGATGTCAAGACCCTCGTCGAATCAACTCCCAATTTCGAGTGGGTTGTCCGCATCCACTGTGATATGATTGATCATCAAGGTCTGGAGAACTTTGAAAAATTAGTTCTCATTCACGTCATTCTTGGAGGCAAGCCACTCGTCATCGAGGGCTACGAGACACGACTTGACCGTTGGTCATTCGCCACACAATGGCTCCGAGACAATTGTGGTTCTAAAGGTACTTTTGTGAATTCTCGTGCCTGTTGTCAGTGCATTGCTGACAGTGACTGTAGTCGAGACTGCTCGCGATCTGACCAAGAAGAGCAATGTCCCACTTTCTATCGGTCATTACTTGAACAACATGGCTCTGCTCACGAATCAATGGACCAATGGCAATTACAAAGACGCTGATCGTCAGCGCATGTATTTGAAAGACATCGACTGCCCACAACTCTGGCGTGATAAACTTTCTGAACTCCTTCCTCCTTCCCTGTTTTACCTCAACGAGTCTACTGGCGATGTCGGCGGCTTTGGCGCTGTCGATGAGGTCGATCCGAACCGACCGGGCATGAGGAAAGGAAGAGGCATTGCGAAATCTGGTGACCTTATGTCAAGCCTACCCCCGGAAATGCGCGCCGAGAATCTCATGTGTTACATCGGCCACGAGGGCACCTACACCCCGGCTCACCGAGAGATGTGCGCCAGCCTAGGCCAAAACATCATGGTTGAAGCCTCTACTGGCCTTGTCGAAGAAGGGAAACCAACAAAACCAGGCTCCTCCATCTGGTTTATGACGGAGTCCAAAGAACGAGAAGTCGTCTCAGAGTATTGGCTGTCAAGACTTGGTCATGATATCGAGGTGGAAAGCCACTTTGCTCAAATCAATGCTTGGAAAATGGCGCCATTCAAAACATACGTTGTTGAGCAGAGACCCGGAGATTTCATATTGATTCCACCGTTGGCGCCCCACCAGGTGTGGAACAGAGGTACGCGCACAATGAAAGTCGCATGGAACAGAACAACGGTCGAGACCTTGGAAATGGCGCTTCACGAGGCCTTGCCTCGTGCTCGCATGGTCTGCCGCGATGAGCAGTACAAGAACAAGGCCATCATCTACTACACAATGCAAAAATATTCCAAACAACTTAAAGCAGCCGAAAAAATCAAGCAAAAGTTGCTCGCCGCTGGACGCCACCTCCCTGGCAATGATGTCAGAGTCCGCCAGCTGGAGAAGGATTTCCGCCGGCTCCACGGTCTTCTCACTGAGATCCTTGTTTCGGAAAGCTTTTCTACAGCGCAGAAAGAGCCTCCTGTGGAGAAGCTGACTTACGATAGCAATGTCACTTGTTCATACTGTCGCTGCAATATTTTTAACAAGTTTTTGACCTGTCCTAATTGTGTCGAAAAAACCCCAGGAGGCGATGATGACACTTACGACATTTGCTTGGAATGCTATGCAATGGGTAGAAGTTGTGCATGCATTTCAAAGCTCAAATGGGTGGAACAATGGCCCTGGGATGATTTAGTGCAGAAGCATGAGCAATGGCGACATCAGATCCTTCAGTACGGGGGCAAGGTTACTGAAAAATCCCCCATGTCGCTTAAGACCGAGCTTGATCGACTTGGTAGAAAACCCACGCTTGCACACATCTGTCAGCTGGAATTGCAACGTCGACCGTTTCGTGACATTCGTCGCGCTCCCTCTCCTGTTATCCAACACGAAGAGGAGGATGAGCCTCAGGTTGACGACGAGGGCAGGGTCAAGAAAAGGAAACAGAAGAAGAAAACCGAGAAGTTCATACGTGAGCATGGGCGTTGTCACATTGACTCTTACTGGGAACCGAAATGGAAGCAGGCATCCTGTTCTCATTGCAGCAAGAACTATTGCTATGGCAGCCTTTTCCGAGCCTATGATATGAAACCACAAGACATCCTTGCAGATCCTGATTGGAAATGTCCGAGCTGTCGCAACATCTGTGGCTGTCGAGTTTGTTGTAGAAAGCCGGGTTACAAGCCATACACTCCATCCAGCACGATGTTGGGCCACAATACGAAAGCGGTGGCTGATCCACGATCTATGGAGGTTTTGGTGGATTTCTCTTTCTCTAATATCGGGTGGATCCAAAAGGCGGGCGATGATAATGGGGCTAACACTCGGCGTCTTAAGAAGCGGAGAAAAGAGGCCGATGCCGCCAAAGCTCAAGAGACACAACTCGGTGATGACTACGTGGACCTAGAGAGTAGAGACAATGACATCGAAGATGGCATCCTGCGTCTTGCCGCCTATGAAGGGATACCGATTGATCCGGCCCTGGGAACTTGTGGGGGCGTCAGTGGTGGAGGGTCGACTGCAGATTCAGACGAGTATGACGAGAATCCTGAGGGTGCAAGATTAGATGAGGACGCATCCCCAGCAGATTTATCTGGTATTGAGCATGCTGTGCCCGCCGGTGGCGTACTCCGGGATGTGGACCATGCGTATGACATGACCGAGGCCATCACGTATGACTATCCCGATCCCGAGTCAGGTCGACATATCGCCGTCACGTTGGAGGAAGAAGCAGCTCCGATCCCGCCTGGTTATATACCTGCAGTACCTGACGAGAATGGAGATATACATATGGAGAATCGAAAACGCAAGCGAACAAAATTGGACGAAGGAGATCGGGCTTTCCAGTCCAACAAGTCATATGTCGACAAAGGCAACAAAAAGCGCAAGTCACTAATCGTGAAGCTACCGATCCATCCTGAAAAGTTGGCGGCAATCAAGCCAATGGCGCTGATGGCTCGACAAGCGTTGAATGGCACTGAAGTCCCGGCCCCAGTGATCAGTTCTGATTTACAAGCACTAAACGCCGCGGAGGGCAACCTCCAGCAGGTGCCAAAGTACGCCCGTAGAGGGCTAGAACATGTTGCTGTGGAACAAGATGACGACTTTACCCCTGGGCGATATCGAGACCGTCGAAAAGCTATGGCAGATGGAGTTGCAAGGCCTCCACCGGATTCGGACATCACTAGAAGACAGACTCGAATGCACAACGTTCACTATGAAGAACCAGACGAGGAAGAGTTTAATGAAGTACTGCCTAATAACCCAGGCGGTGCTAGAAAGAGAAACATAATGGTGGTCAGATTGGATGATGCCGAACTGGGATTTGAAACGGATGTTGAAGCCGAAGATGAGAATATGTCAGACGTTGACGCCACCGAAGTCAGCAGCTCCCGAGAAGTGTCAGCTTCGACAAATGGGACGCCGCTCGCTCCTAACCCCCTTCAGGACGACCGTGCTAGCTCAACACGGAAGTCTTCCCTCGAGCCAGTTGGACGGCTAGCTTCGATCTCTTCTCTGCGACCTGCGGGAACGGCCCGAAGGACTGCTAGGCAATCTCCTGGGCCGAAACATGGTTCAAAAATGCTTGCCGAAGCCCAGGCAAACCGAAAGGCAAAGATGGCTGCCATCGAATGGTTGGATAATGATAGTGAGGACCTCGAAGATGCCTGGTCGGAGAATTCCTTCGTGGAAGAGCCAGCACCACCAAAGCAGCAACCAAATGCACCGACACCGACAGCCGCCCGCCCTATGGCTGCATTAGAAACAGGCATAACTGCGACTGTGAGACGTGTCCCACAAATGGCATATGCGGAAGTGGCAAGTGCACCGTCCAAGCCAGTGAAACCTGTTGCCTCTCTCACGAAGGTCTCAAAAGATGCCTGGGTAGACAGTGAGGGCTCAGATGATGAAGCGGTTGTGGCAAAGCCAGCAGGCTGGGCAAGTGTCAATGCAAGTAACGCATCGTCGTTTCAACCCGCGACTTCGAAGAAACGTGGTCGACCACGAAAGTCTTGAGCATGATTGTTTGGACATATGGTGGCGGATTATTGAGGGTGCAGTGGACTGAGATGAAGCCAGTACGAGTTAATGGAATCAATTGGAGACTTGCACCCGAGCTTTGCAGGATATCGGGACCGCCTCGTGCCATGCTTGACGATACGCAGGCGAGCGGCGTCTCGAATGCTGGGGTGATTGAATGGAATGGAAGCTGCTGAGATGCTCGCGCCCAGCACAGCAGTGCATAGCTTGACAAGTGGGCTGAATCTATCAAAGAGGGAAACGAGCGCTCAAATGTACAATAGGACTAAAGACAAACTGAGGTCGCTCTTGCAGCGTTCTCTCGTTCGACTTGCCCTCGCAGCTGAGTCAATACCTGGATAGATTGGTCTGATGGATCCTATGCCTTTCAGCTGCCAGAGAGCCCATAGAGGGAGTTTGGAGTCTAATCAACGATTCAAACGGCCCATGCCGGGATATGAATACACAGTTCCCTACACCACAATACACTTGGTGTTCCAATTGGGTGGACAGTGGACCGCGGAGCCTGCACACGAGGCGTTAGTTAATAGTAATATAAGGCTTCGTGCGCAGGAGAGAGGGAATGCGGAGATCGGAGTTAAGTTTGGCCGCACTACAAGTCCGTACTTTAGTGCAGTTTTCTTTCTCGCCTCTTGTGAGCAATTTGAATGACATCTGGCGCACTTCGCTGCCTGCAATCCATCCTTGTCTCTGTTTTCCATTGATAATTGTCCACAGTCTACGGTCAACGGTCCTCCGCCCTCTCGCTGATCCACTCACCAGAATGAAGAGCGTGCGCCTCCTTCAGCGCGCGGCTCCTGAGACGCGATCCCCATTTCTCCGCCAGACCCTCCGTCAGCTACAACATACATCACAACAACCATTCTGCACGCGGCCTCTGCAGCAAAGTGTTCTTGGAAGCCGGCTTTTGCATACACAGCGAGCACCGAGAACCGCCTTTTCTCAGGCATTCCGCCCACGCCGCTCACCAAATTTGTTTCGTGGCCGCCGATATAATTCCTCGTCGACTACGTCGGCATCCGAAGAAGGAAGCCTCTCGTTCTCACAGCGCATGAAGAAGCTCTCGCGTGAATACGGCTGGGCGGCGCTCGGCGTGTACCTGGCATTGACAGCGCTGGACTTGCCGTTCTGCTTCCTCGCCGTCCGCATGCTGGGCACGGACCGGATCGGCCACTGGGAGCATGTCGTTATGGAAACATTTAAAAGCTTTGTCAAGTGGCCGCTGCCCACAGCTGCGCAGGAGAAGATCGATACCGCGGGAGATCTGGTCAACGAAGCGGTGGCGGGAGACGTTAAAAGTAGCAAGCGTATGCTCGAAGAGTCAAGCAGGGAGTATGGTGTGGAGGAGATCGAAGACCACGGCTACAAGGAGGCCGACAAGGCGAATCGTGGTGCTGATGCTAGTATGTTGTGCCACATCACCCATCTCATCCTCCTCCCTTGCCCCTGATCTCGCCTATCCCGATCACGATCTCTGACCTTATTCTTTCTTTTCTAGGTATCTGGACGCAGCTAGGGCTCGCCTATGTGATCCACAAGTCTTTCATTTTTGTCCGAGTCCCGCTCGCTGCCGCGATTACTCCGAAAGTCGTCAAGACCTTGAGGTCCTGGGGCTGGAACATAGGCAAGATGCCTAACCGCAAGGCTGTAAAGTCCGTATCAGGTAGTGGCAGCAGACCGAGTGGGACACCTGCTGGGGTCAATACCAAGGGCTCGAAAGTCAGGCCTGATGATTGAAATGAAAGAAAATGAGTGGAGGGAGAATAAAATAGTAAGAGAAACAGCGTGGGGGGAAGAGAGTATTCTGCCCTCGGCCTATCTCCAGGCGCACTCATCTCTATATTTGGATTTGGATCTACCATGGATTCAATCGGTTTGTACAACATTAGAGGAGGCTTTGAGATGCTGCTGCTGTTCCCATGACGAGCCATGCAATCATAATGTACAGAAGATGTAATATGCTAAACCCTCACGGCAGCCCTGTTCTATCGGCCATGCTCCGCTTCCTTTCATTCTAGTCACTGCTCTCCCTTGTTAACCATCGGCTGGTTTCCACTCCTTCCGTCCTCAAGCAACTGCACGACCGTCCCATCCTCCAGCTTAAGACTCCACTCCAAAGTCTCAAAAAATCCTGTCTTCCGCGCTCTCAAACTGACAAACTTGGTCTCCGCTTGCGCCCGCGTCCCCTTCACCCAGAATCGGATATTGATGACGCCATGCATCTGGTTCATTTCACCGCGTATCCACGGCACCTTGCTAGCGAAGTATATCTCATCGCCCAGGATCTCACGCGCCGCATCGTTCGTCCGCAGCGCGTACAGGATCGAGTTTATCGTTGATGAGCTTGATTTCTGGTAGTTGAAGATCGCGAGCGAGGACGCTGTTACGAGGAAGATGAATATCGGAAGGGTTTTCAGCCAGATGTTTCCCTTTGGTATGTTTGGGAGTGCTCGGTCTGCTCGCCGTGAAAGTAATGGGCCTGATGTCTCGCTTGGTGGTGGCACCAGTGGCCGGACTACCTGTGTAGGCGATGTCGCGGTGGAGGAGTAATGTGTTGATGATGACACATGGCGCTGGACGAAGAGATGGGTGTGTCTTTTCCTAGCTGATCTAGAAGTAATGGACTGCTGTGCTGAGGGGCTCCGGCTAATGGTTTGCCGCATCGAGGGTGGGAGGGCGTGAAGACTATTGATCGAGCTCCATGCCGTGGAGAATAACTTCGAGGTGCTACGCATCCTGACGGGGTCTGAGGGAGCCGGAGGGGCAGCTGCTGGCACACCAGCTGAGCTAAAGCTAAAGCCGAGGAAAGGCAGGGCAAGCCGATGAAGGGGAAAGTAAGGGTGAAGTGTATGGGTTCTTCTACCCAAAATTCGGTGTCATTTTGACGATTGACATCGTATGATGCGAATACCCTGCGCCAAGATATTTTGAAGCTTGACCCGTGTTAGGTGAAAGATGACGCCGCCTTTGTATTAATACTCGTAGATAAGTCTCCTAATCGACTCCTTTCTCCATCGGCCGAAAAACCTGAATATCCTGTACATGGGAACCCTCATGAAGCTGGGCAAGACAGGCTGTGCCCTGTCTGAAGAGTCTGATGAACCTTTCAAAAGCAATTATACGCACCGAGATGGCTCTGAAACCGGCTTATTATTCTCAATCAACCTGGGAATTTTGTCACTCATCCTGATCAACTTTGAAGTCTATGTCGCAAGTGCCAGCCAATCTTTGCAGCGTAGAATGGTCCCTTGAGATGATCTTTCGTCAATTTTTGACACATACTGTTGTTTTCAGTCTCTATGAAGGTTCAACTTTTGTTAATGCCGGTCTGGGAGCACCGGCGCTTTGAGCTTAAAGCTATATGCATCCTCTTTCATGCATGCGAATTGACGTTTCAGAAATATCTTAACCATATTCTCTATGAAGCAAGAAAGCAAGACTAAACGAATCCGCTCACAATTCGAATTGACCAAGATATGGGTTTCGCTGAGGCATGTTGAAGTCGAGAAGACTGACTCGGTGGCTGACGCGAGCCGTTCGAGCGACGCGCCTAACTCCAGTCCCGAACAGCATATTCCTGCCCTGCGACCGAGCCCTCAAGATGAAAAGGCTCTGTGAGGACCTAAGTCAATACCAACCTTTCCGAGATGTATAACTGCTGTGCAAATTCGGCCAGGCACGGGTAGTCCCGATTCCAAATCTGCTATAAAGTCCCTCTTTTCCCTGCATCAAACGAGGCTCTCGAAAGTACTGTGGTAAGAAGCTGTTTTGGAATCAGACTTTTTGCGGTTTAGATGGTTCGCGGTCCTACTTTTCACCGGCCTGGAAGAGCTCACATAGGCTCAATCTGACGGCCAACGCCCCGAATTGTCGAATCTGATCAATGGCACACAAGAACTCTCAGGCCTTGTGGCTTTGCCTCCTTCCTACTTGAATTCCCTGTGGTCCTGGAAAGCGTGGCCGGCCTGAGCAATATCACCATGCTTGCTCCCGGCGACGGTGCCTTTGAAGCACTAGAGACTGATCCATGGGGCGAAGCTCTCAACAATGCTAGCCAAGAAGACTACATCAGTCTGCTTTATTACCCATATCCTCAACGGATCATATGGCAACATCGACGACCTATGAGGCTGTTTCTACACTATTGGATAACACTAATTATACCAATGTCACTGGGAGCCTGGGGGATGGTGCTTTCTTTGACGACAACCAGGGAGTCGTTGGCTTCTGCTCTGGACTAGACATCCACCCAGAAGGGCCTTCCAGCAGCTTCGGGCCTTCTCTGGCGGAGTCCTGTACATTATCGATCAAGCTTCGAACTTACTAGTCAGCCTCTCCAGAATCGTGGCTGGGGAGTAATTCAATAAAACCTCGTTCGTTAGCGCTCTCAACAAGACTGGATTGAAGGAAGAAGTCGAACGAGTTTCGGACATCACATTCTTTTCATGCCCCCTTGCCAAGGCTTCGAGGTTGTACGGAAAATTCTGGCCGGGCTTGGCTCAGAAGAGCTGGAAGGGACACTCAAATAGCACATTGTGCAAGACACAGTCCAATACCACAACATTTTTGAGGGTAGTACTTCTCTTAACACACTTTAAGGCGATAATCTGACGGTCTCCATTACGGAAGACAAGGACATCTTCGTCAATGGCGCAGCGCTCATCTACCCTGATCTTATTGTAGCAAATAGAGTTGACTACCCTATAAACAATGTGCTCAACTCTGAAGCGACATTTAACTTGCCCGTCAATGGTACTGATGGTGGTGTTCCGGCGTTCGAGGGGCCTGTGACTACCCCGGCGCCCACAGTCATGGGAGATGCCGCAAATTCTGAGAGTTCGGCATCGTTGACACTGGTCAATCAGCATGGGCTGAAACAAAGTCACATACATGCCAAAACGTGGGATAAACACGATAATCTCAGTTTTCAGGCAGTTTCTGCAGATTAGTCTAATAGTACATTGGATAATAACAGCAGTTATACTCGCCAAGCACAAGGCTGAGGAACGCCAAGGCTACCTCCACTCGCTCATACCACTTGAATTGACGGACGGTCAATTTTGCTTCTCGAACATGAGTATCTCAGCCATGATCCTGCATGAAATACTTATCTTTCAAAATATTCGGGAAGATGTCGTATCTATCCAATGGCTCTTCTTCTCCCACAAAGATCAACCTCAACCTGGGCAGTTTACCCACATACATTTCCTCCACACAGGCTCCGACCAAGAGATTGCCATGGCGGATAATGCGCAACTCGGATTGTATTTACTCAGCTACACTCCTGCTCCCAGACGAGCTTTACGGCTTGATATGGCAAGCTGTAGAGAGTGACGTGCCGAAAATTAGATACGCCAAAGTCGTGATGAAGCTGGAAGAACTTCTTGATGGGGAATTCCTCAATGAATACATCAAACGAGGCATGCATTTCCGACCAGCTCTACAGCCAATGGCTTCCTCTCCATGTTCTTTTCCTGCGGCTGACAAATATCCTAGGCAATATCCTCATGATCTCAGAAGGTGATACCAGGGCTGACAACGTTTTCTCAATCAAGGAAGGTAAGTCCTTCATCGAAGTATCGCTCGAATCTTTTGATACCAAGATGCTCACCTTCCAGGAATTCTGTCCATGGAGCTCTCGAAAGACGACTATGAACGGACGGGGCTGCAGGGGTCGCCAGTCCGCTCCGGCGGACGGAAACATGTCAAAACGAGATACTGTTAGGACGGGCGATGATGCTAAATCGGATAACTCCTGCTGATTCGGTTCAAGTGATCGAGGTGAACCTTCGCCTTCCATCAATGCTACATGGCAAGAAGGCATTCGACAGAATCGTTTGGGCGGCCAAGAATGTCCTCAATCAGGGTCGAAACTGGATCCTTGCCGACCTTAAAAGTCCCAGCATGGGTGGGTTCCATATTGCTTCCCACTTCGTTTTCAGGTAATGGCTGACAGAACTGGATGGGAAGCTCACCAATCACCACCAATTATTCAACATCACCCAGTATTTCAGGATATTGTGCACTCCACCCAGTTATTCAGTAACGTCCTAGTCCCTTCAGATGTCACAGCCGGCTTCAACATGGCCCAGGCAACTTCAAATCCGACTTTCATAACGGATGACGTCCAAGAATCATTCCACGATCTTCTTGAATACGTAGACCTAATACAACTGGGGTCACCAAGGGTTCAAAGCATGGACCAAGTCGATCCTTTCATCAGTCGCTACTCGGTTCCTGACGATCTTAGTGAAAAGGAGCTTGAGAAGCAGAATGTTAGAGTACTGAGGTGGGAGGGGCTAATATCTGCACAGTGGATGTTGACTTTGCTTTATGCACTGATGTATGTTGTTTGCCCGTTGTTCAACCCGCCTTTACCTTTATTACGTATGTCTCTTGAACGCGAATTGACTGCTGAACAGAACGCAAAGTCGATTATGCGACTCGGCTAGTCTTACGAAGCAGCATCAATGGCTGCTTATAACGGCCACTACGCACAAGAGAGCATGTAAAGGAGGAGCTGATGGCTATAAAGTCCTCCTCCAGCCAAATCCTGACATGGCGACCTCAACGCAGGTTGATGAAGACGCAAACCACAGCGAAGGTCCAGAGGCAATAGTACCAGATCGGGTTGGAATGTCGTGGTCATCAGCTAATCTCGAGTTCATCGCCCAAGGAGAATCGGGGATTCCGTCGGAGCTTCCGAAGCAAAGCCAGCGGCTGGTAACTGGAATTAGCTCAGGGTTTCAACGATTTCTCTGCGCAGAGTACGTCAACGGTGTTAGCTGTCCTTAACATCCATTTGACCCAGCAAGAGCGATTTCGGCGCCTGAGCTAAGTCGTCAAGCTGGGGACCTCCGGGCGCCATCCTACCCGTCAGAGATCTGATCGATTTCCAGTCTTTCTTCATTCTCACCGATGCTTTGGCCGTTATCGAAAATCATCCTGCTGAATCACGAACTTCCCCGAGTTTGTGCTAGGTCTGCACTGAAAGTGGTCAAATACGAGAACTATCACTACAAGCATAAACTCTCTAGCGGTAGGGTAATCCAACAACGTTTCATCGATTTTACGACATCGGAAGCTACCCAGAACTCCCAGGGCAAGCGGTTTGATTCGAATGAAGAACACCTGCACAAATATGTGCTTGCCTGCTCATATTTTCTCAATCTCTGAGCTCATACACGCGGCTTCCTCCTGCTGGAGATCACTTACGACTTGCCAGAATCGCCCTGATAGACTCGCCAATATCTTCCTGTGTCAAGCCTAACCTCTCATTCCACAAACCCCTTGTTGCTGAATAATGGTTCATGTTTCCTTTCCCATAGTATCCTGCATGGATCGTTGCAATCACGCCGTCCCTCTGCCCTTCGCCCCCTCGCGCCGCCTTTTCCATACCAGCCTTCCAAGTCTCCTCAACGCTCGCATTGGTGACCCGAAACTTCTCGCCGACGGCTTTCTCAAGAGTCCGAAGAACATCATTTTGGGTAGTAGTGAAACTGTTGATATAGATGGGCCTGTTCTTGCTTGATTCTGGGTTCTTCAGAATCGCGACAATTGCCTTGCCGGTCTGGGTGAGGTTTGTCGCCTCGAAAGGGATATTGCCCCCGTCCCAAATGACAGCCGTGCGCGCAGGCACATTCCATCCTCCCACACCAGGGTAATCGAAGCCCCAATCAAACAAGGCCCCCGTAACAACAGCGGTCCATGAGATCTTGTCCTGCACTGATTTGAGATATTCCACAGTATCGATCTTGACTTTGATTCCGGGGATGGTCTGTATTGCATTTGGCGACGCAGTATCCAGCCCGAACTCCGAAGGAAGGAACACTTTGACTCCTGCAGCGATGGCGGCATCAATGAGTGAAATCTGACTCTGCAAGCCGGTAAATCCAAGGGTGCTGACAACAGCATCCTGCTCCTTGAATACCTCAGCCAGCGAAGATGAACCGTAGTCAGTATTGATCGCTCTCACGCCCTGGGGGAATGTTGTTTTGGACGACTCTCGCGTTAATGCTGTGACGACAAAGCCGCCCTCCATCAGAGCGTTGACGATAGGTCTCCCAATAGCGCCGGAGGCCCCTACGACGACGACGTTCCTGATAGGGGCAGACATGACAAGGAGGAAAGGGTGGGTTGCTCTACAGTCTTTTGTTTTGGCGCAGCTTCTTATTCGAATAGCAGCACAAAACTTGCGTTGAGAATGTGCGGTTTTGAGACGACCAGTTGAAAAATGCTGGTTCCCTGTCATGATGTGTGTTAAGCTGACGGCACTTAATATATATACATCTAGCGGCGAGACCTGGCCTCGGTAGTAGTATTGATTATTCACAACCTCAAACATTACGGAAGGATCGATTAGAAGATAATTTGTATCTCCAATGCGTCAGTTCTCCGAATCCAGCACTTATTCGATCCTGGCTGCTAGACTGTGGACTTTTTGAGTTCAATAATCATGTCCAACAACCAAGTGAAGAATTACTCATCATAATTTGCAATCATAATGAACCCAAATATTCGGCATTGCTGAAGAGAAAAGGCATTATCTTGCTACCTTCAATGAGGTTGTTTCATCAAACGGCCTTGTCGACAGGACTGGATGTCAACTGTTGCGTAAGCAAGGAGAGTAGATGACAAGGGTTTCCTTGGTTAAGAACAGATCCTATGTATAAGTGAGCCTTCATCTTTGAGGCTCGAGCTCCATGGCCAATGAACATCTAGTAAACTGAATTAATATATTCCCTGATGGTGATTGGATTGAGGCTTGGGCACAGCTCATTCAGGGTGGCCGCGACAATTGCGCCTCCAACTTGTCCACCGCACTGCACTTTCATCATCTGCGCCACCATTTTACCTTTCAAGGCCTTTATACTAAAGTGGTTAGCAAGCTCATCGTCGTAGGACTCGATGCGCTGATCGCATTGCTGCACCAACAAGGTTTGACGGTCAACGTGCACTTTTTTGCCTTCCAAAAGCTCTGCAGCCTCCTCGAATGAGAACGAATCACCTGCTATTCCCAAATGGCCTTGCCAGACTTGCAGTGGTAGATCAACTGCAGCTGCAACAAACTTGCCAACATCGTCTAGATGTGTCATTGTGATTTTACTTGGTTGACCGCTCGCGCCAAGTGGGATGGCTAGTTTGCCATTGGGAATGTCGATGTACTCGAGCATCAAGTCATCTTCCAGTCCACCCAGGGCAAACTCTTTATCCTTCTCGGATGTGAATGTCTTTCCTTGTGCAAAGTAGTTCATGAACCCTCCAGTCTGGAAGTCTGCACAAGCAATGCCGTACTTTTCCGCTACATGAGCACAGACTTTCCAGAGTTCATCCTTGTTGGCGAGTAGATCGACCTGGGAATGTGACAACGGGCCCAGGGACCAGTCTGAAGGAGCAAAGCGGGACACGTTGGCAGCAATGCAAGCTTCCAGGAGATTGAGATGTTGGTTGATCATGTCCTTTGGGTCGGCAATCTTTAGAACAGAGATCAAAGTGTGGACATCCTTGAGCGCAGAAGCCAGCTGCTCTTTGGATCCATAATCGACGTAGATGACCGGTGCGCCATAAAGAGAGGCCGGCGCTTCCTAAACATAAGCATCAGCTCGTAATCGTAGGAACTAAAGTCTAGGTCAAGATGCGGACGGGAACATAGAAAAATAACCAGCAGGTCATCCCTGTGCGCTTGATCCTTACAGTTGAGGTACGAATACTTGAGAGACAAGTCTGGAATAGAAAGGATGAAGAATTGACACTCACTGTTGCATCCAAGCGTTTCCTCGACAGAATCACGCCTTCATGCTTGCCGGTTGCGAGAATCGCGGTCACAATGGACCGTCCTAATGTCGGAGAACTTCCGCCAGCAACGGCGACAAGAACCATTTCGATTTCAGGGGCAAACAGAAGGGAGCAGGCTTATTTTATCTAAAGATGAGATTGCGACAACAGCTCAACTGGACTTGGCTCTCTCAAAAGCATACGCCACAGACATGAACTTAGCATGCATCTCCTCAACGGGGAGGAGGGGCTTGCTTATGATCCCACCCCATTTTCTAGGATCGGGGTTGTTGAAGTTCGCGTATTCGTACCCCTCAAACAAATATGGAGAGATATGGTGAAGATCATATGTGTATGTAAGCTGAACGTCAGGTGGCCAGGTGGGTGCCAGGCACAACCAGGGGTGCTGACCCTCCTGAATCATATACCAAGCCATTGTGAGGGGGCGTGAGTCATGGCGACCTGGTGCATGACGTCATGTGACTTAGAGGCATCACATCAGGGATGGTAGAGGCTCTCAACGCAGAGTAGAATTGTCATCCAGGAGGAGTAATCCCCCAGTAATAGTACTGCCATTGTAGGCCACTGGGACTGATTCTCCGGCCCAACCATGCTCCTAATTTCCACGGTGAGGGTGACTGTAAGCATCTTCTAAACCGGTCCTAGTTTGAGGCTGGTATAAGTTTAGGATTCGCGCGTAGCATGAAATACCTATTGTATTTTCAGTTCATCGGTCGGGCCTTATCAACACCACTCTCGCCCTAATGCCACCCGTGAAGCCACACCACTGCTGCACTCCGACCTCCGCTAGATCAGCTCGATCCCTTCAAATGATTTTATCGCTTGTCATGTTCGGAAGACCCACAGTGATGATACCTGGGTGTGGCGCCTGCGCAGCCGCCTTCAAGCATTCCTGACCAGCAAATGGGGTCATTACTTTGTCCTAATTCTCGTCTCCCTCGACATCGCGTGTATATTCGCCGACTTCCTCGTGTCATTGCACATCTGTGAGCACACTGGCGATACGGGATTCAAGCGTCGAGACTGGACTGGGTCATGGCCAACAAGGTCCTTGGATCTCTCAGTCTAACCTTCAGCTGCTTGTTCATGGCCGAATTGCTCGGCAGCGTGTTTGCCTTTGGGCTCGGGTGAGCGTCCCTTCCGCTGAGAGCCGTCCTTGAATCTCGCTGAGTGACCTATTGTTGCTAGTTACTTCCACTCTAAAGTTCCTCGTCTTCGACGCCACAGTCATCGTTGCCGCGTTCATCGTTGATGTTCTCTTGAGGGGCCCACTTGAAGAAGCCGGCTCTCTCGTGGTTGCGCTCCGCCTCTGGCGTGTCTTCAGAATCATCGAGGAGTTTTCGTCCCGGGCCGAAGACGAGCTGGCCGAATTACAAGAACGGATCAGTGAGTTGCAGCATGGGAAGGCCGAGGTCGACAAGGGGAACTAGGCTTTGAGAATGAGAGTGAGGGCAATGTCTAGTGCTGATGCGGATATTAGAGGAAATGCGAGCGAGAATGTGAGCGCACATGGTGGCTGAAGAACAAATGCCGGAATGTGCGCCCGCCGAAGCAGATCCGTAGTCTCGACTGGTGACTGGTGATTGGGGACATCATCCCTCCTACTAGCAATAATAGATGTGAAGTAGACGAGAAGAGAATTCTTATTGTTTCAATTTGAGGCTCGCTAATGATGCTCTTTCTGCAGTACACAAAATTGAAATTCAAGTGAAGGTCCATTGACATGTGTCCACAGCACACGTCGACACCAAAATTTAGAACCATCCAGGTAGGGCTGCACTCGCCGGCAACAGCTGGGTTCTGATGTTTGTTCATCCTGCTAGACTACGATTGGGCACGATCACACTCCTCGATAAATCGATATATGCCTTCGATCCCCTCATATCCCTTGCCGCTCCTGCACCCTGATGGTCGATTCCATGATTGCGCCTGACCGGACCCGAAAGGAGGCATGTCTAGATGTCTTACCACATGTTCGTCCTGCACTTCGCTTGGATGAAGACTCGAATATCCCGATGGTGAAGACAACCAGGGGTTGGGACCCAGCGCATCATCGATAATTTCGAAGGCATCTGCGCTTTGGCTCGTTTCTGAAAGATGGGAAAAGCCTGCCGATAGCTGTTGCGCGGGCGAAAGCATCTCATGCCACTCGACGCGGTCTCGCTTGACGCGTTTGGCAGGGTGGCTGAAATACTCCACTACCTCAGATGCTGCACTTGGAAGCTCGCTTGGGGCATAGGGAAACAGAAGAGCCATTTCAACGCCATTGTCGGACTCGAAATCCTCGTCTTGGCCAACGAGTCCGCGCCTTATGCCCAACTCGCTACACAAGGTGTCGACGGTATCTGCATCGCAACCGGGAAACTTAACCCTCAGAGTCGTACTGTCATGGAGGGAAATAGGTAAGTCGCCTAGGGTTGCAAGATGCTTTAGATCATTCATAATTGCAGCGAGATCCTTGAGCGCCCGTGCAAAGTCAATGGAGAGGTTGGACATCAGTGTGGCATTGTTCAAGGTATCTTGCTCGATCTCATAGTCGCAGGCGGCGGCTGAAGGCGATCGAGGAATGCTGGCGAGGGGGCCGATGGCAGTGATAGTTGGCGTCACCTTGAAGTCGACGTAGGATCCTGGTGCATTGACGGGAGACATGTCCATCACGTATCTTGCATCTTCCTGGGCGCTGGAGACGGCTCGGAAACGTTTTTCTCCTGTTCGGGGATTGGCACCGTCGAACCTCGCTTTCTGGCCAGAAAGCCAGAAGGCGCGCACTGCTTGGCTAACATTCTGCACAACCTGGGCCGGAGCTGCTGGTCCATGGGAGAAATATCTGACTCCTCCCACGCGACCACTTCCCAGACTATACCCTCCAGCAGTGCGAGATAACGTGCCGCCAGTAAGATTCGGACGAAGAGTGGAGGCAAAGGGTGCACGCCCGGTAAACTGTCGGACAGCGGCGGCTGTTCGCGAGAAAGGATGGGTTGCAGTTTGAGAGGATTTGGTATTTACACCAGATTTAGAGGAGAAATGGCGAGCAGTGCTATTGATACGGTGGCTGGAGCTGTACCATCGACTCTGGGTCTGGCGGATCTGTGCAAGTCGACTTACAGGCTGACGCTGGGTGACTCTGGCGTACGCAGGTTGAACTTCTGCTTCAAGGGTTCGAGAGGCTTGTGGAAGTTTATCACGGATGATTCTGCCTGTCTTTTCAAAGGCGAATCGAATCAGCCTCATCGCCTTCGGGACGAGGAGGTGACCTCCAGAGCCTGCCATGATGTTTACCCACCTGGCGTGTATGTAAGATGCTGAAGTGACGATGCAAGGATGGAAGACACAGAGGTGTTGATGGTGGCAGGCAGCATTTGCCACCCATCGAATCCCCCGCAAAAACAACTTGCGAACCAGGCCCCTTCGGGAACGGACCGGTCACGTGGCATCACGTAAAGGATCACGGGACTTATCTCTTGGCGTTTGGATGCCTCCGCGGCGGTGCCGTTTTCAACACATTCTCCATCCTCTTTGAGAACATTCTGGATATCGCTAATATGCCAGTAATGGCATTGTGGATGTCTATTGCATTCGTCAGATGTGAACCACTGGTTACATCCTCTGGTCATAATACACGTTCGTAGCCATGATTGGCCATGAACCGATGATCACAGTTCTTCAACGCCTCCTTTTCCAGTCGTCGGCGTCCCCAAACTTCTCGATTACGAGACCTGCAGACCCTGGATTCTCCAAGCCGGCTTCGAGCTGCTTCTCATAGGAAACCTCTCGCAGCCTCTGAGCTTCTCTTGGCGTCAGTGCCAGGTAAACCTCGACTCCAACTCCATGGAGAAAGATTGAGATCCACAGGGACATGCCAAATCCGATTCTTAATGAAGCGCCAATCTCTTCCGCACGATCCCCAAAATTGACATGGACGATATTGAGCCCATCCTTGAGAACCCTTGAGTTCGACAAGCAGTTTGCATAATTCTCCACGAGGTACGAAGATCCGTGCATGGATGACAACACTCCGCAACTCATGATGACGTTATAAGACCCGATGGCCGTGACCACCTGTGCGGCTATTATCATGATAATGCGAGTCGTGATGATAACTCCCATAATCACCATTGTTCGGAGCATCCATGCTCTATGCTGATCAATCTGGAGCATCTTGACATTATAATACGCAAGAGCCATGCCCGTAGTGGTGTAAATCACAAGCACGCCAACTGCTCCTTGTGTTGCCAGATCACCACCGAATGCCCGGCGTGTAATCATCAAGGCACCGACATTGCCAACAAGGAGGAGCAGGATCACCAAATAACCATTGATGCGGTGGAATAATAAGCATCGGTGTCTAATCGCAGGAACGAATTGCCACACCATTAACAAGCCAGCAGGAATTACTCCAGCCAGGTGCAGTGTTATTCCCACGCGCCGAGATCCTGTTTTGTACCAGTACCATTCGCCGGGAGAGGAGCCTTCTCGAAATCGGCGACCTACGTCGAGATACTGAAGCCTTGCCAGACTGAAACCAACCATGGCCCCTGCAAGGATAATAACTGCATTCGTTAGCAAAGAGAGATTGCTACCATTAAGGGTGCACTATTCCTACACAGTGGTACGTTGTATCCTCTGTGGAAACCAAGCGAGGTGAACAGCCTTCCAAAGCGGCTTGGGCTTTTGCCAGCTGCCAAGGACTTGCGAGCCTGATGGTGGCTGTCTGTAGATTGTTGCTTAAATTCACTTGTATCCATGGTTGCGTTCCTGGGCAGGATTGTGTGCATGGACTTGGATCTTTATGCTGCAAGCATCGATCTGCGTTCGAAGAGATGAATAGTGTGGATGGATTGAAACTTGCGATTTTCTGCAGATCCAACAGTACTCCCTGAATGGGGATGCGAACGCCTTTATATGCACCATGGCGAAGCACGGAAAGGGCGTCGTGCATGCAAGAAATGGAGCCAAATTACTCCGTGACGTTGGGGATATATCGAGACACGCGCAAAATGAAGCTGGATCGAGGAAAGTGCATTGTTGTCAGTACTTCGTATCGCAGCCCTACAGTGTCCAGGCTCCCACTATTTCTATCAAAGTTTCTGGCGGTCGACGTATCTTCTGCGTATAGCTTAGATGCGCGCTAGATCGGTGAGCCCTGAACATCTGTTCCTTTGTTCTTTCCATCCGATCTTCGATGATCGGTCTATTCTCCGATCACTATATGGAGAACAAGCACAAACGAAAAGGGCTAGGTAAAGAATCGATGACGATCGCCAATCCCACCTCCTGGTATATCCAGCCAATCGAATCGTTGCCAAGCAAAGCACGGCACAGTCGAAGAATAGCACCACTTTGGGAAGAGATCAGCAGTAATTTTCAGTCACAACCATATCTCTCACGGTCACGCACCCAAAAATGCTACCTTCGAACATCTCTTCGTACATAATCGCGATATGACACGCTTTTAGGAACTACCAGTCGATGGCCATGTTTGCACGGAGCTATGGTTGGCGTACCTCGTTCCAAAGCGTGCGTGAACTGCAGAGCGCGGCGAAAAGGCGTATGCGACCACCTAATGCTCCAACTGTACTTGTGACGGCAAGCTCTGACTATGGCTTACAGTGCGATGCTGGACGCCCCTCTTGCAGCCAATGTACCGACAGAGGTGTTGCATGCAAAGGCTATCCAACTACGTTGAACATTCGCTTCGAAAACCCCGGGGCTAAACTGACTGGAGCCGTGCCTGGCTATGAGGCCAAGCGTCCTAGAAACGCTATTGCCATCCGCAATCGGCTTCCCGAGGCTGCGTTAGCTATCCTCCCGCAGACATGTAACACAGCGGCTCTCCGATCTCAGCTGTATGGTCAATATATCGAGGAGTATCTCCCCCATTCGTCGGGGGTATGGCCTGAACTCCAGACTGATTTAGAAGTTCTACCTTCCACTTCATGGCTGCACGCCGCGTCTTCTGTCCCGGCTTCCACTCCGCTTCTTCCCGATGCCCTCGCCGCCCTGTCATTGGCACATCTGGCTCAAGGCGCGAAAAGGGCCGAGTTCCTCTATCAAAGCCGCACAGCGTATGTCCGAGCTCTTCAAGGGCTCAACAAGGTCCTTCAAAGGGATGGTCAACATCTACAAGATGACACTTTGGCTGCGGTAATGGCCTTGAGTATTTACGAGGTAAGCAATTTCAAGCAACCTTACTTTGTAGACTGGGCCGATTTTCGATCACAGATGCAAAGTGGTTCACGCACACGGGCGCAAGGATGGGTTTCACACATCCGAGGGGCGCAAGCACTGGTACAGTTGCGAGGCCAACGAAACTTTTCCAATTCTTTCAGCGAGAGGCTATTCCTCGGTTCTAGGTTAACGGAGGTAATGCTGAACAGCCGCTGACTGCATTGACTGTGTTCAACTGAGGCTTTAATAGTTTATTTCCGCTATAGGAAAACGAAAAGCCAGCCCAGCAGCTCTCCTGTGGTCGACAGCTCACACACAATTTGAAACACCTACCCATATCCAGCTTTTCGAGATTTTGCACTCTTTGCCTGGAATCATGGAGTTAGCAGACAACATCAACCCATCTGAACTGGAAAAGTTGTCTCAGGCCAACCAAGGTAGATACACCGCTCTTTTCGACGAGCTAGCCACCAATGCACTCAAACTAGATGAACAATTGAATGTGTGGTATGCAATATTGAAAGCTCAGAATCAACACCACCATAGAGGTGAGCTATACTGGAGATCGCCTTCTACATTATACAGGCAGCTTCCGCCCAAAAGCCCCGTCAGAGACTTGCCGTTTGAATTTTTCCATTGTTTCCCGGACTCAGACATCGCTCAACAAGTCGTCCTCTACTGGTCTGGCCGTCTCCTTCTTCAGAGCACTATATGGCTGGCGAAGGAACGTCTCCTTCGCGCTGGTTATAGTGCTGCCTTCGGCACGCACCCTTCGTCATCAACCTTGAGTCTCACATCCGGCGCGACGGGGTTAGGACTAGAAGCTGCCCATACACTGCCTCAGGCCCTGCCTCCAGAAGCGCTGTTGATCACTCAGTCTCTCGAATACTTTGTCCATCCGGATATGGGCTTCTTGGGCACCAACTTTGTGGGGTTTCCCATGGCAGTTGCCCAGGGAGCCCTTGGGCACTTCGAAGCACCTGAACTGGCATGGTTTGATGTTGTTTTTGAGCGGATGCGTCAGATGAAGTCTGGCTTGAGGGGATTTCTCGATGAGATGGCACGCGGGACTGGAGATGCACAGCTTAGATTATTAAGGGTCTAGCTCTATTGCTGGTCACGACGCTACACGTGTGCTGCTTTACACACTGCTCAACTGACGATGTTGACAGATTGTCTTTTCACACTGCAATGACGCCTCATGGTTGAGTTGTCTGAGGATGCTTCCCAACCGTTTCCTGTGGACAGTTTCAACTCCTCGACTTGGGAAACTATAATATTGGAATTCATCACTAGACACTAGAGAGTCCCGGCGGTTTCTCTTAGCATGGGCTTTTTTACGCTGAATTGGTTATGCTACTTAGAGTCACGTGCCGCATTCATCGAATCTATCATCAGGTGGGGGGCCTGAGCGGTCAGAGCCGCCTATCAACTCGGAGGCACGACACATTTGCTGATGGTGACTCATGAATAAGAATAAATGCTCAAAGTTGAAAATCAGCATTCGGATAATTGTCCGTATTTTAACACCATCCATTTTTCCAAGGGAGCGGACTCTCTGAGACCGAATAAGAGGAATCGAAGTGATTTTGATTCGAAACTATCCAATTTCGTTTATCTCTAAAAGAAAAGTCAACATGACTTCGAGAAGCACGAGCGATTTCGATCCATTCAATATCACCATTCCCCTCGACCAATTCGACTTGGTACTGTCCGTTCCACACCAATCTGACGGAGAGACAACACTGAAGGCGCTCAACGACCCGCGTGTGTACATGAACCTCGAAGGGCCTCCATACCCCTACACGCCCAAAGATCGGGACACCTGGTATAAGATTGTCAGGGACGGAGCAGATTTTCACCAGCAGCAATGGGTTGAGCTTATGAAGAACCGCGCTGACGATATAAGAGGAGACAGCCAGAAGGATGCCGCTGCCGGTAGCAACCACAGAAAATGGGTCGGTGGTGGCCAGTGGGCTTCCACAATCCGAGCAAAAGTGCGGCAGTCTGGACCTGTTGCACAAGGAACAACGTATCCTTTCATTGGTGAGATCACAGTTCGTCGCAGTGGATTTCCGTATATTCGGGATACTGAGGTTCGGCGCAAGACAGTTGGAGTAAACGCGGAGCTTCCTCCTGGAGATCCCAATATAGTATGGGAAGTTGGCTTCTACTTGATCCCCGAGTACCATGGTAAGGGCATCATGTCTGTAGTCTTGACCAACTTGAGAGATCAGTTCTTGGTACCATACATGAACGTACACCGGCTGATTGGGACCTACTTTGAACACAATGTGCCGAGCAGACGAGTCTTTGAGAAATGTGGATTCCAATTCTTGACCTTCGTGCCGAAAGGGGCCACGTTGGCGCAATCGAAGATTGACGCATCCGGATTGAAAGACGGAGAAATTGGAATAGGGGTTATGGAGTGGCAGAGCACTGGTGCTGCATGATTGTCAAGGAGTTATTACAGCAGGCTGTGTTCGAAGTCTACAAATGACGGGTAAGTCGTTACTTGCGTATTATGAAGACGTGGGAGCCTTCGTCAAGCACATTTGGTCATGTCCTCAGAATGGCCCATAGGCCATGACTGGCAGGCATAGAATTGATGGAAGCTTGCCATCAGCAGATATCGGGTAGTGGTTGGGAATACCAAAATCGAAACAAGACAAGGATTGTTGGTCTTAAGGAATCCCCGTTAGGCATCAAGCACATCACCGGGCATGGGCTTTTAGAAACAGGCAAGCAGAAGTGAGAAATCCGGGGTCTGGCACGTAGAAAGGGAATGATACTAGATAAACTCATAGGGCCACGGCCCACTGATTGCTGTTGGAAAGTTAGCGACGAATACGCATTGACGTTGGCACAGCTACCAGCAGTTGACTATTCAATTGCTGACATAATCTTGAGCTATGTTGCAAAATTGCCGGAAGATTGCTATCGTAGTGAAATATAATGAGAAGTGTTTTGGTATGGGGATTTCGCTTGCCACTTGCCAAGAAGCCGAATTTGCCCTTCAGAGGATACTGAAGGTAATTCATTCCGAAACATGTTGGTTTAGTGGTATTTGCACCCGGCTCTAGATAGCTGCAAGGGTAGCCAGGGCACCTTTCCCGCTTCCTTGCCTCCAAGCGGCGCGAAGTCGTAACTCATTGACAGGGCCTGGCTCAATTTTCTGGGAGAACAAAAGAACAAATCCGGAGACAGTCACGAGCCAGGCAACTGTCAATCTCATTAATGGCTCCAGATCATGTACAACCCAGCGTAACCTGGTGAAGATACGATGGCCGTCTCAAGCACTTTACATTGGACCCCTGCCATGAACTATGATCCATGCCAGTGCGCGAAGTTCTGTCGCAATAACCACATAAGTTGCGCGCTTTGGGTTCATGCGCCGATTTGGTAGAAAACTGGAGTTGCAATAGATAACAGGAATTGGCATGTCTTCTCCACTAGAGAGTGTTTCGATATCTGATGCGATAAATTCGAAAGGCTGAGGATGGGAAAAATATTTGAGTTGGGATCGTGTGAGACTCATCGTCCTCGCCGGCGCGGTGACGAGCTCCTGGGCATTTCGTGGTGATAGAACGAGTTCTGTTGTAATCTTATGTATGATACATGAGAACAGGCTAACTGTGCCCTTCTTCCAAAGTAGCGGCGCTCTCGTCGAGAAGCATTTGTGGCTTGGTTAGTGAAGTATTGCTCTAATGAGGCTGCATGCTCGTAGGATGCTAAGACAGAGCATGTACCCTGGGTGACTCCGTGCCCACTCCTGGCACGGAGTACAGTACATACACCGGAGAGCCCCTTGACACAAATGCAGAAACCCCAGAGGTTGCGATTCGGTAATCTGCGGCAATCGCCAGAAGACTTCGATCGTTCCGAGTCTGAGAAATTCAAGGACCCCGTGCTTCTTCCAGGACTAGTATGAACTAAGCCAAACACAGACTAGTCCCGAAGCGCTTAAGCGAGATGTTAGCCGGAAAGGGTCTAGCTTCGGATCCTACCAAGCTAATCTCTTCCGTCCCTGCGGATCTTTGACGATCTCGACTTACGCCACATCTATTAGTGTCCATTAGTGCCGGCTGTTTCCTGCACGCTTCCCCATCTCCAGACATTCCATGCTACAGACTTATCAAATCTGCTTCGCTTTGGGCATCCGTGCGGAGGAGGCAGTCGACGGCTGGAAGCTGGAACGCCTCTCTCCCACTGTGGGCGCGTACACTCTTACCCTTTCCTCGCAACACCCGTAGAGCGAGAACAAGAACCCTGCCAATAGCGCACCACGTTTAGCTAGCTTCCCAGGCACTGACCTTGAAAGGGTCCCTTCGCGGCTCTAGTCCCTCAAGGCTGGGCAACCTTCGCCGGATGGGGGCGAACTTGATTACAATGGCGTGCCGCTTGCTGGGTGGCTCTTTTTCTGCGCTCTCCCAGACGCCACATGGGCATGTCCTTGCCATGAGGATGTTCTTTCAGCCGCACTGCTTGACCTGCATTGGCCTCCCAGCCCAATGGCCCCTACGTTGACTTTCCCCACTGCATCTTTGGCTCTCACATGCGGCTGCAATTGAGGTGATCATGGCTGACTAGGGTTGATCGATGGTTCTCAGTCGGTTTCGCCTTGACCTTGAGACTGGTTGGGCCCTCGGGCCAGATGCAGCACCTCGTTTTAACGTGCTTGACCCAGCATGAACCTCAAGAAGGTGCCATTTCCCACTTGCGTTGGCTGTCCCATCCTTATACCGCGAACACAATCCACGATCTCTGTCTGCGGCCGATTCAAAGAGCAAAGCATCTGGGCTTCATGTCGACGCTGGCGTGCCACAGGAACCCCCAGATTATGCCAGATCAAGGCATCTCTCGACCAACTCTTGATATATCGGGAGCTTTATGCTCACACATCCCTCTATACTTTGCAGCATTGCCAGCCGCTAGGTCCGAAATGACCCCGGCTGCGGCATCTAGGCTCCTGTACATCTCAAGTTGGAAGCTCCATTCGGAGACCTCACAAGAGGAGCCCAAGCTACGGAAGCTTCTCGGTCATATCTCCATATACGACAAGACTAGAAAATTCCCTCACACGGCATCAGACTCGTCGAAGGAAGGACCCGACACTAAAACGCCCCCATACCTTGCATATCAAGTACCTTCGTTCAAAGCATTCCAGGCTGCTATCCAGGACCAATTGGCTAACTTGGCGAAAATTGCTCCAGCCTCAACTCTGTCCGGCACAGATCTCTCTGAAATTGGGCAAGAGGAGGAGGAGGAGGAGGACGACGACGACGACGGAAGCGATTATGATTCATATGACGGCGATGAGTGGACCGATGAAGACACGTCAGCGGACAGCGATGAATCATTCACAGATACTGAGAGCCTGGAGGGACCATGGTCGGAATGCACCAGCCCGACTGAAGCTTGCAGCGACGAGGAAGAGCATTCGGATCAATGGGCTATCCGACCCGTTCCAATAACGATTCAGCCACTAGCCTCTTGAGATCCGGTAGAGCTGTAAATGCTTGGCACCTTTCAGCTTCGTGTTTGCCGGCGGCGCACAACATACGAGCAATTCCTGCTTTTGACGTTTCCAAGCGAGGCGCTGATCGATTGGCGGGTTGTATTGAATGCTCCGCATGCTTGGTGGACAGCTTATTTTTGTATAAAAACATGATTCCCAACTTATGTACAGTTCAATTGATCGAGCCTTGATAATATGAGCATTCGAACCCACGATGCCCGGTTCGACATTGGGGTCCTTTCTCTAGTGTGGCCCTCAAGTCTTCACGAAACCCTTTCGAAACCATAAAGCTTGTGGAACGCCCTCGCTGATTGTCGCGGTATCCCCACAAACGCCATACATGTCATGACTGATAAAGCGCAAGCGAATATTGCTAGCATTGTTCTTTCTTCATCTAGCTTTTCCAACCAACCATTTATTGACATCAGCCCCTTCCAAGAACCATTTGGAGCTGTCGAGACTGGAGTTCTTCTTGGCATATCGAGTGCCCACTCTGCCACCCGATCTAGTTGCCTGTAGCAAGACAAAGTCAGCTCTGGTCTAGCTATCTGGATCATGTTCCCCTGTGACCCTCTTGCTGAAGTCGATAGGCAACATTTCCAATATCAGGTCAAGAAGACTTACTGCGTATAGCACGCCAGTAGCAGTAACAACTGTTCCAGTGGTGAAGACAGCCCGCATGAATGTTCGCTCTCTAGGCTTCATCGCTGTGGAGGAGTATCGTACAGGAGCTGTCAGCCGCGGGCCCATTCCGACCACAAAGCGGCGAGATATCAGCGGAGCGGTGTTCATTTTAGATAAGAGTTGATTATGTAACGGAGGGAGCGGAGAATCGGGAGAGAAAAGCTGCTAAGAACAGTCCTTTGTAACTTGTGGCTTTTGATTTGCGAAGATCGAAATAAATGCTTGTTGCGAGGTAACCTACCTGGCCTGGATAGTCCTCATGGCTTTTAAGAACACTTTTCAGCACGAACATCGAATTATCGCAACAACATGGTGAATTCCGACATACTCCTACGTGAAGGAGCGGTTCGTGATCCCATCAGCAGACCTGAGCGTCATCCAGCAGCCGTACAGCAAACAACATCAGGTGCTAGAACCTCATATCACCAGTTTGGGCACAGTCTAAGCGAGGCTGCCATCTTGTGGTCACCAGCGGCGGTCCCCGGAAATCACTCAGGCTGAGAACAACACGGCAGGATGAGCCATGAGGCTGAAAATCCCACTTCTCCATCAAGGCCTCCTCGTCACGGGTTGGACCGGGCTGCTCGGATTGTGTCAGGCCACGCAGCTCTCAGATTACGGTAATTACAAGGGCAAACGCTGAAACTCGGCCTGAAAGTGGTGTCATTACGGTCAGCGCAAACAGTCTCCTGCTTGAGGGTGTGGAACTAGATCGACGTGGGGCTAGACCCGTCGACCGAAACACACGCGTGAATTTGGGTGACTGCACGTGACTCGCTTACTGTATTTGAGCTCTATTATTGGCGAAATTGCGTTCACGTGACTGTTATTAATACGTCACCCCCTGGTCCGTGGTGTGACACCCCAACATCCTCACCACGTCGAGACGCCGGCACTCCGTTCTTGGGGGACTGCCAAACCTCGCCGAGTGAAATCTCTCAGCCGACGCTCCCTCGAACAGACATCAGCGTCGTCAACTCCACAAAACACCTCACACCCTCGATCACTGTGGCCTGACATTCTCCCTCTCTTCAATACCAATCCAAAATATACGTCTACCAGTCTTAGCGTTTACCAAAGATCACGCTTTGCCCCTCGTCTCACGGCCAATCCCCGTCATTTCGTGGATAGAGAATTTCCGCCGTAGCGCTTTCTGGCAGCTAGTCGTCGCTAAGGGGCACCAGCAAGGCAAACCTGCGAGGCTTCCCATACTGTACTGAACACTTTCCGTAAGCTACGGGACTGGTCGAGCACGCTAGGAGGCCGACACGAAACAGGGACGGAACGAAGCAGCAATGCCATTCAGTGCGCTCTATCGAGTGCCAGATGGCTCTCATGACTTTCAAAACCAGCAGAGATTCCAACGTCACCATTCGCAACTAGCCATTGTCGATCCTGACACCGTAGATTACAGCGAGTGGCATGAGATGGACTTTACCACTGCACCCCTCAATTCCTCCACCCCCAACTCAGCTTCTCATCACCCAAAATACTCGGGCACGATGGACACAGACGTCGATTCGCTGGCCTTTGTGCGATCTCCTAACAGCCAACGTCACAATTCCACCGCCTCACCTCACAGCCAACAACAGTCTCCTGGGGCTCACTCACTCTCAGGAGACCTTTACACCACGGGACCTTTCTCCTACTCGCAACTTCTCAACATGGACTCGGACCTCTCTTCCATGGATCAGTCGAGCCTCAGCAGCTCACGCGCTGATTACAGCTCCAAGATGCTCAACGACAACAGCACCATCGCAACTTCTTTATCAGGATCTGACTCTCTCAACGCCTCGCCCCCAGTCGCAACGCTGGATCCCATTGCCATCAGTTTGGCTTCCAAGACGGGGCCCAACGAGAAACTCTGCCCTCTCATAGCTGGTCAAGTTGATTCGTGTCAGCCACAGCGCTGTGGCCCTGATGCTCCTTGCATGAATTTCACCACTCTTCCTCCGATAGAAGAATGCACTTCGGTGCCTTGTATCACCCAAGATCCTTCCCCTAACGAGACCATGATCACCAGCGACAGCGTATCCGTCTCTGTTCACTCGCGACCAAGCTACAGTGCGCGAACGAGTACGGTGAACTCTGCACGACGCTCATCTGCGTCCTCGAATGATTTTTCACTCCAGGCAGTTCCCTTACCACCACGTCGTAATGCCACCGGACCAGCACGGCGCCGTACAGCGGTTCGCTCGCAATCATCCACAATCGCCCCGACCATCTCGAACAACATGGGCTCGGAGGACGAGGATGACGACAACTCGGCCTCCAAACCCATGGCACCTAGCAAAGCCGACGCGAAGCAACGCGCCAAGCAGGCACACAGCCTCGTCGAGCGCAAGTATCGCGAGAACCTCAACGCCAAAATTGCTCAACTACACAACACACTTCAGTCATCTCACTACGGTCCCAAGGTGGGACAAGAAGATGATAGTGATAATCCAAATGGACCAATCGCCGCCATACCGGCCAGTAAAGTACGCAAGAGCGACGTGCTGACTGAGGCGATGAACTATGTCAACCAAACTGAGGTTGAGATGCGGCATATGGAGAACGAAATTCATCGACTTAGTGAGCGCGTCAGAGTGCTCGAGAAATTGGTTCGGTGCGAAGATTGCAGTCTACTGAAACAAATGGTCAATTTACAGGTCCAAGCTGTCTGAGCTGGAATGGCCTTTTCTGTGGGGAGGAAACTGGTGTTGAAAATCTTATTGCATTTGTCATGAACACTTGGCGTATTTTGTTTACGCATGTCAACGGAATCTCGTGTGTGTGAATGGAACATGGGTGGGTCTTGAACCTCGCGGCGTCGAGGATGGTTCAGGAAACGGCGGTCGAGGTGCAACTTGAATTATGGATGGTGTTGACACGAGACTAAGGTATTGATTTTCTTGTTGAGCCCAAATTGTGCGCAATTTGACCCAGAATGAATGGATACTTGAAGATATCCATGGTTTTTGCTAGGCTCGTTGGCCGCTAGCCAGGACTGCGTGATGCTCTGGCTCTCTTTCCCCTTTGCCGGCTCCTCCCTCCGAGATGTCACAACGACTATCTATGATAACATCTAAGACGCTGGCTTAATCCGTGTGCAAATAGGAGCAATGACTAGGCAAAAGGACGGCATTCAAGGTTACAAAAATCCCATGCCTCTTGTTTATATGCTTGAGCAAAACATTGTATGATGGCAGAGTCTGGTCCTGTCCTGTTATACCACAAATTGTGTTTGGCGTAAGCATTCATCTTCGTCTGGATGTCGAGTTCATCCTAGGTCATACATTCCACAACCATTGCTCTAAAATCTCCAATGTATCCGAACTCATTGTGTTGGATTCTTTTGCCGATCACATCTTGTTTGAATACGCTGAGCCTGACGTGAACTCCTTGAGTTTTTTCTAGAACGCCCAAACATTTCATCCATGCCTGCTTTAGGCCTGGAGTGACAATAGTGGCACTCATTCAATAGTAACCTTGACACCACCGTGTTTCTGCTGAGCTTCGTCCTCGACGCTGCGCTTGGGTACATCGATCCGCAAAAGGCCCCCGTCAAGACGAGCCTTCAATTCTTGGATCTCAACATCGTCGGGCAATGTGAAAGTGCGTCTCCAAGGGCCAAGTCTTCGCTCTGAAAGCAAAACGGTGGGCCGGGTGTCGGTCAGCAGTTCAGCTTCCACTGTCTCCCGTGATGGTGTGCGCTCAATGGGGCCACCATCGGTCGTCGGTTTCTGCAAAGTGATTTCAGCGTGTTGTCTACAAAGACATGCCATCCGGAAGAGTTCGGCTGATGACGGCACAGAAAACAAGAGATGCTTACCCTGTCATGGCCGGCCTCTCTGGCCCAGCCATCATCCTTGCCTTCCCATACCTTCTCTCCTTCCTCGCTATCGAGGAGACCAATATTTGCAGGTCGCTTGACGTTCCCTTGCACCAGGAGCGTATGTGGGCTTAGCCATTGGATCAACAGGCTCTCCTTGTCAGTTGTACCGGGAGTCTCGATTTCGATGTGGTAAAACCGTAGGGATTCGCGAATGTCGGTAGCTGGCGCCCATGTACCTGAGCTAGAAGTCCTGATACTGTCCGGAGCGTGTGGTCCATGGTAGTGCGCCCTCAGAGTCAAGTTATGAAGTGAGATCTGGGGGAATTGAAAATGGTGTGGGAAGGCTGGGTGTGGACCCGGGTGAGGTTGAATTGGCTCACCGAGGGCGCCTCCAGTCGAAGCATCAAGAACTGGATTGGCCACAGCGCTCTCCTCCACGAGGCGGATGACGTAGTTTGAAGGCACTGCGTAAGGGAGTCCCGACATCGCTGATGGTGAGTTGCTGGATGGAAGTGCTGCGAGGCGAACGGGTGAGTGATCAGGAGGGCGGCAGCAGTGTTCTGGTTCAGGCGCTAAGGTGCTAAGGTATTTTCCTATCCGTCTGAGTGTCTGTCTTGCTTGTGCACCGAGAAAGCTTCCCTTGCAAAGAGGTGATCGCATCTGTCTTATACCAAATATGCCTCCGGCAATTTAGGCTGTCGATCAGCCACATGAGACATGATCACCTCCATGTCCCTAGCTGTCCCGACCATCCTGTGAAGATTGATAATAGCTCGGGGGAGGAAGTCAGAGCTACGTCAATTATGGGATGACACCAGGAACGACAAGCTCGTGCAGGCTTGTTTCGGGGCTGATAAGCCGAGTTCGCTCTGCTGCACGAGGCTTTGATGCGAGTATCATGAGATGATGAGTAAGGTCCAAACGCTCTGGGGCATGGCGATCCTTGTCCAAGTCAAGTGAACGTGGCTTGATTGGTGCAAATTCACACCTCCTCTGGTTCTCCTTGCCATGTTCTGTGCATTGGGGGTTGGGAATGCATTCCCACGCTGTCAAAATATAGCACGTTAGAGCTCATACCCATGCTTCAGGGCGGCATTGTTAGTGAGGGCTGGTGGTGATACTGGCTCGAGCACTATTTTTGCACTCAAGTGGCCCGAAGTGGGTGGAGAAGGCCTAAATCGCATGGAAAGCAGAAACTACTCAATCCCAACAGAATAACCTTTGGCTCGTGAGGAGGCACAATCCGCAATAGCATTGTTGAAATGTATAGAGAAAACTCTCTTGCGATCAAAGGACAAACTGGTTCGCGGTAAACCCATCAGCAATAATCACGCGAGGCTGGGCCTGAGCAACTTAGGATTTCACAGGATGGTTGCAATGAGAGAGCAATCGAACCTGGTGGTCTGATCCAAGCACGTGTGCCGAAGCGTTGTGAAGTCAGAATGAGGGAGATACAACGCATACCTTTATAGGCCTGAAAGCTCCCGGCCCGGGGGTGGGGTGGGGGGGGGGGTTGGGGGGGGGGGAAAGGGGGCGGTTCTAGGCGCCGACTCGTAAGGGCTGAGGGACCCAAGGGTAGGGACGTTAGTTAGCGTTGGTGGGTTATGGTTTCATGCCAACAACTTCAACGAGCTTTACTCCGCCAATACGTGTATTATCATAATCCAAATCTGATTCTTTCATAGGAGATGTCTATGTTTAATAGTGTGCAGTCTATTAGGACACAATCTGTGGTAAACAAGAGCGATAAAATGCGTGTAAGGCAACCCAGAATCAATATCCCGCCACCGGCCATGTCACCCGCCCACGCCCGCCTATCTTGGTAGATCGAGCAGTCGCGTCCGCCCGGAGCGCTGCATCCTAGGTTGCTGTGGAACAGTTTGGGCCTGATCGCATTAGACGTACATAGTACTTTATCCTCCAGTATGAGTCCAAGTTCCACTTCATAGATTATTTCGCAGGCTGTGTCTACTCTAGGTCCCAATATTGCCACAATGTGAGTAGGATTACAAAGTGAGGAGTGGACACACTAATGAACGGAGCCAAAACAATGACATTGTTTAATTCGAGCGCTGAGATGTATCAGCAGCAATCTTTTCACACTGCAATAGCTGCGGCTGGACACAAGCCATCACAAAAAGGAAATGCCGTCTGGACAGCGAATTCTGCCGCCGTAGGACAGTGGGGCTATCCAACGAACTACCCAAACTCCAAGGTCAATTTCATCCAGTCCTGTAACACCTGCCCAATGGTTTGGTCCCAAGTCATATGCCATAGCTCGGCTCATAGTCTCCCTTGCCGAGCCTCCATATCAGCAATCAGTTCTTCATGCATGATATCAGCAACTTTATCCATGGCTTGCTTCTCGATGCTCCTCCTCCGTTCAATCTCCATCTCAAATGGCTCGTCGACTAGGCCATATCTCTCGGTCAGGTTGTCGACAGGTGTTATGCCCTCGCAATGGCATTCATGATGATAGTCGTGACTGGTATGCCGGCATGGCTGTGGTTTGACATGAACCTTAGCTGGTGAACCCTGGCTCTCACTTCGGTCGAGGTGAGCTATGCTCTCGGGACACAGACCCGAGTGCCTCCGGGTGTGATGCACCGACGGACGAGGTACATCTTGTGTCGGCATTGCAATATCAGGGCAGAATCCGTCCCATAATTCAGGTTCTGGGCTATGATCGTGCTTGTCCTTTACAACACGGTCTTGGGAAGAGCGACGCATGTGACATTTGGAGCAATATTGGTGAAAAGACCCATGACTAGAGGACAACCTTCTGAGCTGAGGATGCACCGCTGGACCCTCGACTATGAAACAAACTTATGTGAGCCTAGGCTGATCGGGGGATAAATCTCACGCTTAGCTTACCATGAGAACGAGGCGCGGCTCGCTTGGTGATGTCAAGGCTGCTGTTCATGCTGGTTGGGCTGTCAAGCAGACTGGGTGTAGTATTTCCACTTGTGCTGTCGGTATGTTTCTCCCGCAATGGGAGATCAGTGTTGACAAAAAGAGGAGCAAACGGGTCGTACTGCACCATGATAGTGGATGTAGTAAGATGTGCTGTGGTTGGTTTGAAGTGTAAGTCGCTTTCGATCTGGGTTGGTACTTGGTAGAACGATTGACCATTGACATTCCTATGCAGCTGCATTTATGGATTTCCTGATGGTAGCGCTCTCTGCTGAGCTCCCGCTCCATTCAGGTCTGATATCATGACGGATGTGGCACACTTGGTGTTTCCGCCGGTGCCCTGTCCTCGGCGAGGAAAGGGAGTCCTTTGTCAAGGAACATCGTGGAGTGCATCTGGTGATAGTGGAAACTACGGCCATGGGAAAAATTAACTGGGAGCAGCTGACAGGATTAACTAACAAAACGATGACATAGTTACCAAACAGCTGCGTCTTTTGTCGAGCACTCTAGCTTCGAATTGGCGCATACGGGTACCACCGAGCGTAAATAATAAGTCTTCGTACAGTCTGGCTGCTTTGGCCTAGGCGCCTTGGGCCATGATCAGGTCACACAACACCGCCACCCATCTCCCCAAAATTCTAGGGTCTGTCACTCCACTCGGTATCTAACCCCAGAACAATGCACACTCTTTCGAGTTCCTTCGCCATAAACCTCAGGAGTTAATGCTGAAGATCGATCAAAATCCGTTGAACTGACGCTAAACTTGGTGGAAACCATTCTCGTCTTGTTACCTTCATGGGAAGAATGCACGGGCAGGTGGCCAAGTCATCATGGTCTTTCGATGACTGACTTCCTTGCTCAATGCGGTGAGATTTACAAGTCCATCGCAGATAGAATCGGCACAGAAATCCGGGTCGAACATAACCCAGTGCCATACACTGCTTCTAGTTTGGGGTTTTAACCAGGGAGGAGCAACTGTATGGAAGTGGTGTTCAAAACCGTCAGCATCGTACAGCAGCGTGTTGTGCCGCTGTCACGGCACCCCTCACAGTCGCGACAGTCCATTTCACAGGTATGGGAAACTTGTTCCAACCACTCCATGAGATGAACATCACAAAGCATTAGCATGCTACTGTGCTCGAGTCCACCTCACCCGGAGGCCGAAAACAGATCTCCAGGAACAGCGTTCAGCCAGCTCATATCAGCAAAGTCCACGTCGGCAAAAGAATCAAACCACTCATATGCTTGTGCCATATCCGACACTGCAGCTCGTGATGTGCCATATACGATGTCGGCCTCCGTACAATCCTGGGCTTGCGGTGGTATCTCCGGTGGCAGAGTCGTAGCCTCTCTACTTGCCCCTAGCTCCCTATCATCATTCTTGGTTGCCGAGAGTTTATCATACAAGAGCTCAAGTACAGTCACGCAATGCTTTGCAGATGTACTGTCGTGTTGGAAATCTCGCAAGATATGTATCGCCCGTCCCCACGATGCCTCTATCTGAGATTCCGGGACCTCGCCTAGCAGGACTGATGGATTTAATCGAGCAGCCAGTAGCACAGTAGCGGAAAGATAGACATCTAATTTACATCCTTCCATTAGTTATGCTCTCTTTCCTATCACGGACGAAATGCACATCTTCAGGCTAGAACCACCGCCCGAGTCCAATACAAGAGAGATTGGGAATGCAGTGCTTACGTAGAACCCCATAAAGCCAGGACGGCTTTCGTCCCCACGCTTGTCTGGATGTCAAGTTGTCATGCATCACATTGATCAATCTGATGGCTGCCTCCACGCAAAGGAAAGAACACTGTGAGGCGGTGCGGAACGCAAGCCCTCCGGTAGGGTCGTCATCCTCAAGTTTCTTGTGCTTGTTGCTGCACTGTTTCCCAGAATTTGTACACACAAAGACGAAAATTGGTCGGAAGAGATAGATGCGAACCTGTAGATATCTATGGTTTGGTAAGCGACTATTGTTAGCAAGCACTCTTACACATATGCTAAACCAAGGCCACTAGGAATCAAACCAGAAACGACGTGGATTTTTCTTGTTAACAGACCTCAGATAAAGCACCACTGCCTGCCTGCGAAACACTGCCTCGCAAAGCATCATGTGACTTTGGCCCTCGACGTTGAGCGCATCTGGATCGAGGCGCAAATAAGATGGTATCCCTGCGTACCATTTACGCAGGTAGCTTTCTAGTCTAAAAACAGACTGATCTCTAAGGAAGTACGAATCAAGTCCGTCACTATCTGTCTGGTTGCCACCAGAATACAATGAAACTAAGATTTCTTGCGCGATTTCGTAGAGCCTAGCTGAATGATTGAAGAAAGAAAGAAGGGATTTGCTTGACTGTGCTGCTTGCAGTGATTGGAGGTCATCATCGTCATCTGTTTCGATGGGAAGGGAAACCGAATCAAGCGTGGACACGGAGACCATTGCTGGGCGTCCTAGATTCATACAAACCAGTCTGCAATGTAAGAATATACCCGTTCGTTCGCAGATAAGTTGAACATCATACCTCTCGAGCATCAGCGCGCCATGGTAAACCCTCCTCACAATTTCTCTCTGTACTGGCCTTGGAAAGGTGTCCGCGCCAGTGTCTGCAGCGCGGTGAAGCCCAAGTTGATAGCAGGTTCTGACTGCCATACCTACGACACCCCAAGCTTTGTGAGTATGACCAGTGCCCATCAGAAATTGTGTCATGAGTAACATTCCCTGTACAAGTTGCAAGGTGTTGTTGCTTGGTTCGGTGGGGTTCAGTCGAAGAAATGATCGAGCTCTTTTGTAAAATACTTCTGCAGTAGCACGGGCCTTTCCCGCCCCGTGCTCATGGTGATACTGACACCCAAGGGCAAGAACAAGGTTTAAGATGCACACAGACGTTACCTCATCGGTTCTCATAACTGTACAAGTAGTGATGGGGAATTTCTGGCCGGTCCACAAAGCCTCGTAAGTTTCGTGGAAACTTTGCTTGTGTAAGAATGGGTACAGTGGGTGAACATAGTTCCAATAGTGGTCGACTAGCGAGTCTGCAAGCTGGCGAGGTGGTAGCACGTAGTCGGGAGAACCGTCAGAAAAGTGAGTGTCGATTCGATTCGATTGCGAGTTTGATGCTCTATCCTCCAGAGGGTGGCCCTCTATGACCTGCCGTATGTGCTTCATGAATGCGGTGTTGGAGGCCGGTCCAAGAAATTCATTATTGGTTTCACAAGCGTCTGCCCTTGCGATGAGGTTTTCCAAAGGGTTTGAGCTCAAGCTTGAACTATGATAAGTACTCCCGGATGAGATATGAAAGCTCTCACGGGGTGATTGACGCCCAAAGCTGACCGGTGAAGCTGGTGATGACGAGGACTGAGTTTCATTATGGTGCTGAGTCAAAGTCTGAATCCTATCCCGCACTGGCTCTGGGAACCTATTCGATCCATCATCACTTAGCAGCAACAACGGCGTGCTCGTTGTGGAAAGATGTTCCGGAGTTGTCGATGACTTACCGTCTCAAGGTGTTCCCGCTGCCGTCCTTGTCCACTTCGCGGTAGATGCAGGTTGCCGAATCCCATCCTCGTTTTGAGCATCGGCTGCAAACTGTGGCCGAGAATACATTAGTCACGCATGACCACGTCTTGTTTTCGTTGGAAAATGAATAACAGACAAAACAACATAGCGCATGTCCATTTCCATGATTGCGTCTTGGGCGATCAGACGAGAGATCCTACCTGGCCGTGCGCCATCACACTTGGTTTTTTTAAGCCGACAAGGATGGCAGGCGACAGGTGTCTTCCGAAGTGGAGGGACTACAGCAGATTTGAATTGGCGAGAACTCGTCATTCTAAGCTTTTCAAGTGGACGTCAAGGTGCTGCGGCTACACAAAGACTACGGACGCAGTTTGTAGAAGCTGGCGGGAGCAGTGGTGGTTTGTCCGCCTGGGATGATTTCTGGAAGGGAAAGCCACAGCCGCACGATTTTGTGGAAGGATTCGTGCTGGAGTCGCGGACTCCCGGGAACTGGGGTGCTGATTCCGACTTGGAAGCTACTATCTATAATTACAATACTATGTAAGACGTACAATACGCAGCTCAAGCGTAGTGTTATCAGGACCTCGGGTGGTGCCCGGCGCACTGACGTATGCCAAGAAATACTTGTCACTTGGGCAGAGGATACTAAGCTCCCTTTTGTATCCAAGCCTTTTCTTCTATGTTCGAGGTGACCTCACTATCCCTTCTACCGCAACAGGTGTAGCGATAATTATGCGACAAGATCAAGTATCGAAAGCATCATGTCACATATGCCGATGATGATGGTGTGCTATGTAACGTAGAAGAACATTTCGTTGACCTACTTTTAGGTAGCTTAGATGGCGTCGCTAGCCTCAAATGGTCCAGGTAAGACGGTGGGGTCTAGCAGCGCTCCATGTTTGGTGAGACAGCTCTGTACATCAATGAAGCCCCAATCCCCCATCCTCTTGACAGCTGCTAACGTTCCGGCAGCAACTCCGGCAGCTTGGTCCGTTGCTAGAGCCGTGCCCATCACTCGAACCGCACTTCCTGCGTATTGATCGCCATCAGCGCATCTCCCGGCAGCAAACAGGTTCCCTCTGTCGATACTTTGCAAGGATCTTAAAGGAATTTGGAATGGCAGCATTGGGGGAGTTTTGAACGTGCTCTCCCAATTTGAGTTGTTCTCGTCATGGAACTCAAACCCCCAGGCACCAAGTGCAATGTTATCTTCAAATTCTCTGCCAGCCAGTATGTCTTTCCCGGTCAACTGATAGACCCCATTAATGTGCCTGGACTCGCGTGTTCCAAAGTTGGGACCAGTAGACACCAAGTACATATTCTCGTGGCCAGGCAAGGCCTGGAGGATTTTCAGATATTGCTGAGCTTGCTTTCTTCCTGAAATCTCTGCTGCCGTTATCCTGCTTGATATACTGGTATCGTACGATGCCGAGGCCAGGAAAGCAACAACGTCGCCTTATAGTGGAAGTCGAATCAGTACCCATTGACTCTTCCGGATGATCTTTCGAAGTTCTGGGTTCTTCAATTTTGCGGCAACGATAGCGTCCTCCCATATCTTTGCGGTCGAGTTTGCCCCCTGCGCAAGTCCTCCAAATCGTGTCGTTAAGGACCCAAGATTTAGCGTCCCATGATTCCCATAACGAGTTGAAGCTCCACTGTGGAACGCCAGAGCGCAGTCCCCAGAACAATTCACAAAAGGCTTTCCATGCAGGCGACGTCTTTCTCTGCCCTCCTGTATCACAACATCAGACACGTGGCCATCCAAACCCTAGTTTGCATCGACCACTGATTTGTGGAGCAAAATCTCGATCCCGTCTCGACCATGAGATCGTCAAGCACTATCTTCAAGGCCTCAGGTTCGATATCCTATTCAAGGTCAGTTCTCAGTCTTGAATGATTGCAGGCGTTGTGATGCCATTACCTGGAAAACTCCCCGGTGTCGGACTAGGCGCTCGGAGATCCCTTTAATTTGCGACAACCTATCCTTCAGTATATCCCAACCCCCTCCAACAGCCTGGCGAGGATTCTCATCGACTGTGAACAAGCCGCAATATGAGGCGACCTCACGATGAGTGGCAGCACCTCCCAGGGATCCCTCAGACTCAATCAAGACTAGACGGGCGTTCGATGCTGCTTGTCTTGCTCCTATCGCTGCTGCGATTCCCGCCGCTCCACCTCCAACGATAATCACATCGTAGTTGTCTCGATTATTGACATTTTCTGTTGCAATGGGCATTTTACAATGGCTGTGAAGAAAAATCTTGGAGTTATTGTTGCCTCAGAGAGGTATAATGTTCTTCGAGTGCTCCAGACTAGAAAGCGGAGCGTTCTGTTGGTATTTAGTCGGCCACGCTATCTCTCCTAAATGAGCCAGCACCAAATCTGTGGCAACGGCTCTTCAAAGCCCCTTCGACATCCGGGTCGTTGTGCACAAGCAAATCCGCCTGAATCAATCTTTAGCTGGGATATTTTCACCCGTAACCCGCAACGGGTCCCTCTATGTTGATTGGTTGGGATCACCAAAAGTCGGGACCAGGATGATCAGCTCCCATTCGCCACAGCCAACCTGCAACCCATGGAGTGGACGCACTTCCATTTGTCACGTCCTACCCTGCGACGATGGCCCTACGAATTCTCCTGGGTTGCTTCGAAAGCGGTATCTAACCAGGCATCATGTACTTGTATGCGGAGTGTTACCGACGACACAAGCTGGTCAGTCGGTGGGGAATCAAGGCGTCCATGGCATCGATGGCAGGTTGCTTCGGTGGTTTACTAGCAAGCGAACTGTCTCAAATTCCCGAAGCAGGCATCCTCAGTAGCCGGAGGTGGATCTTTTTCATTCAAGGCCTGATTACGGTTTTCTTTGCAGCTCTTGTGTTTTTGTATCTTTCACGCTCTGTCAGTGAGGCAAGACTCCTACCAGAGTCCGATAGGCGTTACGCGCTGGAAAGAATAACTTCGGAAACTATGACGAAGGGAGACCCGCAAGATCTTTTAACATTTAAGAGAGCCGTTTTCAACCTGACCACATAACTGCTGGCATTTGCGACGACTTGTTCACTGATGACAATGTCTGCTCTTTCTTTCTTTATGGTACATGCAATTTTGTCTTTCTCGTGAGAAAGTTATGCTAACGCTTGATAGCTGACCCTCCTTCGATCCATGGGCTTTTCGGGTACCAACTTACAACTCTTGACTGTTCCACCATATACAGTGTCGGCTCTTTGCTGCCTGGGTGTTTCGTTCCTGTCAGATCGTATTAGGTCCCGTGGTTTGATGTTCAGCTTCCTGACACCGTTTGTTGCTATCGTATTTGCAATTCTGGGTGCTATGAAGAACACAGAGGTCCGCTATCCTGCAGTTTTCCTCGCAACATCCGGCGCTTTCACAGCGAGTCCGATTCTGTTAGCGTGGTTCGCCGACAATGCTTCAGGACCGGCCGTTCGATCGGTCTGCCGCTTATGTGGTCGGTCGGCACAGGTAATGTCGGTGCCCTGATTGCAACTTGGACATATTTGGAGTAGGGTGCTCCTTTGTACGTACGTGGACACTTTGTCAACCTAGGGGGAGGTATTCTTATGGGTGTTCTGGTTGCAATTGCTACGATTGGATTGTGGCGAGAAAATGTGAAGCGAGCCAAAGGGAGACGAGACTATCGACTGCAACTAGCCCCTGAGCAAATCGACCGGCTGGGGCACCTGCATCCAGCGTATAAATACACAACCTAGTTATTGAGGCAAAATGGATGGTATTATGCTGGATACATGCTAAGTATACAAACTTCGATACTGATTGTAGCCCTTGAAGTTGCGGACGTATCGCCTGCCGAGAATGAAAGAGAGCTTCATTGAAAATTCCAGAGTCTGCACAACATTTGAGTAGAGTCCTCTGGCGGCTTGTCTTGCGTTGATATGGTGCATTGCATGAGTCGACGTCAATAGTCCGAGTTTTACAAATGTCACTGTGTTAATTGATTTTGAGTCTCACTCGTGTTAACAGACTTGATGTCACTTTCTTGATCGCGGCCATTCGCCCAGGCCAGGCCAACCAAACGGTTCCGACTCGGCTGCATTGTCGATAGCTTCAAATGTAGCGGCTTCAACCCTAGGCTCCAGTGCAGCAGCTTTCTGCAGTCTAGTCCTATTCTGCGTCTTGGATGAAGGTCCCTCAGGCTCTGGAAAAGTTCCCAAACCTGGCCATCCCCAGGTCGCTGGTTTTCGGTGTGACTCAGGGCCCATGTTGTTTTCATTGGCTTGAAATAATTTGCAAGCTTCGAGAGCAGGACTGATTGACCATTGGAGGTCGTCGGATCTCTCACTTGGACGCCTCAGCTTGGGATTTGATGGTTTCGTCGTGTTATGTCCACTATCTGAGTCTGAATACTCGGTCATGTTGAAGTGCTCGTGGTCATGAATGGCGGGCTCTGACGGGTTAAAGAGCTTCTCTTGCTCATGAGCAAGACCTTTTCTTATTGATCCTATAACATGTCTCATTCTTGAGCTCCTTTCCCTGGTATGGTTTCCCCAGAAGGGGAACATTGAGGGTTCGGAGGGCTTATCAACTTCTGGATAGTCGGTCAGCGTATGGGATTGTCCTCTGCCCATATTGTGATTGATTATGTCGCTGAAGTATTAAGATACTCTGAGAGAGATGTTGCGTTTCTTTGATGGCTTTGAAGCAGATCCGAAGGGTGTAACCCGGGGATCTGTCTAATTCTTTAATAAAATCCTGCAACAGCAAGGTGGAGTGAGGGTCCACGCGCCATAACTATGGTCAGTGCGGCTCCCTACGTGCCCCTTAGTATACGACTACTGGAAGCAGTCAGAACGTTCTCTTTCGGAGGGGGAACATTAGCCTACCAGAGGGCGAGATGGTGTCATGTGATAGGTCTGCACCTCAGGCCACTTACTTGGACGGCGGTCGGCGGCCGCAGCCGAAATCGCGCATTATCAGAACCCCACAACCTTTGAACAAGGATCCATCCCTCCCAGCACAATAACTCAGGACAACTATTACCCATCCTAATCCTAATGCGTTGGTGCAACTTCAGAACAGACAACTTGAAGACTAAAGCTCGTACACACTAACTGAACCCCTTGAGATGGACGGTAGACAAGACTAAATATAGTAAGACTGCGTTGCAAAGTATTTTTCTGGAGTCTCATCCCGCAGCCACTTCACCTTCTAACGATGACGTATCGAGGGTGATTATGTTCCAACAATAATCTTACTACAGGCTTCCCAGAATATTTACTCTGGTTATCTTCTTACGGCACCTTCAGCTCCTATTCTCGGGCTGCGTGTAAGATAGCGGATGATTGGTAGGATTTAACTTCGTGCGAGGCGCGCTTGTACGATTCTTTTTCTTCTCGTGATAGATCCACGACAAGTTTCTGTCCGCTTAACTCCAGACATACTAGAGCCTTCTGAATGTAACCCAGGCCTTTCCCGACGATTGGCGGTCTGGGTAAGCATTTTAGATGTCCGCTTTCAAAAGCTGGGGTGACAAAATTTGTCCATGTGGATTCGGCGACATCATGAACGCCGAATACCATGCCAGTCTTGAGATTGAGTCGTATGTCACTCGGTGGAGGATGTGTACATATGAGATGGCCACCCTCGGATCTTGACCAAATCTCAAGGTCATGGGCGTACGTGTCTGGAAGTGATATGGCGTCGGATATTCCCACAAAGGTGCCCTGCTACAGTTGGGTCCTTGTAATAATATTGCCGCTGCACCACTTTCCGTCGAAAGTGTTTGATTGTGTATACTCATAATCACAATCACTCTCAACCCGATCGCGATTGAGATCTGAGTAGCAGCCACACCAACGAATGATGAGCCACCATAAATGACAATACTCTTTCCAAGGCTCTTTGGGTTCAAGCTTGTCAGAGGAAGGCCGAGGGCCTGGGTCTGGAGCTCCGGGATAATATCTGGCATTGTATCTTCCGGCTTTCCAAGCAAAGTCCAACTACTGCTGTCTCCAGCGCGAGTGGAAGGACACCCCCTTCAGTGAAGGGGATGAAAGTAGGAAATTGAGCAGCCTTAACAGCTGGTACCGTTGAGTATAGTGCAAATGCAGAATCACGTGGCTCTCCTGCGAGGTTTATTGTATGGCTGAACAAGCCTAGAAGGCGTTCAAGAGAAACTAGCCCTTTTTCACTTACCTGAAATGAGTTACATCCCGCCCTACCTCATAGACCTCACCCGCTACATCGCAACCTAGGATAGCAGGCCATTGTTTCACAAAGACTCCCCCATCTTGCATACGCCAATCAAGAGGATTGATGGCAACGGCATGATTTTTGATGACAATGTCGGCGGGACCTGGGGCTGGCATCGGGGCATCACCAACTCGGAGAGACACCCCTTGGCCTCTAGCCACGCAGCTTGGTTTTCTGCCATGACTGTGCTGCTCGGAGGAATGTGGGACGACAAGTGGATGCGGGGAACTAGGGAAGACAAGTAGATGCGCTTGGCCTGGTGGAAGTTGATCTTAGGCTGCAGGGAAGCCGGTCACTTACGTACTTATATCTACAAGACAACAGTTGATTGGCAATGACGACTTAGATACTGCCAGCGGGAGAAAGACAAGAAGTGAGTTATTCAGCGATGTCGTAGCTGAGCATGAACTATCGCGGAATACAGAGCGCAAACTCGTTTGTCAGCTATCCTAATCGACGGTGAACTAAACATTTCCGCAGACTTTAGCACTTATAGTAGGGGAAGCCCCAATCTAGGGAAAGCTTTTGTGCATCACTGTTGGATGAATTTAGAAGCCTCGGACGACTGCCTGATTAAGGGGAAGCTCAAGGGCGAATCTACACAGATTGAGGCTCAGAGGACACATTGAAGCATTATTCCAAATTAGGTAGCACGAGAGCCATGGTCACAGGCAGTAGATTACATGATCAAGAGAGCTCGGGTTACTTATCCCTCAAGTTTGGTTAATTTAAAGTTGCACTCAGTCTCGTATACGGCATTTTCATCAGCTACAAGAGGCAAGAAATCCACAATCAAGCTATCCCTAACTGCAAATCCTGCATCATCATGTACGTGCTTGTCCTGCCTATCAAAGAGCTCCGTAACCACAGGTCTATAATCAGGCACGCTGACAATAAAGTGAATATGCGCGGGTATCATTAGATGGCGGCCAAGGAGTTTTAGAAGTTCACCAGCTGGTCCGCCGTCTGGAATGGCATATGTAGTTGGCCGGAGACAGTAGAAGTAGTACCTTCCGTCCTTGCTCGTGTTAAATTGCCCACGTAGGTTCATATCCTTCTGGTTAGGATCCTGCTGCTCATATTTACCGTTCGGTGCAGCCTCCCATACATCAAGTTCGGCGTTGTCGATAGGCTCTCCTGTTCTGGAGTCGGTCACAATTCCTTGCAAGAGTGCGCGTTCGTCGCCTTATATGACGTGGGCAATTCTCTCGCCCATTTAACGATGCGGAGCATTTGAACGCCAGAAAGGTCCCAAAGACATGGGCGCCGTAGAGTTGTCGTTTGCGAGAACATCAATCTATGATTCCGAGCCAAGAGCGTCCGTGAACAGGAGCATTTCGTCTCGTTGACTATTTGTCATCTGGCCAGCTCGAGACATCTATCCACTATAAATTCTTGGATTTAATGCGCTAGTTGAATCGACATAACTCACTATTTGAAGGGCCATGTGAAACTCAGATCACGTGATGTTGCTCACACACATAAATCATGCAGATGCTGAACGAGATTCCCAAAAACTTCCTTTAGTCGAGGGCTTGCGTCTGGACCAGTCGCCCTAATAACAGATGCGGTTATGGTCAAATCATACCCTGAATCAACGAATGTCGCATATTCAGACAAGGCAATGGAGAAATGAGATCATGGAAGTGCTATCAATTTATCAACGGGTATTGAATATTGATGGAAGGTAACTCAAATCTAGGACTAGAGGAGAGAGATGAGCTTAAATGTAATAACATGTCTTGCAAGGCCCAGCTGGGGTTTGCTTTTGTTCTTACTAGATGAGCGGATCCTCGGCAAGCTCTGGGTCGAATTAGAACCCTATCATCTCCTTGTCATAGTAGATTAATCAAGTTCACCTTTTCTTCCGCAGCCTATTGACCGACTCAAACGTAAGGCTAATCATTTTGCGCAACTGTACGGGTTTGCCATCCTGGCCAAAAGACCCATTTTCTTTTCTGGAAGATCTTTTTTGGAGGATCAATATTTAAATAGTTTCAACATAATCCGAGATCCAGACCGACCTAGATGGGACATAAGCTGGAGCCTCCAGGCGAAACCTAGAAATGTAGGAGGGCTTCAACTCTCAGAGACAGGACCTTATCCTGTTACATTCGTAATTGTTAAGCCTCGAGGAAGCGAGTATTATCCTTAGTAGGCTACCGGAGTTCCCAAAAGGTGGAGGAGCCTGACAGTGAGGGTTCGGATATCTTTGCAATTGAGCAAGATGTATACCCGGTAGCGAGGATCTGAAACCAGTTGTAGGTAGTTATGAGCTTCTGAGTCATGGCTCTCAAGCCTGTTGGATCAAAAGCAGGTAATAAAGAGGTTTTGTGCGAAATGGCAGATACATAAACTCCTAGACATCCAATACGACCTCGATGTCTTAAGAAAGTACATATAATATAAGTAAGATATCAACTGGCCGGCCTCTTACTTCCTCTCAGGCTCTTGCCCCCAGAAGACTGTTTTTCCACACGTCAAGGTTGTCTTATTATGCCCATTTCCAACTTTATACCTCGAAGATATTACATCAACCCCATTCTCCAAGGCTTGTAAGTATACCCTGGGGGGAGATTGGTGTTGTGGAACGACGATCCCGAAGCTATATGGTTCAAGCATGATCACCAGTTGTCATAGACGTATTGCTCGGGATCGTGGTCACTAAGCCAACGGCCAATTGACCGAGCGGTAGCAAAGGATTTTTCCGCGCCTCCTCAATGTCATTTTCCCACTTCTCTCTATTCTTAAATCCATTCTTCTGGGCACAAGAGGTCTGTTCAAACCTGTTGACTTAATGTCAGTTATCTAATATGAAAAGAAACTTGGCGGTAATGTTAGTGGTGGCAAGGGGACGGGAAGAGTATTTAGCTGTTGGATCTGATCTCACCGTAGCTTAGTGTGCATTCGCGTAGCAAGAGTTATATTGTGCTTGTCAAAGAGCCTCAGGCATGCGGCTAAGGATTGGCCGTCTTCCATGGCCTGAGGAGCACCATTGGAGGAGTTTGGTATGATCGAGTGGGCTGCATCTCCGATCTTCACCACTCGACCCAGCCGTGAAGTCCAAACAGGATTGGGATCCCTCCAAGTCACCTTGTAGTCGACAACGGTGTTTGGTGGAGTCTGCGATATCACGGCTAATGCTTTGTTATCCCATTCAAGACCTGTGTCCTCAAGAGATTTCAAAGCATCTGAGGCATTAAGCCGGGTAGACCAAGTTTCTTCAGCCTGCTCTGGATCCTACAAGAAGGCCTCGTCAGCCAATTGAAATATCGGGATTGAACAGACCACATGTTTAAAAATCCAAGTGGTCAGCTCGCGAGATATCAGCACAATTGCCTGACCTTCAGGGCTAATGAAGACCTCACAGTAGTCACGATCGCTGTCTTGGAAAGAATATGCTTTAGCAAGAAAAGAAATTTGCTGAAGGATGTTGGTGGGATGCGTGACTCTGTAGATTGACCAGTCACTACTGATGGCCTCAATGTGCTTTCCCGTCATTATCTTCTCGGCTTTTGATCTTATGCCATCAGCAGCAATAACGATATCTACTTCGAAACGATATCCCTTGTCGGTGATAGCTGTTCCTCCTCCTGTTTCGTCTGATTCTTCGTAATTGACTACACGCATGCCGAATTTGATAGGGATATCCGGAGACACCGCATATTCGTAAAGTGCAGCGACTAGCTTTGGACGACTCACTGGAACAGGTCTATAGTAGGATGGCTCTGAAAGCTCGAAACCGCCTCCCACAGATGCACCATCGTGAGTATACATGTTCATCGTTAGTCGAGAGATGATACTTCCATAAATCCATGGCATGCCAGGCCATTTTTGGAACTGTTTCGTTACCAAAGGGCGATACCGACGAAATCGCCTATGGGTCATGTGATTAGTCCCCTCAAAGTATTGACAGAGTTTCAGAAACGACTAACTATCAAGTTCAAGCTCGTGCTTGCTCTCAGGCACCTGGGGTGTGTAGCCTTGTCGATAGCACTCAATTGCAGCATAGAGACCTGCCAAGCATGCCCCGACAATGACCACCTTTATGTTAGTTGGGGTTTCACGTTGCATATCTGGTCTCTCACTTAAGGTAGCAAAAGGATCGAAAAAGTTTCTGAGATAAGCTTTCCGATTGAGCCTGGGCATCACGATGAATTATTTATTTACTGACACGAGGAAGTCGTACTTTGCACTTACGTTACCGAGAGTTGGGGGGCATCCTTACTTAAGCGGCTTGTTGCCAGCAGCTTGCGCGTGAATGACAAGAGTGAGTGGCGGTTTTCGATGTAGTCAGTGGGTAATAATCCGCATTGCTCGAACATGGGGCAATTACCGATGTGCTCTCGTAATCAAGACGTTTTTGGCGCCAAGCCTTTCCGTCGGACCTCTTGGTGTTCCTTTGCTCCAAGACCTTCAGGATTACTAAGTGGAGTCCAAAGGACTATTCCGTGGTTTTTGTGGACTTACACTTGTCATTGTGAGATGCACTGAGTCAGAGATCACCGTGCCCCGGCTCAGTGAAATCAGTGAGCAGAGCCCAGCAATGCGAGATGGGTCAACACCATATCGTGTCGGCGAATCGGGACCTTCGGACGCGCACTGGGGCTCATTTGATATGTCTGCTATGCTCTAGTTCTTTCCTCCGAAGGTCACACTTAAAAGGACATCTATCTATTCGTGAGTTTATACTTACGAGATGTTGCACTTCAACCCTTGAACTGAACCTGCTTCCATTGAAGATGAAAAGAAGAAATACCGGTGTTCTTGTGGGAGCGAATACTCTGGAAGGTTCGTCGCGTCTGCACAAAGTCCTCAACAAGCGTTAATCTTAGTACACTTAGTGACGTACTCTCACGACATGTCCGAAATTGCGAGGAAGCCTATGCAACTCTCAATCAGACACGTCTCGTTACCGAAAAGGAGTCACGGTCGAAAAAGGCATGCAATGGATGTGTGAGGTCCAAGATAAATGTAATTCGGCACAGCCTTGCCAAAGCTGTACGCGAGAGTCGTTGAGGTGCGAGTACACAAAAGAATGTTACCTGGGTCCTTATGAGGTCTTTCAAGTTGTGGAAAGGACTACTTCTCCACATCCAGCAAGTGATCCGGCCTCAACGGGACAGCACCTTCACCAAGTCTCAGACTCGATAGCCGATATTACACACGCAATGAGCGCAGTCAATTAAATATTGCCTCTCCATCGGCCAATCAACACCAACATCGATGCCTCCGCAGGTTCAATCAGTATACTTGAGACTACAAGCGTGTTGGGTTCTTTCTATATTCCAGTCTGTAATTTAGCGAGTATGGAAGTCTCTTTGGAAGAGGTCATATGGGGCTCCCTCCGGGACTGGGGCGATGCATTTGACAGCTCCTCCACTGTGCCCGGTCTGATTGATAGTGAGGAGGCAATTTCAGATCCCCCCGGTAGTGCTTGGCATCGAACTGAAGGCTTTCACTTGCAGCAAGTCGATGTGGTCGAAGCAAAGTGCATGGAACTGCAGAGTTATCTGAGAGCTTCTTCTGCAAATCTCCCTGAAGGATTCATTGAGCGTCATATTACACGCCATAACCTTGTTGAGTTTATAGAGCTCTACGGAAAGCATTACCACCCTATTATGCCTATCCTCCATCTGTCGACGTTTTATCTCACTACCACCCAGCCGGTCCTTCTTGTGGCCATATTACTAGTGGGGGCCTGTCACCCCGAGGACTTGATCCCAGAGGCCGCCATTGTACAGTACGCGATTCACGTTTTACTTCTCATTAAAGATCTACCCTTAAGTTGAAGCCTATGCACTATGAGTCGAATCAAGCCGTGCTGATGATGCCTCACAGCATGAACGCAATTTACAGATTCCCCCAATGCCCGTAATCCAGGCAAATTCCATATTGTGTCACCTTCTGATTTGTACTAAAAATCAAAGTGCCTACGATTTTGCGTCGAAGTATCGCGCCCGGTCTTTCTCGGTCAGGATTCTGTAAACGAGTTCCCCTGAATGAGCACTAATCTCGGCATTCTAGATGGGGAGAGATCAGAATTATTTTCTCCAGTAAACTAAGTTGAGTATATTTATGTCACAGAGGATACGTTCGATTGGCATCTCTCGATCGACATAGAGATGCCTCGAAGGTAAGGCCACACTATTCTAAAAAGTACCCCTCATTAGTATTGAATACTATTTTAGGCTTGCCTACCATATCTTTGTTACTGATATTGGGTGCCGGATATTTATGCGGAGCTACTACCACTTTTTCCCTTTTACATTCACTGTCGACACTCCGTGTTACCAGAATTGCTGGAACGCTTCGACTGCGAAGGACTGTTTGATCAAACTACAAAAGTTTCCACCACAAGTCTCAGTCGCGACGGCGCTGAAAAGTCTCCAATCGGCCAATTCGCTGAGTAGCTGCTTATTCGATTCTTCTGACTTTGGCATGCGATAGTTATGGGTAGGAATGCCTCTAGCGTTTTCTACCCTGCTAACATCTACTAACAAAACCCGATCAGGCCTCCATGGTGAGCTTATTGGTTTCATCGAAGCAAGCCTTGACCACGATAATGCAATCGATAATGCAAATCTACAAAATCCTGAAATTCTTTCCTTTTTGGTGAGGACAGGTCTACGGCTGGGAGGATTCGAAGTCAGGCATACATAATTACTTGGCTGTCGCGAATTAGGCAGCGGGAGGGCACAAAGCTATTATCTACATAGAGTTTCTTGTCACAAGTAATCAGTGTAGAGTAACGTAAATTAATCCAATTACATAATATTTCAAGCTATTAATCATTAGTCTTTGTTAATAAAATGTTTAGATGACTTTCTCCTTACTGCTCCGTAACCCAAAGCGGCATACTAGAAGTGCCTTTGTTTAGCTAAGCTTTTATGGAAATGAAGAGCACGTACCTCGCTTAAGAGTTTAGGTGGTATACCACCAATCCCCAGCTCTCTGCCTATGACAGTGGCTTCTCGCTTAAAAAGGTCCCTATGTAGCTTTGCAAGGCATACAAGGGGGCTCCCTGAACGGGCTGATACCCCCCCCCCCCCCCCCTTGTTAAGCGAGATATCTAAGTTCTCTTCTTGCTAATCCTACGCCTCTCTCTCTATACTACGCCTATCTCTCCTTTCTACTTTTTATCTATTGTACTACAATAATGCCTAGTAAACACAAAAATCGAAAGTCCTATGCAGATCTAGATAGACCACAAGGCTAACGTCTAACCGATAAAGAATATTACTAGATTGAAGCATTATATAGCAGTAGAAACCCTAAAAGATAGACTGGCCTATACAGCGTGGCTGGTTTGTATGGCGCGGTGTAGCTTACGCTTGGACGAGCAGCTCATCGTATATTCACTTTACCTTCGTCCTTTTTAAAGGGAATATAATCGTCAATGCAAACGCCAATAATCTTGTACTGCCCGATAGGGTTGTTTCTACAAATCAGTAAATTTCCAGAACCCCCCGTGCCCACGTACCCGTAGTTTCTCATCCCGTCCGTGATGCCGTGGCTGAACTCCTCCCGCACCAGGGCTCTGCCGCTGGGCCAGGGGCGCGTGGGATGGACGGCCTTGTCCTGCTTAACGCGCCTACAGCTTCTTGCATAAGACTTGTGGGCGTTGACATCTCCTCCGAACGCGACCAGCTTGAAGGTCCGGCCGATGTCTCCGACCTGCACCAGACCCAGTCCATCCTTCAGAATGATCCGGTCGTCGTCGTCGAGCTCCCCGGAGACCTTGCCGAGGAAACTCCCAAACACCGCCGTTATGGCTTCGAACATCAGGGAAAAGGGGGCCACGATCGTGCACCCGCAATTCACGCGGACTTCACAGGAAATGTTCGCCGTGCTTTCATTGTGGAGCCGCGTCTCGCAGCCTTTGATGTCCACCATTCGGTAGTTCATGGACCAGTTGTGCGTCCTGATGTACCGGAAATTCGGGTTCTCCCAGTCGGTTCCGCTCACGCATCGGTCTTCCCACCCGGTGGGCTTCGCGCTGGGGTCGTTTGTTTTCCAGTCTGGTTGAAGTTTGCTGAGCAGCCGCCTCCTATATTCGATGATGTCGCCACCGGGGTCCATGACGCTCCCTAGGATCGTCGCGACTTGCACCAACACCCTGCCGCTCTCGTCCTTGACCACGTCCCGAGGTTGGTCGTAGGTAGGTATCAGCTCGCTGCTGAAGTGGCCGGTTTTAACCTTCTTCCCACAGTTACAGCCCTGGAAGGTGAACTGGAATCCTCGATTGTCCTGGTTGAGCCGGATACTCATGTACTGGCGGGGGACGCCGCTGACGCCGGTCATCGCTCTGGCCTTGGCTTGCCCCTTTTGCCCCAGGAATCCCATGTTGACCACCCCGGCGAAGCAGTCGGTGGTCATGACCACGCTGGGATTCTCTACCACGGGGATCCAGTCCCAATTCCCTCTTTCCCCGCTGCTTATCGCAAGCTTGGTCCACGCGCGGCCCGTCCTGGTGGATAGCCGCTTGAAAAAATTGAACGAAATCCTTTCTATATCGTTCCCGGACATCTCCTGCTTAATCTCTTCCGGAGTGAATAGCCCGCTGAAGATGCCCAGGAGCCCTTTAAAGATGTCCTCCCTCTTGAGACACTTCCGCGGCGTTATGGAGACGGCCGAGAAGATGTTGCTCACCCCCTTGTGGTTCCCATGCCACCAGGAAGGACCTCCGTTGATGATATCTGTCCTTGCGGAGCTAATGCCCTTGACCTGCGTCTGTAGGGCATCGAGAGAATGACAGTCCTCCTCGATGAACCTTAAAATTGTATTGACCGACGCGGTCTTCAGGGCTCTTGACTCCCTGATCCAGTTCAGCAGTTTGACCGCCTTGTCCTGGGAGTCAATGGCCAAGTCCATCCAGGTACTCAGCTTTCCTATTTCCGAGATTTTCTCCTGGTTGATGCCCCACATGGTGATATTTTTTCCCAGTATCATCTCCTGGAATGTCCACACTCTGAAAAAGTATGGATTGTCGAACATCGACTTGACGTGGCTGACGCAGGTCGCATAGCAGTTCAGCACGCCCATGTCTATGGCCGCGGCCCTCACCGTCGACTCAACCACGGGGAAAGCCCACTTCTCGTCGTTCTCCCACTGGGCCAGGCGCCTGGTCGAGTTCGTAGTCAGCCCAGGGGCCTCCGAGGCGAGCGCCGCACCACCCATATGTGCAAGGATGTGGTCGACGAAGTGTAGGTTGTTGACGATCACTTGCGGATCCCACACCTTGGTCATGCCCAACAGGATGTGGCAAGTGTCGGCGTTGCTGTAGTATTCGTACATCTTGGAGATCTCAGCCGACCGCTCGTTCTCGTCCGCCTGGTTGATGCACAAGCTGTCCACCCAAATGTACTGCACGCCCCCGGCAATCATCAGCCTCTGGATGTCTTTGATCCTTTCCCAGGGAGTTTTCACGTCCCAGCTTACGCCTTCTATCCCGCAGTTGTACGGCTGTGTTTCCCCACCCCAGGTGTAGGAGATTATGTGGAACTCACTCACACCGTGAGAGCGGGGATCGAAGACGTAGAAGTTTCTATCGTTGTGGCCGAGCAGCCTTCGAGGGAGCGCGGACATCGTGACAAAGCCCTAATAGGAAGAATTCACACCTGTCGAAATGAAAAACCAAAGGTCTGAATCTCGGTGCCAGACAGAACACTGTTGTATAAGGATCTCGACCAGAAGCAGATTGATGGGCTAACGCATAAGGTATTAGGCAACTAAAGATAGATGCGCTTGGGAAGCTAGATGCACTGAAGAAGATAGCTGCTGTGCGCATATACACACATATGGGTCCTAACTGCGCCTGGTCATGAGGCTAACAGATCGAACTGTCCCCTCCAAAGGGGTCCATTGGGGATATAAAAGAATTTGTGTCCAAGGGGGAGATGGTGTCTACACCTGGCTCCCTGTCTCTGCATGGGCTATGTGGCTGGCTAGCAAAGCCCAACCCCTAAACTACAGAATTTCCTCTGCCACAAGTGACAATCAACTAATTCCAATCCTCAATGCAATCCTCCGTGTAAATGTCTCGCTAACAGGGCCATTGCAATAAGCCAAGTACGATGTTAAGCCACATGTATGAGGTTTTGAGCCAATCAGCCTCGCCAAGGGATGTGCTGAAGCGAGTGGTGGGTGGGAAGCGCCTGCATCTCTCGTTTCTGAGTGGATCCCCTTTTTTACATGGGGACCACCTTTTAGCGCCAGTGACTCCCGTCGGCCCCTAAATTTACCGGGCGAATTATGCCTCTTCGTTTCAGGAATCGTAGCCTTACGGGGCTGCTCCATCTTCTGAATAACCAACCCCCTTTCCAATTCGCTCAGCACTAAGTTATCCGTCTTCCATACCTCCATGGGGAGTAAGTACTTAGTTCAATCAGGGACCTACGACATCCGGGAAATCTTGTACTAGAGCTTTGTAGTTTTCAGGCTATACGAAGAGCTAAATGGAGAGAGTGTTCGGGTACGTCGCTGATCCTCTTTAGCTGGACGATATCATTTCCAAGTCAGGTTCTGTAACCTTGGGACGTTCATCCTTCTCGCAGAAACATTGACTTTTGAAGGTTTGCATTAAGAAATGGTCAAAAGCCAGGTTTTTCGCTACGACCTCAGGTGGCTTGAAGTCCCGAGTATTCCCAGACTCTTTGATCACTTCCCCCACCAACAACACACTTACGCACATGTACACACGGACCGTAGTCCTCGTTACTCCTCTTATTTGCTTCTTTGAAAAAGTGCCTCGGTAGCATGTGGTCGCTGCTCTACTTGACACCTTTGTGGCTAACACGCCCTTGCGCCATGGAACACCAAAACTGTCTCCTCGAAGAAGACCAGCGCCGCTGTCTAATAAACGTTCTGCACTCTTACTTGACCCCGGTGAGACTGCTTGTTGCTGAGCGGCCCAACTACCAGGAACGTGTCCTAGCTGAGACATGGGTTAGCCATGTACCTCGACCGGTACGAATTGAAGGATACCACAGTACGGAGGCCGGTGGGAGGAGGACACTCCGAGCTCACGTCACACGGGGATATTGCTACCCTAGACGAGCTATTGGTGCTGGCCGTATGCGGGCGGTGGAGGGTGTTGGTATTCGCTCCAGCCCCGAGCGTTGGCCCTTGTGTTTCCTCCGTTCCATGTACCGTCGGCGGGGTTGGGCCGGAAGTTGTTGTTGGGATGCTGGTTGCTTGTCGAGTTGGGATTTGACCATAGGCCATCGTGCTTGCGGCCACCGATATCGCTGAGTAAGCTTAACATAACGATAGTGGTCCAGAAATAGAGAATCGGGGAGACAATGATGATATAGGGGGGAAAGTTGCGGTCGGGGAGGAAGTAGTATGTAGTGATGTACAAGTCGTAGATTGTACGAACATTATTGAGAATTGTAACGGCGAGGAGGCGGCGCGTAAGCTGAATGTAATTAGCAAGGGTACAATATAGGAGTTGGAGAAGGTTACCTTTATGTATTGCTTGAAGTTATGATACAACCGAAATACCACCAAAGATAATCCGAGTCCAATAATAAAATGAATGATAGACCATGACGCATAGAGTTTAGTAATAGTTCTCGCGGAAATCCTCGTTCCCTTATAGGTATCTGATTCCATCACCTCGCTATAGTAAGTCTGATGAACACTAAATGTGGCAATACAAAGCATCAGCAAAGGTACGGCGGCCGCGAGAGCACTAAGCCGAAGTATCGGTTGGGAGCCAGATGACCCTATAATGGCCCGGAAGAAGCTGAGGTTTAGTTCAACTATGCAGAATATAATCTGAACATCGCCGAGCGAAGACATGAAGAAGCAAGTGGGGACCGTAAAGATCCTGATGGTGGCAAGTATCGTTGAATAGTTCCGATCTGAGTTTACTAGGAGACCGAGAACACAGACGGTGGTCGAAGCAAGCACAGACCTAAGAGAAATATTAGATTAGACGTAAGAGATACATATAACAAAGGACGATTCATCATACACAAAATAACATGGTACGGCGAGCTTAAGGTAAAGGAAGGGTGTTCGTAGGGGATCATTCTGCCTCCTAATCTTTCTAAAGTAGAAGATTCCCAAGAAGAAGAGAGCAATCATCGAGATGCCATATTCACCAGCGGCGACGCCTAAGTACGTCGCATTCCACATGGTCTTGAGGAACAGTGTAATTCAGCACTCTGATGAGTAGGTTAATATTGCACTGGTTGATCGAGAGGGGATTCTCATTACATACCACCCTTCGGTGAGCCTGAGATGAGAAGAATGAAAGATCCGGCAGAGAAACTCAGTTGAGGTAGAGGCAAATATGTTAATTCTAGAAGATCATTGGAGTGGTTAATCGAACAACAAGTTGACAATACGGATATTCTTTCTCTATTTTATTTCCAAGCTGGGAACGAGGATTCGAAGCCGCTAGACAAATCTGCCTTGTGGCGTCTTTGCCTGGCTCTAGTCGGATTATGGACGACCCTAAGATTTGATTAATAGGGAGACAACTACTGACTTGTCTATCACCCCTAAGCAATACTTAGCAGGACCATCAACGGGGTCATTAGGAGTGCAATTTTAGTACCTAATATCCCATGGCAAATTCAATGAAAGAGATCGGTTTGCTAGTAATAATATATGGGTTTAAATAACCCACATTATATAACAAAACCAGAGCTTTCCACGCATGCACTTCACGTACTAGTTAGTTATAGAGTGTCATATTTGCAGCCAGGTTTAACACAATCTCATCAATGTAACATGTATTAAGCTGGCTAATTGTAAGGGCGCCTAGGAGCGGTCAGTGCACCTACTTTACTAGTCCGCACCTCGGTGGCGCAGCGAGGAGACCTTCGCAGCTGAGCAAGCCTCTATATTTATAATTTAAGCTCGCTCATTGGCTAGAACGTAGTCCCTGCGCTTAGGAGGGACAAGAATAAAGGGGTAAGAATTTAGTACTCTTTGTTACGAGGGTTAAGAAATAGGTCGTTTTATGTAGGCATCCTTGGCCTGCCGGAGATGTCTACGGGAAGGCGTGCCGACGAGGCTAGGCAAGGCTGGCACACGTAACTAAGAGCCCGGATTAGGAAATATAGCAGCCTATGGGTCCATGGACCACTAGGACAAGGAGGTATAGATATATAGAAGGGATTTTAGCACTATATATATATATACGCTCCTTCACCTAGATAGTATAGTTCGTAGTTAACTTCGTTAGTAATCCTATACCTACGTTTTAGGATACATATTACGAACTAGGTCACTAGAAGGGCCGCTAAGGATAAGCCGTCCGTACTTAAACAAAACAAGGAAGTTAGCCGATAGAGAACGAGGCTACGTCACGTAATAAGGGATGGACTATAGAGGACTATAGACTATAGGTCTAGTCTAAGTAAGTCTATAGTCTAGACTAGCATTATATATATACGCTCCTTTACCTAGATAGTATAGTTCGTAGTTAACTTCGTTAGTAATCCTATACCTACATTTTAGGATATAGTCCGACGAAAAGTATTCCCTTTATTATCCTAGTTAATACTCTAGTACCTACTCTATTAAGGAACCCTACCTTAGTTAGAACTACTTACAGCTCGGATTATAATACTTTAACTACTACTTAATTAGTATTAAATATCTAATATAGGATTATCTCGACTTAGATCCCTACTACCTAGCTATTACGAACTAGGTCACTAGAAGGGTCGCTAAGGATAAGCCGCCTATACTCGAGGGAAACGAGGAAGTTAGTCGATAGAGAACTATTATAATCCGAGCTACAAGTAGTTCTAACTAAGGTAGGGTTCCTTAATAGAATGGGTACTAGAGTGTTGACTAGGATGACAAAGGGAATACTTTATTCGTCGGACTATATCCTAAAACGTAGGTATAGGATTACTAACGAAGTTAACTACGAACTATTCTATCTAGGTAAGGGAGTATATATATATAATACTTAAAATGTTACTTTAGTGTATTAGTATATTGTTCTAATGCGGCAATATACTAATACACCCCCTAGTTATATAATACAGCCTCGTTCTCCATCGGCTAACCTTCCTTAAACTATCCCTTAGAACGTAGGGCGCCTATCCTAGCGACCTCATCTATAACCTAGTTCGTAACACTATCCCCTCCTTCTATCTACGTTATCCTCAACGTACTTAAGGTAGTCCTTTCTCGTCCGTTACGGTTCCGTTCCTTCTTCCTTATAGCTAACTATATCGCCCCTAGGCATTAAGAAGAACCGTCGATCTTCTAAGTCTATCCGTAACTAGAACGTACGTCGCCTTAAAATTACGAACGCTATATCTTTCGATCCTAAAAACGCCGCTATAGTTACCTATACCGAATACGTTAACTATAACGTTACCTATTTTTATAATCGAGAGTAGTCGATAAAATACTCTAAATATCTCCGATACTAAAGAAATTATAATAATACCTTTTCCGTAGAAGAGTTCCGAAAAGTTAGGGAATAAAAGAAATAGCTAGTCTCGAAGTCCCGCGCTAAACGACGCGAGATCGCTCGGCTCCGTAAGGTCCTAGCGGAGTTAGAAGAGCGCGACGCTAATATCTAGGATTCTCTAGCTAAGCTAGAAGACTAG